GAAATCGCAGATCTCAGTGGCAATCGTTTCATTGATCATATTTTTTATTCAACGTTAACCATTCGCTCGCCTGTTCATACTGATTCAAGACATTCATACCGTAGCCGTTTGGCCAGAAACGCATACTCATTCACGCATACACTTGTCCTCTGCCCTTTCAATTGTTCGATACAATATTCAACAGAAAACTCGATTTTTCTAGCTTCGCCGTAAAACATTGCCACGTTTTCAATTATAATTATACAATAATAATCATAGTAGTAGTAATAGTAGTAGTAGTAGTAGTAGTAGTGGTAGTAGTAGTAGTAGTAGTGTAGTAGTAGTAGCAGTAGAAGTAGTAGTACTAGTAATAATGCAATAATAATAATAATAATAACTATTATAATCAATAAATTGTCTAGTGTGTTCATAATGTTGTGTAACTGCAAACTTTTAGCGTACATAGAAAAGTAAATCATCATATAAATGATGAAAAAATTGATTGTTGTTGGATTCGTGAGCCCTGCTGTAGCGACCACGAATAGTCGTCGAATCGACACTTGCGGCCAATTGAAGATATCACTTGAATGCGAATGGTGCCTGCGTGTACAATAAGTCATACGAGTTGTAAAGATTTTTATAAAAAAAATTCGTGGTTTGATCATGTCGTCCAAAACTATTGCCGATCGTTGGTATCCTCGATTAATTTTGATGTGCGCGCACTCTTATTCGCACTCGCAGCGAAAAGTCGAACATCACCCGCAGCCCTGATTCGACGACTGTCGATCAGCAGCAGCAGCGGCGTCGGCGGCAGCGGCAGCGAAACACCGCAAGGAGTTTTCCGGTCGCGGTGTGAATAGCCAAGCTCGCGGCTCGGTTAGTTTGGTCATCTAGGATCTTCAGAAAGTTGAGCGGCCATCAAACACTCGAAGGATTTCACGTGGAGAGCGCAGTCATACCGCCGGCAAATATCAGACTCGTGGGTGAGCGTCAGCGTGTCAAGATGAAAGCTAAGAGGGTAGGAGCGGAGACTCCAGGCGCGGCGCCGTCAGCAGGACTCGGCGGCGTTTTTGCAATGTACAGTGTTTTAGAAAGGGCCAGCGCGACGCCGAGAGCCTCGCTCGACGTTGTGCTAAGTGAAAATAATACTGCTTCTAACAACAATTGCGGCGCTTGCGGAAGGTCTCATTGATTAATTGACACGTTGACATGAGAGCAGTCGAAGCGAAGATTCACTCGTGAGAGGGGGGGGGGGGAGAAAGAGAAAGGAAAAGAAGCAAACGGGGATGAATCAAACAGCGAGTGGAACGCGAGAGTTCGAGGAGCGAGCGCACGGTGTCCGGCGGATTCGCGCAGGAAGCACACTTTGCATCGCTCCGTTTGGCACTCGGGAGTATTCTCAAGAGGTATCACACGAAAATCTCCTGGTCGTCGTCGCGGTCGGGGATCTCGTCGTCGTCATAGTAGTCCTGGTCGTCGCTGACATCGGCGTCGGCGTCGGCGTCGGCGTCGGCGTCGGCGTCGGCGTCGTCGTCCGTGTCGTTCCAGATCAGGTAAGAGTAGTGGGCGGCTTGTGCGTGATCGACAGAGGGCTGGCCGCCGCTCGCCGAGGGGCCGGGTTATGGGGCTGGCAGGGCGGCGGGCGCGGCCGCCGGCAGTCACAGCTTGAGCTCGTTGGCGATCTTGCTGGCGATGTTTTTGAAGCCGATGGAGGTGCCACTGATGCGCTTGAAGCGCACGCCGTTGAGCGACAACCGCGGCAGCTTGCATACCTCGATCTCCCACTGTACCTGGCTGTCGGTGGCCGGGTCGCCGTGGGCACATAGCAGCAGAAAGCGCTCCGGCTGCTCGTACTGGCACTCGTTCGCGTCCAGCACCTGCGAAAGCATCAGAGCGACGCGCGTTATAGCCAGCCTCGGCTGCGGCTGCGGCTGCGGTTGCGACTGCGACCGCGACCGCTCGCTCGCCTACCTTACGGATCTCCGACATGATCTCCAGCGGGTCCCTGCTGCTGGTGGTCTTCATGCTCCAAGTGAAGCGCAGGCTGCGGGGCTTCACCTGCTCGTCGTTCGTGGTCGCGCCGCTGCAACACAAGTACGCTCAGGTCAGTCGCTCGTGCGCGCAACGCTCGCCCTGCCTCCGATCGCTTCGCTTCCCACGGCCCACGTGCAAACGCTCCCATCTCTCTCGACGAGCATGCTCTAAACATCAACAGCCGCCAGCTCTACGTGCGCTCTCCCGGCATCGCAAGCTACCGCGCATCGGCACAACACAATGCGTCGCGACCGCGTCAGCTCGAGCCAACTTGGTGCACGCAGACCGAGAGAGAGCGTCTTGACTCCCTCTTCGTCCTCTCGTTATCGCTAGGCAAGCCGGAAGTCCCGAGCGAATGAAAACTAAGCAGATCAGAGTGGACATTGTGGCGGTATAATGGTATGCAAAACAACGTACCTCACTACTGGGTGCTTTGGGGATACGGATGGGTCCATGGGGCTGAAATAACAAAACAAAGGCATTTGCTAACAAAAAAACACAAACATAGTTAAATAATGGACTTTTGACTTTTCGGCGCGGGTGCGCAACACCACGTCGTTTTCCTCCTTTCGCTAGCACTCGTAGAGTGCCACGGTAAACATTCGTGTGAAAGAAATCAGTCAAAACGCATGCCAGAATGAAAAATAAACGTCACACTCCTGTTTATCCGTTCTAGGTTGTTGGAAATAAATTTTCACCACGTACGCACATGTAGATTCAAAATATTTATTATTACGAAATTATCACTATTATTGCTTCTGCTTAAACAATCAACTTCGTTCCGTGCGCAAACTGTTTGCTGGATGCACGACTCTACCCGATTTCATCTGAATTGTAGCTGTGACGTTCGATCCAAGTCTAACGAAAATCATACGATCTGCTGTGCCATTATACTAGAAATCAACGGAAGTTGGAGTAATTTCAGAGACACAAGTTATATCGATTATCGTTCAAACCAGATAATTGGACGGAAGTAGAGCTTTACTTCAGCAAACAGTTGCGCTGGTATTTCTTACAATCGAGCTGTCTTGTCATTTACACAATAATATACTGAATAGTTTACTTCTGCATCCGACAACATATCTAAACTTATTTCATATTGGCTCCTTTAAGAGGAATTGCTAGAGCTTTCATTCCATACTTGACCTACTAGACAGACTTTTTGAACAATTACACTCTTGCATCTTTCGATAAACTCATATTCAATGATTTCACACACTAGATGCTTTATGCTTCGATGTATTATTATAAATAGAGAAATGCAGTGAAGCTTGTGAAACAATATTAGAACAAACTCATACCCAAGTCATAATGGTTTTTCGTTTTTCGTTTGTTTTCTATTACGAGAACACATACAAATGATGATGGGCAAATGTGCGGGTCCAGTGATTTTCACACATTTTCGTCAACTTACTAATGGAAATTGACATTTTCATTGACATCGCGTCTGCTCGTGCCGAGTGAAATTAAAAAGCATTGTATCAAAAAACCAAATATTGCACGAATAAATTTGCTCGTTCAACTCAACTCGCGCAATTTACGTTAAAGCCAATGTTGTTTTGGAAAAAAATAAAACAATAAGATTTTTTAGTACATTTTTATCGGAACCTCGATTGTGTTTCGTTAATGACTACTTGGATTAGTTATAAAGAAAAACATCTTGAATTTCAAACACAAATTATACAGAGCTACTTAAATCTAATTGTCATAGCAAAATGCATACTTGATAGTTAATTAAAACATATATTATACACAATGCAGCCCGTAACAAAAGAAGCTGCATTAAAATTATTTCTCTCGTCTAGTTTAACCACTCTCGAGTTGAACAAACATATCTAGAAAAAATGAAAGAATGAAATATTCGTATAAAGTCAATTAATTGTCGACTCGTGCAATTCAATTTTAAGTTATAAAACGTTCAATTTTTATTGCCATTATTTATCGACTAGTAATAAACCAAATCTAATCATTTTTCCATCTTAATGATTTAACAATATACAATTCTTTCGTTCTCTGCATTATTTTCAATATTAAAAATTCGCAAGTTAATATTAATCAATTTTTATTTATTAATATAAAGGTAATTTCTAATAGCAGTAAAAAATTGATAATTTATACAATTAGATTTTAATAAACTTGTTAATTTCATATCGTCAAATGTTGGCTTAATTGTAAATCTCTTGACGATTCTTCACAAAATTGACCGACTCGCGAGATAATCCAAGAGTAGTGAAAAAATCTCTAATTACATTTTTACATGGAAAATGTAATTGAAAGTCACCCATAATAATCATCTCATTTTCAACACTCCTTTTAATTTATAGCTACGTTCGACTCATCAACGATCATCAATAAATCATCGTACTCTATCGATATTTACAAAAATACATAATTTGCATCAACACTTTATTCGTTATAGCGTAAACATTTCTAGCACTTTTTTTTGCAATAAATGATCGCACAGAAACTATTGAAATCAAAAAATGCGAATGTACAAACAAAAGTATAAATGCTACGGCGTAATGACAAAGAATACCGTCGTTTTACAGTAATTGAAGCAGCAAACGCACATGTCAAACGCAACTGACGCAACAAACGCGTGCTTGAATGAAATCTTGAAACTAGGTTAAAACGCACGGTCAAATAAACGAACGTGAAAACTAATCTATCCTGTTTCTGGTTTTCCGTGCAAAAAAGTGCGGTCCAAATCAAACAAATAATAATAATAATAATAAAAAAAAAAAAAAAAAAAAAAAGAAAAAGAATACGCGTTACGAATACTAAGTAATAATAGACTCGATTAAAAGAAAGTTCGCTGCGCTGAGGCTGCATATCGTCGAGGTAAACGTTTGCTTTCTCTGTGTGTATATGTTTCTCTCTCCCGCTTCGTTACAAAAGGATATCGGCTGTTATTATTCATGAGAGAACGAGCACAGGTTCTCTGTGTGAATTTGTGTGTGAGTGTGGCGCGTGTCCTCATTTCACCATTAACTTTATCACACAAGTGCGAGAGATTCGTCGGTTACTTGGAAAACCTGTCAATACACGATAATCACATGATTTTTTTGTAAGCTCCATCATTATAACAAAATGTTGTGTGTCACGTGTAGTCGAATATCTCGCCATTTTCGTCTTTCCGAGATCAGAAGAAATAAATGCAGCTTCGAATAACAAGAGAAATTCGCAAGGCACTTTGTGTCCACACTCTAGATTGGATTATGCTGTTGCTTCTTCTGATCTCGGAATCTCTTGACTGACTGTCTAGTTTGCGAACAAAGCACTGCCAAAACCCAATCACTGTTGTGCTTTCCTGTTAGTCCTTCGTTCGCAAAATAAACAATGCTCAACATGCACGTGTATAAATATAAAATTCTAATTACTCCAAATATTTTCAATTTCGTTTAGACGTATCGATGTCAATTCGCATATTCGGACTTTTTTTCGGACTCCGTGACGGTCGAACTCGCTTCACGAAAAACGACTAAATAAACGCCAACTATAAAGTTCTAAATAATTCAGGCAATAAAGTTTGAACGCCAATAAGCTCGTTAAAAACAAAAGATAAAAATCATGTAAATAAATAAAAAGAAAAATTATCGGCTAGAATTTAATGGTCCTACACTTTTGGTTAATAGCATTCGTAACACGTACAACTGTAAGACGTATATCAGAGTCGAAAAGTCGAAAAATAATATGTATAAAATTTGCTCGATTGTTATGAAAGAAGGAAAAAAGTCTCAAAATTATTCTCGGCGAGTCGTTGTGGAGATAAGGCACGAGACAGCTAGCAAAATCTCCCAAAATGAAGCGGTGGAAGACGCTAATAACGAAGGAGAACAATCCTTAAAGCCGTCGAGACAATACACCTGTTTGTTGTCCTTACGGTACTCTCGCTATTCACGTATCAATTTGTGTACAATTGCATTTATACGGCTACTTTTGTTAATTCAGATAAACTTGCGCCAACGTTTATGCGCATACACACGCACGCACGCACGCACGCACGCACACGCGCACACGCACACACAAGAATTTGAACAAAACCAGCAGAAGTGCTCGCGAGTTGCAAGATAATAGGCATTGGCAAATGGATGAACTCGAAATCGTTAAGTTTGTCACAAATACCAGCCGCATATCATCGACCGATCTGTGTTACAACAGCAGTCTCTTTCGCTAGATTAACTAATCGTGTGTGTATTATATAAATATTTATAAGCTTTCACCACAGAATAACGGAGACCAGTTTCGTTTGCGCATATTTATTATCATATAGTGCACCAAGTTCATAAGCTGGCTCCAATAACGTTTTTCATCCAGTACGAAGTTGCGTAGACGGTTTTTCTTAAGATAGTGTCTCTTCGAGCAGTCGTTTACGTCCTGCAAAACCGATACGTCATTCTGTCATCAATAAAGTTTGAAATTGGAACAATTGAACTCGCAATGATGCACCAATAACTATGAAAGCTTTGCTTTTGTTTCTGTTTTAATTGCTTTACAATGGATTTAGCTTCCGACGTTTTATTACAGTGACCATTTCATGAAAGACAATACAAATTCTTTTCATCTACGACTCTCGTTATTCTGCGGCCTTAATGCCATTTCGATTAATTTCATAAGCCCAATCATTTTCTATACTGCTTCGCATTCATTTGTACCATCTGCCCTCGCCGCCCAAAGATGCTCGCATCGATCCTCGCCCCAATGATTATTATAAATGCCATCAAGTCAATACAATACAATTACATTGAAATATATTATATACTCAAAGAGTGAAAAGAAAAAAAAGTTGAAAAAAAAAAGACAAAAAGAAACTGGTAAACGATACCTCGTCGCTACATTCAACACTAGCGGGGATGCACAATGAGTATGCGAAAGGGCTTTCAAAAACGTTCAACGGAATTGATTCGAAACAAACAAACTAATAATACGGGTAATTAATAGTGAGACAAACGTACATGTGAAACGATTAGCTATGGTCGCGTCAAATGCAGCATGAATCGAGGAGGAAATCGGAGGTCGGGAGGGAAACATTGTTAAGCACACGTGGGAGCAACAGACAAACACAGGAAACACAGGATCAAGAGTCAATGAATAATCGCGAATCAAAGCCAAATCTCTAGTACGGCTAGACGCATCGTAATATTCATATAGCTTTCATCGATAATGGTCGCTGCTGTCGTATTGAGTCTCATGATTAATCATATTTCCACTGTTAGAGAAAAATGTATCCATCGTGTCTTAAGCAAGGATCTTATCGTACAGAGAGATATAACATAGTCATTGTGCATCCTTGAAAGAACAGAAAGAAAGATAATAATCTATACGATTTATGTTACATGTAGGTGTGCGCACGAGTATACGTATTATGTATACAGGCATACTCGACATGCAAGAAACAATGCAGAGCAGGAGTATAAATACACAAGTCAACATGAACAAGAAACGGTCAGTCCATTTGTCGAGCAATCGATATATACACGTTGTAAATGTGAGTGTATCAGCAAGCGAAAAAAGAGTAGCCGAGTTTAGTAAGTAGAGAGAACGAAAGAGAGAAAGAGAGAGAGTGAGAGATAGAGAGAGAGAGAGAGAGAGAGAGAGGAAGAGAGTGACAGAGTGAGAGAGAGAGGAAGAGAGTGGAGAGTAAGAGAGAGAGAGAGAGAGAGAAAGAGAGAATAAAAAAGCCGCGATAGTAAATCTGGCATCATGTCGGCGAGAATAATGATTTCGCATAGCAGATCTTTGGCGCGAGAAGGGAGGGCAAATCGCCCTGAAAGCAGGTCACCGCTGAGCTTTCGCCCGCGAGCTGCGCACGCGTTTCTAAAAATTCCACTCTCACAGCGCGCATCTCTCTTTCACTCGTCGCTCTCACGTCGGTCCGCGCGTGTACAATGCTGTCGATGCCTCGCACGTATTCACCGAGACAACAAGCGGACGACGAGGAAGGAAAGAAGCGAAAAATTTCGATCCGCTGACTGACGGTGAACGAGCGGGTTGCTCATGAATGTCGCATCGGTTAGTCGACTGGTTGTATCGGTTAATAAATGATCGTAAAATCGAATGACGCTGTGTAAAGACTTTTGGAGTAATGGCTAAAAACTAAACGGTGGTGCTCTGAGTACTAGTATCGTAAATCAATAAATCTAGTAATTCTCAACGCATGCCGAACGTAACAGACGTGTAAACGAAAATGAAAAGTTTTGGAGTGCCGAAGTGCAGGCTACTTACCGCTTGGAAAACCTCGAGGAGAGCTTGGAGAAGAAAGACGGCCTAGCTAGCGGGCTAATGGCGTTCGTGTCCTGCGTGTGTGTGTGACCCTGCAAACAATAGGATTAGAATCTCTCGTAGGACAATCACTGGCCATCGGTTCGGCTCGCAGCCTGGCGCGCAATACCTGAGTATGATTCCTCTGCGCTCGATTCTGACCCGAGTGGAAGGTACTGCGGCTCGGCACGTTCCTTGGAAATGCTGGCGTCGTAGGCGCTGCCAATCTATTGCTTGGAGTGACACCCAAGCTTAAAAGGTAAAGAACAGTCATTAGTGAGTAGTCGTGCTTGCGCCTCTCGGAGGGGGCGGGGGGTAGAAATCATCTCGTCATTCGCAAGTTAAACATTGCTCATCATACAGTCACGAAGATATAGATATTACGTGGTCGGCGCTGTGGTCGCGCGCCACGCTTGCACCAGCAGCAAACGCAGCTCTAGCTAGGGCTCAGGATTCACAGAACGGGGCATCCTTACGATCTCTAGCAAATATTCAGGACCACAGATAACACAGACTCGTACTATGTATACGCATTGGTTTCAACAATACTACCTACGATTATCGGTGCAGCTTGGCTACATGCAGTGTCGTACAAAAAAAGTCGTCAACTAGACAGACCAAACTTACAGACATACGTATAAACATTGTTGGCTAATTTTCAAATCAGTGAATGACGATGATGATTGCCGACGGCGCACGAACAACAAAGGAACGAAACGATGAATTCAAATCAAAGACAACTGCATGCGGATGACACAGATACCGAGTAAAACAATGGTGTCGAGGAAACTGGAGTTTCAGGGACTAGGAGTTTTACATCAGCGCTTTCGCCGAAATACCCGATTGAACGGACGTCTCGCTATTAATCGATGCTGTGACCGTTCGGATTAATCGATGTTGTGACAGTCAATCCATTAGATGACGTACGCTGTCTCGTGAGCCGAGTGCGTTTACAGTTATCTTGCAGTTACTCGAATGTCGGGACAGGGCCGGGTTCGTTGCAAACGAAAAGTAAAACGAAACGAACAAAAAATAAAATCCGAGACAGCCGATCGACGGCTACAGAAAAAGGCCAGGCGGGCGTGAAACAATGAAGGAAAGAGAGGATAACGAGACACAGTGGCGAGGGGGGAGGGGTCAGGAAGGACAGCTCGGGAGCGTCAGTACCTCTGCCTGAGAGGGTCAGCAGTGACGAGTAGGGAGTTGCGCGGCTGAGGATGATCCAGAAGCGCGTGGTCTTGGCTGGACTGGGCTGAGCGCTGGCTCGCGCTGATGCTCGCCGACTTGGTGTGGCCCGGCCGTGCGCCCGGCCTACTACTTTGCTGATGCTCCGCCGCACTAATTTTTCCATCATTAATTCATTTTGTCTTTAATCGAGGTCGAGGAGATGATGGCACGTCCGAGCAGGCGAACCATGTCGATTGATGCGCGTGCACGCGACGAGAGTCGGCGTGGATGGTTTGACAGACAGCATGCGACAAAGTATCCGTTTGCATACATGGCCCGAGTAACTAGTTGTTTACGAAAGCTGACTTGCTCTGTGGCGTGTGTGTGCGTAGTGTATGTGTATGTGTGTGTGTGTGTGTGCGCGCGTGTGGAGTGCGCGCGCGCGTATCTGTGTTATCTAGAACACTCAGATCGAGTCATTCACGCGATCGATCCAGGATGCACGAGGCGGAGCTCCACTCGACGGGATGCTGCTGATCGTCGATGGGGCTCCAGCCTCCGTGCGGAGTGAAGGGGAGAGAAGGGCTCGCTAAGCTGCAGCCGACTGGCTCGAGTCAGTCGGAGGGAGATCTCGAGCAGGCCGCGACCGGGAACAAGAGCGAATGCGGCATACCTTGGCACGTCGTTCGTTCTCTCGGTGGACGAGGAGGCGGTCTTAGCCTGGTCGTACGAGATCGTACTGCGCCGGCCAATGGAGCCGGGCGTCGGGGCCATATTCTGCCGGATGCCCGGCATTCCACCGGTGTTCATGGCGTTGCTCTTGCCGACTCGGGTCTTGCCGCCGGGACTCGTGCCGACACCTAGAATGAACATCGTCACTGCAAGCCTCATTAGATATGGTTCAACACAAAACAAAGCAAAATAAAAACATGAAAATTTAGCTCTTTCTCTTTTTTTCCGTGTTCCATTAGTAATCAGACACAAGACAAAGGAACGACCACAAGACATTCAAATTCAATACAAGAAGTACTCTGTACTCTCGGACGTCACGGCAATATTTTAAATTGTATGCAACAAGAGACAACCACCACCACCACCACCATTCTTCTCAACCCTTACCCTCGCTCTCGCCATTTCTCGTTCTCTTTCCAAGCATAATTTGACAAAACAATAACATTTCAAGTCAGAAACAATAGCCAAAATTCACCTAGTACTTTTGCTTTCGTTGTGTAACAAAGTTGTACTCACGTTTCAAAAACCTCTTTATCGAAGACAGGGCTGAGCAAAAATTTAGACACATTAAATCGTTACATCAGAAGCAATGCGTTTATCAAGCGAATGGTCGACAAACTATAGTGAACCAAAAGTAAGCTCATGCTATCCGACTAGTTGAAACTCGTTTGTCGCAAAGTCCACCAGCACGTTGACAACCTCGACATCTCCGACGCAGCACTAGCCGACAATCGAAAGTCTACATCATAGAGAATAAAAAGAGGGGGTAGGGTGGGGAGAGAGCAATTCCACGTACGTACATACGTGACCACGTGCCGGTGGACTTTCGAGCCCAGCCCTGATCGAATAGCGTCTCTATAGCTATCGCGTGAAAACTAATACGCAAGTACGTAAAATGACCAATAAAATGAATAAATGAATAAATAAATAAATAAATAAACAAGAAAAAGAAACGAGAAAACATGGATACATGTAGCATAATAAAACGCTCGATCGAATCTATGTGATGAGATATTAGCGATAAGAAATCGTGTCATGTGAGAATCTGAATCTGTTCGACGATCTTTTAGGTAGTCTGGCGTTGGGCTCGGAGAGCAGTAAGTAATAGACACTCGGTGGCTCGTGGCTCTTGAAAGGAAAAAAGTGGTTATTTGAGTGTGAAATGAACTCACTAGTGTCAAGCTGTCCAGGGCTATTTTTGGGCGCGGAAGGTCGAGCGGATTCACGAGCAGCTCGAGCTGTGTTTTCTTTAATTGTCGCTGCGTCCACGGTATTCTGTCGTTTGAAATTGCTACCGCCACTAGCGCTCACCGTGCCACCGGTCACCGTAGTAGCGTGATTGTGGTTCGTTGTATTACCTGGACTTGGGGCTCCCCCTAAGAAGCAAAATGGAGTAGAACCAAAGATCGACCTCACGAGGCCTCTCGTAAACACATATACACAAACACTCGCACGCACGCACGCACACGATATTCTTTCACGATTCACCAAACAAAACAAAATTATTTGTAATCATAATAATAATAATAATAATAATAATAATAATAATAATAATAATAATAACAATAATGATAATAGCAATAACAATGAGAATTAAAAAAATAAAAAAGAAAAACTCTAATGTTACATTACATGAACAGATTAATAGTTAATCGTCATGAAAATACAACATGGCAGCGTCAGCCTCGCACAAAAAAGCTCACACTTCGCATGCCGGTTTGGAGATCGAATGAGTAAACGACGCGAGATCAAAGGCACCAGGCGCATGGCAATGAGAGATTTTTTCGGCGTGGAGATGCTGTTATATTGCGTAAATGCGTGAAAGAGAGAGATACAGAGAGACAGTAGTGAAATCGGATCGAGTAACATTAGAGCGCTCTTGTATATAATACATCAAAGTAAGACGGTCGTTCGCTAGAGAAAAAGGCTCCGCGACTAAGGCTTTGTTTTGGTATCCGCAGGTCTGTTAAAGGGCTCTTGCCGGTGTACATGACTTACGGAGCGTCTCGCCGCCCGATGAGGCTCGCCTGCTGGGCTTGGGGTTGCTCGCCGAGATGCTGCGATGGACGCTCCGGTGTGACGGGCTCTGGACGGCGCCGCCCTGGCCTCCGACACTTGCGCCACCTCCGGCCGAGCTTACTTGCGGAGGGATGTTGCGCAGCGAAAGCGAACTGCCGGACCTCGAGCCATCGCTCTCCGGCTGCAAAAGCGTCGAGCGTTACGCTCGGACTGACTGCTCTCGCAGTCTGTTGTCGAAGCTACACTTACGTCTGTAGTCTTTCTGCCGAGTAGCAAGTACGTGGCGAACACATCGTCGTATTTCGCTTGCGACAGGGAGTCTTCTATCTCACTTCGCGTGTAGCCCATACTCGCAAGTGCTTCTGTAACATACGAGGTGTGGTAGGCATAGTCAAATCTAGTAGTGCAGAAGTAGCGGCGCATAGACGCGCGAGCGCACGAGCCTTGGCGGTGCTAACTACGTTTAGCTTTTTTATTTTTTTGCATAGCTTGGTACAAGGGATAAGTTCAATTTTTACACATTAACTAATAACAGCATGCAACTAGCAACGATCACTGTTAGGTTATTCAAGTCTAAAGTTCTAGATTAGCTAACGAACAATCAAGAGATGAATATGACCTTCGTTAATCCTCGGAGTGTGTCCGCTGGACGCGTCACAATCGAGTTATCGCAACACTTTTACAGGCCAGACACTCTCACGCTGCGTTCAATTAATTTTGTCTTTCGTTTCGTTTTGTTTCAGAGACACTTTACAAATCGAAGCGAACGCACACATCACTGTCAGAGATGTGTGCAACAGAATGGCCGTACGTAAGTCTTTGCATTTGTGCTTTGTTATCACGCAAGCAGTTAGAGTGTCCGAGTACACGATGCGCTTTATCTATCTAAGACAAGAACGGTAAGTAATAAGTGTTATGTACATACTGGCAGACTCACCTATCCTCTTGTGATCTTTGTAGTCTGGCTCTGGTTCTAAGTACGGTTTGAGCTCGTCGTCTTCGTAGCCCATGTTCATCCACTTATCCTTCATGATATTCTGCATAAGAAAGAGGAAAAAGAAAAAAAATGGCTGGTTAGTGACAGCAAACAAGTGCGAATGGCAAAATAGAGCAAAACCAAGTGCAAACATACCTCGAGCGAAGCCCGTTTTGTAGGGTTGAGCACCAGAAACTTTTTCAGCAGGTTCTCACAATCGGTGGACATGTAGAAGGGGATCCTGTACTTGCCCCTGAGCACCCGCTCACGCAGTTCTCTCAGCGTCGAGCCATCGAAGGGCAGCGAACCCGAGACCAGCGTGTACAGTATCACGCCCAACGACCACACGTCCACTTCCGGGCCATCGTATTTTTTGCCTGCAACGACAATGACAATGACAATCACGATCTCAAGCGTTTCATTTTGGTCAAGTTCTTTGGCTCGGAGGATGTAGAGAGAATCGATTGGATGGAAAGTTACATAAGGCAGGCTCAAGTGCGTCGTATGCGAGGCAGTCGTGACGCAAATAAGGGGCTAGCTACAAGAGTTGGCGCAAGGCAATTCTCTTAGCTAGGCTAGAGTAGTGCCGGTTAAAGCTGTAGAAGTAAGTGGCCGGCTAATCGATGAATGACGAGAGAGAGAGAGAGAGAGAGAGAGAGAGAGAGAGAGAGAGAGAGAGAGAGAGAGAGAGAGAGAGAGAGAAGAGCGAATAGAGCACATCATCAAGTAAATATTTGACGAAGGCAAGGTTCGAGGCAGAAAAGGTTTGACGCGGAAGCGTAAGAAGTGAGAAGAGACATGCCTTGGAAGAGCTCAGGTGCGGCGTACGGCGGTGAGCCACAGAAGGTGTCGAGTTTGTTGCCAGGCGTAAACTCGTTGCTGAAGCCAAAGTCGGCGATCTTGATGTTCATCTCAGAGTCGAGCAGCAGGTTCTCGGCCTTGAGGTCTCTGTGGATGATCTTTTTCTGATGGCAGTATTGTACCGCCGAGACGATCTGTCGGAACTTGGCCCGCGCCTCCTTTTCCTTCATGCGGCCGTGCAAAACCAGGTAGTCAAAGACCTCGCCGCCGCTCGCGTACTCCATCACCAGGTACAGCGTCTTCTCCGTTTCGATCACCTGAAAGAGCTTGACGATGTTCGGATGGTCCAGCATCTTCATTATCCTGACCTCGCGAAAGAGCTGCGGATAAAAGAGGCGATTAGCGAGGGCGCAGAGTGGAGGCAGCGCTACTCACCTTTTGTAAGCTGCCCGGATTTAGTTGGGTCTTGTCGATGATCTTGATGGCCACCTCCTTGCCCGTGGGCACATGCTTGGCCAGCTTGACCTTGGCGAAGTTGCCCTTGCCGATGGTTTTGAGCAGCTTGTACTTGCCGATGTGCGGCTCCTCGGCGGCGCGGCTCCTGGAGGAGAGCCTGGCAGCGCCGGGCGCCGCCGGTCCGGGCGCCAAGCCGGTCCCGCTGGCGACGCCGCCGCCCGTCGCGGCTCCGGATGTCGCGACAGGCCCGCCAGATCCGGCAACACCATCCCTCGAGACGCCCCCGCCATCGGTCGCCTGCAACAGAAACAGCGGTGAGCCCCGGCACGGCGCAGCCGAGTGGGCTTGCGGGCAGTGCCTTGCGCGCCGACTGCCTGATCCTCGGGCCGGCGGCCCTCTCCTTGTCGCCCGTCGCCGCCGCCGCGGCGGTCGGCTGCTGCTCCCGGGCGGCTGCCATCCGACACTGCGCCCGCGCCGCGCCCGACGACCAGACGACAGTCGCCGACGCGACAGCGCATCGCCGGCCGAGAGGGGGCCGGGCGGGGGGGGGGGGGGGGACGAGAGCGCGTCGCAGCCCCGCGCGCCCTCGTCGGGCGCCCGGGCGCCGCCGATCGATACGGTCGAGTGTGGGCGGGCGCGCGGCGCGGCCCCTGGGCCGCGCCTGCGCGTCTCTCGCAACTTGTTGCTGCTTACCTCGAGCAGCCGCGCCGACGGCTTGGCAATGGCGCGCTGCATCCTGGCGGGCGGCTCCAGGCGGCGCGCGTCCGAGGCGGTGCGCGCCAGCCGCGCGCTCGGACTCTGTGCCTGCGGCTGCGCGCGCTGTCGGGCCATCTCGGGCCCGAAGCTGTTTCGAGCCGCCTGGCCGCGCTCGATGTATCTCGGCACTTGCACCAGAACGCTGCGCGAGCACAAGCACACACGCACATACGCCCGAAGGCCGATTAACGAGTGCGGCTCCGGCTCCGGCTCTCTCTCTCTCTCTTTCTCTCTCTCTTGTTAGTGCCCTCGCGTATGCCGGCTGCGCGCGGAACCCGTCGTCAATTGGACGGTGGTCCCGAGCGATGACCGCCGAGCGAGGAGCTGCAGCGCCGTGGCGCGTGACTCCGCGCCCGGCCGTGGCGCTTATCGATGCGCCCGCGTCGTCGGAAATACAACCAAGAGCGACGACGGCTTGGCCGCCGCGAGAGATAAGTTATCGCGGGCCGAGCCGACGAGGTGTGATACAAAATGGCACTTGTCGGACGCGCGTAACGGTACAGCGGAGCAGCGGACGTACAGCGGCAGCGGCGATCGGTTACATAAACAGCTGGGGTCGCGGAAGCCGCGGGCGCGTCATCGACCCACGCGCACTGGTGCGGGCGGGAGGGGTCCGCGCGCGCGCGCGCGAGAGAGAGAGAGAGAGAGAGAGAGAGAGAGAACCACGTTCTCCAGGTGGAATCGGCGCCGGGATCCTACCGCTCGGGCTCGTGGTCGACGGTGCCCAGCAGGTCCTCGTGTTCGCGGTAGCGCAGGTACTGGTCGGCCGTGGCTGCCTGCGCCACAGGCATCTTGAGTTCGTCGCGCATCCGCTGCGCGGCCATGGTGTTGACCTCGATGGCCCGCACCTGCTGCTCGATCTGCGACAGTGCGTCATCGCTACCCTTGGGCGCCTGCAGCACCATGTTCAGGTTGACCGGGCCCGACTGCTCCACCCGCTGGCGGCTCATCCTCGGCGGCCCCGACTGCGCGCGGCCGGAGCGGCCTCGGCTAGTAGCCTCGGGCGCCGCGCGCGGCCGCAGCGATGCGTCGCGGCGACGATCCACAGGTGCGCGAGCGTGGCGGCGCTGCTGCTGCTGCTCGCCAGCAACGCCTTTCTCCTGGCTGCGGGTCCGCCTCGTGCGCCCCTCGTTGCCTGCGCACCGCGATCGTTCGGGTAGGCGTCGGGCTCGCGCGCGGACGACCGCGGTCGATCGACGCCCTCAGCAGCGGCCCGTCGGCAACGACGAGTGGCGGAGGCGGGTCGCCGAGGCGGCGGCAGCGGCGGCGGCCATTGCGGCTGGCACTGGCACACAAGCTTACAAACACGTGGCAGCAGGTTGCGCGACTGGCGATCGCTTGCTCGCGTCCGCACGCCACGAGAGACGCGGCGCGACTGCCTACTCGAGCGGCCGCTAGAGTCCGCCGTGCTCGCTCGCCTTGCGGTCTCTCTCTCTCTCTGTCTCTCTCGCGCGCGCGCGCGCGCGCGCGCGGCCGCAACGACTGGCCCCTCTTGCGCGCTACTCGGTGCACGGACACCGGTCGGCCGCTCAGCGCTGCGATCGCGCCCCGCCGACCGTATCCCGACAGAGCCGATCGGGAAAGTGTCGGACGCCGTGCGCTTTCTCCGCGCCAGGCATGCACGTGAGACGCGGATCTCGGCCGGCCGTCGGTGCATGTGATCGTGGACGCAGTGCGGCCGACGAAGCCCTACTCGGGCCACCGGCTGCCAAGAGAGAGAGAAGCCCCTCGGCATCTCAGCTCCTTTGTTCGCAGTGCGACCGCAGCCCCAGCACGACCGTTCCTAATTGAACGTACGCACGGAGCAACGCAATCGACGGCCGATAGGCTTCGTCTGTCAACAGAACGGACAATCGGCGCTGCTGCGCGGATCGGAATCGAAGGCGCAATTAGCGGCTCGAAACCGAAGCCGGTGAGTCAGCGCTCGGCTATTTTTCCAAGCGCTCGGGCGCAATTTTCCGCTGCGCCCGATGGGAAAACGACCGCAGGCGCAATAGCCGAGCGAGCGCGACTCGCGCGCAACCGGCCACTCCATTGGCCATTGAATGGCCGATCAAGAGTGACGGGCAGAGCTAGAACTGCCGTTGTCGCTGTGACGGCCGCTGCCGTCGCGTACCACGCGCACCAGCGGCACGCAAACAAAGGCATGACGAGGAATTGCATCGCTGCGAACGGCGCCTTCCTTTCAAATTCGCCAGCGCGATGCCCTCTCCCCGACGACGTCCTGCTGTCCTCTTCTGCTCGCTCCTGTATTCGGTTCTATCATCGCCACTATCGCGCACTCCGCAAACAGCTCGCACGCGATACGCCAACTTGGCTTATCTGGCCTAGGAGCTGCTCGGCGCGCGAGCCCGTAAGGAGCGTCTCGATCGGAGCGACGAGTGACATTCGCGACGACGCGCGTGCCTATCGGCAACGTGACGGGCGTTTGAAAACAGGCAACGGGAGCGAGCGAGATGGAGCTGCGCAGAAGCGACAGGAAAAAACGATGCGCTTATCACGGATGGAAACGTACTCGCAGATAATGAATAATTGAGAAACTCGATTGCTCGCGTCACGTTCTCACGCGCACGTAACAACAAAAGACGCTCCCGATCGCTGGGCAGCCGATTGATTGTTTACGCACGCGCGCGCGAGATGATTTAATCCACGGCGTGTGCCGAGTGAATCACGTTGTCTTGCGCGACTCAAGGTCGACGGCGCCAGTTTCCGAGAAGCCGTATACGCGCGCACTCGAGCCGTTACGCCGACCGATTCCCATTGTCGCGGCCGAACCTCGAACAGCTGTGCGACCGCCGACCAGTCGAGACACTCATTTACCTGACGCGGCAGTCGCGACTGCTGACTGTAATGGTGATGGTGCCGCCGTTGCTCCCGCATGCTGGCGGCACGCGGCCTCGGTAGCTGCTGCTGCGGCGACGGCGGCTTCACGGGCTTGTCCTTCGGTACTATCCTCACGAGCTTCTGGTGCTGCTTCGGCCATGCCTGCTGATGCTGATACTGCTGTTGCTGTTGCTGCTGTTGCTGCTGCTGCTGCTGCTGTTGCTGCTGCGGTTGCTGCTGCTGTTGCTGCGCCGGTGGCGACGACGACGGCTTAGCGATACCATTAATATTGACTGGCTGCTCGCGATGGCTCTTGGTTCTGCGGAGCAGTTTGCGCACGGTGTTCTTGACTGTGGCTGCGACGCTCCTCTCGGAGCCGGGCGAGTCAGGGCCGGCGCCAGGTTTGTGGTGATGGGCAGGCTCGATTCGTCGCCGCCTGGTGGGGCCAGCGCCCGGGGGTCCGGCCGGCGTCGACGGCTGTTGCGGCTGAGCGTGCTGTTGCTTGCCGCCGTCGACGACATACATGGTAGCGGCCCGGCGCTGGCCGTGCGGCCCGATGCGGCCCGAGCGCCGGAACGAGCGCCTCAGGAACTCCGTGGTGGCGGCGGCGACGGTGACGGCTACTGCTGCTGCTGCTCGCTAGCGGACACGCGCGATAGCTGTTCGTCGTCGTCGCCGACGACGATCACCACCGCGACGATTTTGCCTACGCTCACGCGCACTCGCGTTACATAATACACACTCGGCGACTTTTCGCGAGCACACTTTCACGCCGTCGCTCGCACTGCTTGTGTTGCTGCTGCTGCTGCTGCTGCTGGTCGTCGGCGATGTGATATAGGTTAGGGAGGGGCGAGAGACTGGCTCGCCTTGACTCGACTGCCGAGCTGCCTACACGCGCCGCTCAGGACATGTCGCACGCAGGTGCGGACATTCGTCTTCTCTCCTCGGCCGCTCGCTCGGTCGCGGGCAGCCTCCTGCTGGCTCCCGACCAGTTCACACTTGATCGTGGTAGCCCGTGCCGTGGTACAGCGCGCAGGAATGCGAGTGTGCGTGCGCGCGTATCGGCGATAGCCGCCCGCTCGCGGCCCTTCTGCCAACTGAGTAGCAGACACGAGCGGACTCGCGGCCGAAGAGCGCGGCTGAGCACGGCTCCACGTAAATGTGTGTTAGTATGCGTGCGCGCACGCGGAGTGGGAGACGGCCAGCTCTCGCTTGCGCGCGCGCGCGCGCACGATACCGCCGCTCTCGACGCCTTGGAAAACCTTGCGAAACATTTGTCGGCCGCTGCCGTGCCCACTTTCATCGCTATTATTATTATCGCCGTCCCGCGTAGGTTGACGCTTGCACGTCCACAGCTCGGTGACCGTTGCCACTCGGTGTCGGTCTAAACGCACAGTCCTACTCGGCAGGCTCGCTCGGCCTGCAGTCGCCAGTGCCGCCAGAGACATCTGCCGGCGCGCCGTGCGAGCCGAGCGGCTGAGCGCGACGTCGCTGCGAAAACAGACGGCTCGCATCGATCTCTCGTCTGATCTCGTCTGCGCGCGGGCTGCGCTATGCACCGCTCCGGGGCTGTGCATCGACGCCCGAACCGCGTGGACCTTCGCTCGGCGCCCGTGAGCTTTCGTCCGCGCGGCGCGCGTCGTCGCTTTGCGACCGCATGCCAGCTCACTGCGCCCGACTCGACGGAGCTTTCTTCTCGTGGCTTTCCCTCGGCGGCTACGGCGACGGCGATTATCTCCACCGTTCGCCGGACGACTGTTGCGAGCGTCTCTGCGCGCAGCTCGGCACAGGCCAAAGCCTGTTGATCCGTCGGTGCCGCAAGAAATCGATAGACCGCCTTCCTCGCCGTTACTAGGTTAACGGCAGCCCCGCGGAACGAGCTCATTCCCGTCTCGCAGCCCTGGCAACGAGAGCACGACGACAACGGCTGTGTGCTCCCTCGACTGCGCTTAATTGAGCATGCGACCGTCGCAGCGCGCCTGCGTTTGCACTCCTCGTACTTCCCCGTCGGACCTACGGAGATTGGGAACGTCGTTCCCGGACGATCCGTGCGTGTCGATTGCCTTGGTCGACCGGGACGCCAAAGAGACGGCACCGCCGCGACAATAGCGAGCTACCGCGTAACGGATAGCTCAAAAATATTGACACACCAAATGAGCGCAGCGCGCGCCGACACCCGATAGCGAATTGTTACAAGGTTCGAGTTTCCAATTGTATCAATTAACTGAAAACGCGAGGCGGCGAGAGCGCTGAATGAAGAACGCCGGCGGAGTGCGAGAGTCCAAGAGCGTGCGACGCGGAGGTGCTCGCGGGCCGATTCGTCGGCGCGCGAGCGACAACAGGTGGTGCGTGAGCGTGCGACTCGCAGCTGGCCACTCAAGGAACTGGCGCTGGGACCGGCGCCGAACGCGGACGGCATTTCTCTTGGCATCGCCCGTACGCCAATTTCCTGACGTCAGCGGCTTATCGGCAGACACGCGCCAAAATCAATCGATTCGTTTAAATGTCACCAGAGGCGTGTCTGAAATTGGCCTCTCTTCGCGCACGGCTGTTGCGTAAACTCGCAAGCTGTACAACTCGACGACCAACAGGTCGACTTTCCACAGAGCCGGAACGGAGCGCGCGAGCGCCGAGCTCCGTTTCCTACTTCCTATATATGCGCTGCCGATGTTTTTTCCGAGAAGCGGCGCGAACGCGCTAGACGAACACGCGCCTACGCTAGTCAGGCGCAAACCGAGCTCGCCCACGGGCGCCAAAGCAGACGTCGGGCAGCACCGCTCGCGGGATCGACCGATTCACGGCCATAAAGCTTTGATCGCCCGAAAGAATGTGGAAGCTTACCTTGGAGTTGGTGACGTGGTCGGCGGGCACGGATTCAGGAACAGTCTGCAGAGTGCTCCGCATGCTCGCGGACATGATAGGTGGGCGAAAAGCTTGCCCAGCTGAGTCTCAGCGCTGCTGCTGCTGCTGCTGCTGCTGCTGCTGCTGCTGCTGCTGCTGCTGCTGTTGCTGCTGCTGCTGCTGCTGCTGCTCGAGGCTGTCGATATCGCGTCCTACGCCTGCAATCACACACGATGATTCGTGTCTTACAAACGAGCAGGCTCGATCGTCGCGAGAGAACTTGCGTGCCTCATTGTCGCGTTCCGCTGTTTAGTTGTCGGTTGAAGCTGAGAAAGAGAAAGAGAGAGGAGAGAGAGAAAGAGAGATGCTAATCTCGGAATGGTTTAAATTTACCCACTCGCCACTACTCTCTCGATTCGACTCAAGGAATTATGTCAGTCGCCGCGCGAGGGTTATTGCAGGCCGCTGCTCGGTCGATTATTGTTGATGAATCGAGGTAAGCAGTCGCAGGACTAGAGCCCCTTCGGTCGTCGCGGGGATGGGCATTTTTGGAGGTTAGGTCCGAAAATAAAGAGGCACTGCCAGGACGTTTCGCTCGCTGTAGGAGACGACTGTTTTTATAGAGTTCGTTCAAGCTCGCTCCCTCTACTACACGCACTTGTCGCGGTCTTTCTCGCTGCATCGCTCTCTTGCACGCGCGGGGCAAGCGCGAGAAAATAGACTCGACAGCACCGGGGTGCATGCGGAGCAAGAGCAACCCGCTACCTTATCGAGATAGGCACTGCATGCACGCACTCACGAACGCACGCACGCACGCACGCACGCACGCATGCACGCAGAGAGAGGAGAGAAAGAAACGACGTGCAAGAGGGGGAGGGAGAGCGGGCAGTACCAGCACTAACTAGTGGCTGCTGAGACAGCCTCTCCCGAGGCGTTCTCTCTCTCTCTTTCTCTCTCTTTCGGCGATCTGCAGTTACCGTCGCCCCGGTCGTCACCGACCTCTGCACTCTTTCGCTTCTCTCTTTCTCTTCGCTCTTATTATCTAATCCACAAACTCGACGAACGCGAGCGACGCGCGCGCGCAACTTGCTCTCTCTCGCGACAGAGGATAAGGCGACGGACTTACCCATTTGTTAAAAGCTGTTCGATGGGGATGACGTCGCCCCGTTACTGCTGTGGCCAAGCGCCGCACACATGACCGTGGAGCCGAGCTGCCTGCTCCGCTGTTGCCGTCGCCGTCGCTACTACTGCTGCTGCTGCTGCTGCTTCAGTTTGACTTTCCAACATGGCGATAAACACTACCAAACTCGTGAACCTATGTCACCAGAAGTACGCCCTGGGCACTCACGCGCCAAACGCACGAGAACGCAATTCCACTGTGCCCAATATCCAAGCCTCGCTTTAACTGATCCTGCACTGCTGAGTGCTGCTGCTGCTGGCAACGACCCGCGACACACCGCGGCGGCTCTCGATCCGTAGCGAGGACGCGAAACTGCGGCGCTGCTGTCTTCTCTCTCTGGTGACGTATTTACGCGCGCGACGACGCCAGGGCCGTAGCACGTCCTGCTTTTTCATCGATTTCCCCCCTCTCCTCACCGCTCAGCTCACCTATCGCATTGATTTTCCATCCGTCAACGCGCCTACCTTCTTATTTGTCAAATGTTTGAATACTCTCTCGCGCGCGCCGCTTACATTATAAATAGATACTACATTGCCTGCCTGCAACAGTCACTTTTCCTCTTGGAATTCGCAAGGATGTATTAAGAAATTTACAAGAAGCTTTGTTTGTGAAGAAAAACGTTTATTAAATATAAATAAATAAGATATTTTACGAAGAGCAAATCCTCCAACTATGCGACTCGAAGACGCAACAATTTCCTTTACCTTGTGTATAGACATTCCCTGCTTTCACTCAAAAGCAAAGTATTTCTGCAACAATTCTTCATAGATATCTTTGTCCGTTTTTAAGAACAAGCAAAATATGACGCGATCCATCTGCAAAACAAACAAAATTCATTAGGCAACTGGCTGGATACAACAGCGTGAAAGTATTTTTTATCAGCAAAACATAGTACACTATCAGGATTGTCCAGTAGAAATTTCCTAACACTTGATAGAGCCACTTTGGCTGCTGGCCTTTGTGGATAGCCATATATACCAGTTGATATACAGGGAAAAGCAATTGTGCGAAGACCATTTTGTTTGGCAATAGTTAAACTGTTTTTATAACAATCTGTCAATTTTTCTGGCTTTTCTCCCTGAGGCCCTACTGTGTGAATCACATCTGGAACAATTAATTTTTAATTATCTTTGTGCATGTAACAATGAGGACTACTAAGGAATGAGTAATGGATGACCAAATTGTACTTACGCTTTGCTGGCAACATGTATCCCCCAGTTATTTTGGCTTCTCCAACATGACAGCCACCTAAAGTGGCACATTCTTCTTTTAAATGTGCCCCTGCTGTTCTGTGAATGGCTCCATCCACTGGCGACAATAATACATAATTCTGTTAGGATGGCATGACTATAGATCTATGATTTTAATTTCACATCTAGTTACCTCCACCACCACCTAGCAGACTGGAATTAGCAGCATTGACAATAGCATCAATTTCCAGTTTAGTTATATCACCCTCCCAAATTGATATCTTGCTGGCCAATTCTTTATTAGGTTTTTCTGGCTCCTCCAACTTCAGCACTCCAATGTTTGTCTTATTTTTGTTCCAATACTCAGGCCAAGTCAATATTTGATCAACAGTTGTTGGCTCTGACTTGAGAATTTTCCTTTTGTCCACAGCAGACATTGATAAATATTTTTCTGCAATATCACAACTATTATTCAAGTTGGCCATCATTGGCATATTAGTACAAATTAGGCAGTGAACTTGCGTTTTTCAGCCTCGAACGACATGTTTCCTTTGGTAGTAGCTTTATTTGCAAAAAAATTCTCGACAGCTCGAAAAGCACGATGGCAACTAGCAGTTTGTAGACTCTCCTGAACAGATGTGAATGTCTGCAAAATCTGCAAGGATAAAAACAAAATATCGCTCAGCTTTCTTGCAAGCGGTTAGCTTGCAAGAGAGTTTCTCACACATTTTTTTCTTACTTTTAAGCAGAGCATTTCTCCGTGGAAATGACAAGTGTCTACAAAGTAAAATAATAACCTTTGTAGCAGCGTAAGCCGGCTTTTACGTTCGCGTATGAATATTTATATAATTGTATGGAAAGAGTCATATACTCTCGGAGAATGAAACATAACGAAAAAAAAATAGTACTTGCGAGTGACTCAATTGTAGCTCGGAGTATTTTCGTGCTGTTTTAACTTGTTAACAAGAAAAAGAGTGCAGTAGATATAAATTGAACTGTTTGATCTGTTCTATTGTACTTGCGACTGCCTTTGTGTCGCAGAGAACCACGTTCGATCGACATTAGTGGCGCCATCTTTGGACGACGGTGAGATACAAGTTGCACTGCACTTGCAAGCGTTCGAGATATAGAACACCTTGCTCTAGTTATTCGAATTTACAATTGATCCTTCGAAATCATGGCGTGGTATTTTTTTCCATCGACTATTTACGTTTTGAACAATCCCCGTTGAGCTACAGCGAAGTGCAGCCGAATATACTATAATAGATATAAACCAAATCGCACGGATTTGATTATTGACCGTTGGTATGCATATTGCATTCGTAATTGACTGAGGCTAAATTGTATACCAGACGCTGCTGACTCTTGAGTCACTTTTTTAAAGGTGCTTACAGAATATAGTAATGCAGTTTTATAGATTTTTTTAGTTTTCGGGGTAGTCGAATCGAAATGTTGCGGGTGTCCCGTCTAGTTCCTCGTCAATTGTGTTTGAATCGCAATTGTTTAAATAAATAATTAATTTCTTGTTTTTTTTAAGGAAGTCAAATTATTTTACGAAAACATAGAGAAAAAAGAAATGATTTCTTGCAATTTTGATGTAAAGTGTACATATTTCAACAGTTATTTATTTGAAAGTTGACAGTTTTACAGTTTTGGTTATGTTTGGTTGTTAATAACTATTAAACTATTGAATATATTTTTTAGAACAAAATGTGCTTTAAAATGAAGTCTACGACCTCGAAATTATTGGCTACGCCCTTAAAAGTTAGCACTTTTTTCTCGTACACACAACTGCTTTTGCTAGCTGCCTGCCAAGCGCAGAGTATGCGAGAAAAAGTGTTAACTTTCAAGGGCGTAGGCTATAACTTTTAGGATATTGACTTTATTTATAAATACATCATGTCCTAAGAGAACTCCTTAGAAAAATGTGCGTTGTTTAAGTGAAAAAATCCAATAGATTTAATATTGAAACATGCCAGAAGACGCCAAATTTTCATGTCTTCATATAATTATTTAACTATTTATGAGATTACAAAAAACAGGATGAGAATTTGCATTAATGAAACACGCATTTAATATAAAGACTATGTAAGGAAAGATGTACTTCATTGTTCACATCCAATACACTTTACGACTTATAAAAGCTAGACACTCAAAACAAACGATTCGCTAACAAAGTGCGTTTGATAAAAAAATTTCAAGAGAACATTGCTTCATAAAATAGTTTGTATTTTGTAATAAAAGAAGAAAATTAATCGGCCGGAAAAACAAAACTATATGATTGTCCGTTTGAACAATTTGAACGTAGTATTCGGCAGCGTCGGAACAAAGAGCGAGATGGAAAGCTAGAGATGGTTGGAAAGGGGTTCCGTACCCGAAATAGCAATAGCAATAGGCCTTTGAACGTCGATCCGACGGGAGTCTGCCCGGCTGCCTGAAGTCTCAGCACGTCCCTTACATTTGCGTGCGCCCATACGAGCAGAGTTGAGGTCTCATCTGTGCGCAGCTGCATCAATAACAATTTGTACGTCAATTTATCAATGACGTTCTGATTTATTGCTATATATACCCAGCGCACTCGGACAACTCGGATGCCACGCGATCGCGATGAAAAGCAATGTAAGTTGGAGTTCCCCGGAATGACCATTCGGCTAGGTACTCGGCAGAGGCGCGCTTCGGACCGGGGAGACGCGAGGAGCTACGAGCAAAACACACCCGAGCGCGAGAGCAGGGGTCGCGAGAAAAAAGAAACGTGCGATCGCGCGAGAGACGAGGCGAGCGAAGACAGAAGTATAGCGTGACGCATCCGGCTTGGACGGGAGCGAGGCTTTCGGATCGTTATCGGCTCGGCGGCTCTGCTCGGCACAGCCCGCGAGAGCGTGATGCTGACGCAACGGCGCGGAGGAGCCAAAGGTCGGTGGCGGCGGGGACCGTCGATCGGCGGCCAGCGTCGGCGATCGGCGGCGGCAGTGGAGGCGGCGGCGGGCCGGGGGAGATAAGCGGCTGACCCCCGTGGCGCTGACCCGCCGTGGCGCGATAGCGTCCAGTGGCATCTGCGCCTGCGAGTCGCGAGTATGCCGAGAGCAGCGGAACGGCTGGCGCTGCTGCTGGCGCTGCTGGTGCTAGTGCGCGCGGAGCCGGGCGGCGAGGCCGAGGCCGAGCGCGAGCAGCTGGCCCTGGGCGAGCGCCAGCTGGGCGAGCAGATCAAGGCCATCCTGAAGCATTACCAGCAGGCGGACCCGGTGGGCCTGCCGGGCGCGCCCGTGCCCGACCCCATGGACGTGCCGCCCATGCGCCACTCGTTCAGCATGTTCAGCATGGACCTGCGCGCCATCAAGCTGCACGGGCTGAGCCGCTTCCGCATCGAGCACGCGCGCTCGGAGCTGGCGCTGATGCAGGCCTCGGTGGGGCTGCGCATCGCCAGCCTGGACGTGAAGGGCCTGTACACGCTGTCGTCGTGGCTGTCGCGCAGCGAGGGCGACTTCACGGTGCGGCTGAGCGGCGTGCGCGTGCAGGGCCTGGCGCGGCTGGAGGTGGCGGCCGACGGCCGGCTGCGCGCCCAGGACATCGACATGGACCTGACCTTCGACGACATCGACATGGACTTCCGCAACCTGGGCTTCTTCGCGGCCGTGTTCCAGGGCGTGGTGAACAGCGTGGGCTCCTTCATCTTCGACAGCATCAAGCCGTACGTGCTGCAGGAGGTGAACACGCGCGTGCGCGGCCAGGTGGACAGCCACATCTCGCGGCTGCCCAGCCGCTTCCCCAACTCCATCTCGCCCTTCGACATGGCCGTGGCGGAGGCGCGCCGCCAGCTGCGCCAGCTCGGCTACGACCCCTACCGGCTGCGCGACCGCGCGCAGAGCCTGGGCGCGCTGTCGGCCGCCACCTCGCACACCTGGCTCAGCGGCCTGGCCAGCTTCTACCGCATGGGCAACGTCACGCTCAGCATGGACGCGGGCGTGCTGTACGCGCTGCTGGACGTGGGCACGCAGCGCATCGAGGGCCGCAGCCACTGGGAGCTGGCCCTGGTGGGCGGCGTGCTGTCGCGCGCGGGCACGCTGTCCTTCAGCCTGGAGTACCTGCGCGTGCGGCTGAACCTCAGCCAGCCGCTGGACACGCGGCGGCGCGCGCGCCTCGAGCGCCTCGACTTCGAGCTGGGCAACCTGCAGACGCGCGTGCACGGCGCGGGCACGCTCGACTACCTGCTCGAGGCGGCGCTCAACGTGCTGCCCAACCTGCTGCGCAACCAGATCATGGACGCGCTCGAGGGGCCCATCGGCCGCCGCGTGCAGGAGGAGCTCGACAAGGTGGACGTGGAGAAGCTCATCCACGACAAGATCCCGGACATCGCCGAGCAGGCGATGCTGCTGCAGCAGGTGGTGCCACCGGCGGACGAGCTGCCGCTGGACGACCTGGTGCCGGCGCTGCTGCCCGACCCCGACGACGACCAGACGCCCTTCTCCGACAGCGAGGAGGACCGCGGCCAGTCCTGAGCCGCCCGCCCGTGTAAGCGCGCAATAAAGCCCGGCTTCACCGCTGCTCGCTGTCTTTGATTTCGCCAAACCCCCAACACCCCCTCGCGCCTCCCGCGAGCACCCGTCGCGCGCGGCTCTCGCTGGCCGGAGCAGCTCGCGAGAGTCAATCGCTCGAGAGCGGCCGTATCGGAAATCGATAAGAGCGCGCGCCCGTCAAAGTTTCTCGGCCGAACGGTTAACGTTGCAGCTCGGCCCGCGGCGATTAATCCGCGGCTCGCGGCGCGTCGAGTTTTTGACGGGAACCGGAGTTGTCGCGCGGGCGCTGGCGGCGCGCCAGGCAGCCTGTATCTTCCGGCGCGCCTACTTTCCGCCGGCCGCGCACCATATCTCGGAGGATCTCCGCTAATGGAATAACTTTTAAACGGCGAGCCCGCGGTCGCCCGCAGCACTGCTCTCTCGGTCCGCAATCGCGAGCATCTTGGTTGCACGCCGCGCGCACGCGGCCCGTTCGACGCGCGCTCTGCGGGCCGCGATAGGACGCCCGCCGCTATCGCGCTGTCGACGCGCGCCGAAAGTTTAGCTGAAAGGGAAAAAAAGGAGAGAGAGAGAGCTCGCAAATCCGGCACTGGATTTGGTACGTTCGGCGGCAGCGGCCAGCTGGCTGGCTGGCTGGCTGGCTGGCCGGCGCTCGTCGCGCGAGCATCGTTAAAAATGAAAAGGGACGTATTCAAAGGGTTTCCGCGGCTCACTCGTTGAATGGGACGCGGATATTTGCATTAGAGTTGACGACGGTATTAAAAGCCCGAGCTTTGGACTCGAGGTTTGGAAAAGCAAGTTTCTAGCTGAAGTTAAACAGCGCGCGGTGAAAAAAAAAAAGAAAAACAAAAAAAAAAGATAGGACGGGCTGAAAAGAAGCGCCGCGTTCATACGTATGGCCGGGTATAAAAATTCAAACGCATTCGGCTCTTCATTCGGCGCGCGCGAGCGCCGCCAGCGATGGCCTTTTATTTTCGTGTCGCACCGAGAATCGCGTTCGGCCGTCCTCGTCGGCGTCATTTCCGAAACGTCGCGCGCAGAGAGGGAGAGCGCCGAGACGCGCGCTCCGAGGCGTCGCGGCCCTTCGCCGCGGGCTGGCGGGCGGGCGGGCGGGCGGCGAGGAGGCGAGCGCGCGCGAGCCGAGGGCAGCGCCGCGGCTTGCGCACGCAGGCGGCGCGGCTCGCGGCGTTCAGTGCACGTCCACCCGGCGTGATGTGAAGATGCGCGTGCCGCTGTGGCTGCTCGGCGGCGTCGCCGTGCTCTCGCTGGCGGTCGCCAGGGCCCTGTCCTGCATCTGCTCGCCGCTGGAGTGCGACCCCCTCGGCGGCGACGACTGCCCCGGCGGCCTCACCTGGGACCCCTGCAAGTGAGTAGGCCGTCGCCGTCGGCGCCGATCGCGAGCGCGCGCTCACGCAACGCCTCCGCGTTGCAGGTGCTGCAAGGTGTGCGCGCGGCTGGAGGGCGAGCCCTGCGGCGGCCTGTTCGGCTTCTCGGGGCGCTGCGCCTTGGGCCTGCAGTGCGTCATCAAGAACCTGGTGCCGCACCCGCGTGACTCTGCCCTGGACGAGGGCGTCTGCACCAGTGAGTCGACCCGAGCCGCCGCCACTCTGTATTCATGGCGCGGCCCGCGCTCCCGACTGAATTAGCCTGGCCGCGCGCTGCCTGTTTACGCGCGCGGAGCGTGAATAAGAAAGCGGCCGCGAGCCACCGCGCGCCCGCGAATATTGACAGACTGCTCAGCCGCGCGCGCTCCCCCTCGGCTCTGCATGTTTCATGGAGCCGCGCTTTTTCCCGGCCCGCCTGCGAGATCCGCGCTACGTGGCATAGCCAACGCGCTCGGCGCGGTCGCGAGATCGCAGCTCGTGGACTCGGCTCGGTAGAGCGCGCGACCAGCCGGTTCGAGCTGCTGCCCGGCGCAAATCGGCGCGGGGAAGGGGGCGAGAATAAGCGCCGATTGATTCGATTAAAAGTGGAGCTCGGCCGAGGCTCGTCGGCTATCAATCGAATTTCCGCGCTCGCTCGAGTGTCCTTTCGCGCGGGACGGAGCGCGCGGCATCGTTCCCTCGCAGGCTCGCGGCGGAGGGCCGGATCGAGGCAATAGCGGCGCGCGTCGCTAATGAAGCGGGGCCGATCGACGGCCAGCCGGCAGCTCTTTCAGCCGACACAAAGAACAACTGGCCGGCTTGATAAATTGTCGCCCACGGCGGCAATATGACGCGGTCGCGTTCGCGCGCTCGTTTGCATATTCGGCGGCGGCGGCGGCGGCGGCGGCGGCGGCGGCGGCGCCGCCGCCGCTAAACTCCATTGTCACGGTTTGCAGTCGCGCTCGCGGCCGCCGCCTGGCCGGAGAACTCGATAACCGGCCGGCAGTTGTCCACGCGAACTGCGCTCGGCAAAGGGAACGTCTGTGCTGTTGCAGAAATTCCGGGACGGACGAGGCGACGCTGCGCCGGCGGCACGCGTCAGTCGGAACCGGGCTGCAACCTGGTGGGCGAGGGCTCGGCCCAGGAGCAGGGCCAGTGCGCGTGCGGCAGCGCGGTGCTCTGGTGCCCCGAGGACGAGCCCCAGCCCTACACCTACCGCACCAGGCACGAGTGCGAGCTCAACTTGGCGGCCAAGATGGCTTACGGTACGTATGACGAACACGCGCGAGCTCTCCTGCCGGCCGAAGTCCGGCCGCTGCCCCTTCTCCCTCGTGCACGCTTCGCGCCAACTTAAAACTCGATTCGCCGGAAAGTTTAATCGCGCGAGACGAAGCCGCCCGCGCGGCCTCGGCGCTCCCGGCTTCCGCTCTCGCGGGGGCCGCCGAAGTGCCGGGCCCGCGCAATCGGGAATTGGCGACGGCACGCGCGTCGACTGCCCGGGCCGATACGGAGCGAAAGAGAGAGAGAGAGAGAGCGCGAGGGCGAGCTCTCGCTGGAAATGAGGCTGAACGATGCCGGCTGTTTGTCTGATTTCAGATGGACTGTACGAGAGGGCGCAAACAAGGCCGGATAACGGTGAGTACATGACAAACGTAAACAAGCGGCGCGTCATCGTCGTCCGCGAGCGGGGCGCCTAGGCGCAGGGGATTAATCGCGTCGAGCGAGTCGGGATTTATCGGGGGACGGGGGCGCTGTATAAATGGAGCACGAGGGCGATTATTAATAAAACGCGCGGAGTGGCCGTTAATCGATACAGCCGCCCGTGAAAGAGGCAGTCGGGACGGGGCGCTCGCCGCCGCTGCCGCCGCCGGTCTGAAAGGCGGCGCGCGCTGAAAGTTAGACGCGTTTTATCGGGGCGCACGTATCGCTTTCATCCGCGGCGAGCGATCAAAGGATACCTTTGAGGCTCGCGGAGGGCGCGCCAATTCCTCGCTCGCAGCTCCTCGGGGGCGCGCTAATGCGATGCAAAGCGGCGTTGCGCGCGAGCGCCGCGCAGTTCGGGGCCCAGCCAAGCGAGGATCGGCGGCTCGCGCTCTTCTCCCTTTTTGTCGACCGCGACGGCGCTATCAACAGGTCGGATATTAAGCTGGCTTCGGCCGCTGCCGCCGCGTCGGGATATCGAGCCGCAGCGTCGACGGCCTGGCTTCCGTCGGGCGCTCGGGTTCCGCGGCGCGTTCGCCCTCGGTTGCCGCGCGTCGACGCTCGACGACGCCGTTAGCTTGATCGACGATGGACGTCGAGGCTCGACTCGTAACCCGAAGTGCCGACGCGACGACGCACTGCAGCCGCGAGTCGCGTCGGGTCGGTGTCGGCGAGGGAGCCGGATTTCCGCAGCCGAGAGTGCTCCACGCTGCCTTTTCGCCCGCGGAGGCGGCGATTGATGGGCGCCCACCCCTCCTGCGCTGCTAAGGAGATCGAGTCCGCCGATAATCGACCGAAAAGCCGCTTAGAGCCGGCCGCTAATTAACCGCGCGCCAGATTGAGCGCTCGGCCGGAAATGATAAAGGCCGGCGCTCGGAGCCGTTTCCTCGGGCCGAGTCGCGTCAAGATCGACGCGTTCGTCTGAATCGGCGGGACGGGTCATTCGGCACAGCAGTAAAGCCAGCCCCGTCTGATTCTCTCGCGCGACAGACTCCGCCGCCACCGCCGCCGCCGCCACCGCTGATGCAATAAAGCAGACAAAAAGGAGACAAGTGCGTTTTACGGCCCCGTAAAAGCGCTAAACGCAGCGCTCGCCGGACGGGCGCGCGCGGACTCGCTTGTTTACCGCTGCCGCCGCCCTCTCGACGCACTCTCGCTCGGCCCGAATGCGCGCTAATTCCGCCTGAAAAGGCTCGCGCCGACTCGCTGGCACGGAAAACGAATCGTTAAATTAGCACCACTTTGGCCCGCGGCTAAGCGGCTTACGGGCTCGGCCGAGGGAAAAACGCGGGCGGCGCAGCTCGCTGCCGCGCGGCTAATTGTAGCGCTCGCCTGAGAATAAGTTGATTTATTCATGGAGCCGCGGGCAATCGGGATCTCGCCGCGTCCGGTGCGCCCGGTGCGGGCGTCGCGCGTCGCGCGATGCGATCCGTTATTACAGGGCGCCGCAACTGCGGCGCCGCCTTGTCGAAATGGACGCCGCGCGCGCGCGCGACATCGATCGGCCCGAATTAGTCGCAGTCGCGGGCCCGGGGCTACGCGCCAAGCCCGTGCCCGCTAATCGCGCTACGGCTCCGACGCGCAGTGGTCCGGGGGACACGTGCGCCGGACGAGCGCCTCCTCCTCCGCCTCCTCGGCCATTCGCAACGGAGCGTGGCGTCCGGGTTTTTCGGTAGGAGCCGAGCGCCCCTCGATCACGCTCGGCCGTGTCAGCACTCGAGGCCCCGCTCGCAGCAGCCATATGCGGCAATTTGCATGCAAACGAGGCTTCGCCGCCGCGCGCGGGCCGCATTTAATTTTCGGCCGAGGTCGTAGGCGGCGGGCGTCCGAGCGGTCCCTCGGCCGTTCCGCGTGGATCGCGCCGCGCGCAATGCAGCGCCCGCGGGCGTGTTCGCGCTGAAAGCCGCCGCCGCCGCCGCCAGCGCGTGCCTCGCCGCGCCGAACGTCAGCGCAACAATAAGGCCAGGCCGGGCTCTCGTCATTACCGCTGCAGTTGTTGTTGCGGTGCAGCTGGATGCGCGCGCCCGCGCGAGAGCGAATAACGCACGTACGCGGAGGGTTGCGCGTGGGCGCGGCGAGCTTTTTCGCGGAGCGCGAGCGCCGCGAGTAAACAGGCTAACCGCGGCCAAATCGAATTGCGCGCAAATGAGGTTTAGGCCGGCGCGAGCGCCGGTCGGTCAATTATTCCGATTGGCAGGAGCCGCGCGCGCGCACCTCGATTATAACGGCGCTGGCGCGCATCGACCCACCGCGAGATCGAAGAACGCGCGTGCAACGCTCGATGAGGCGATGCCCACGGGCGCGCGTGCGATAATCCACGCTCGCGACCCCCCGCCCCCCCTCCACCTCCTACGCGCCACGCTGCGCACGGTCCGCGGCTTGCAGCTGCAGTCGCAGCGATGATTTCACCGACGCGCGGAGCTTTAATTAAATTCGTTTTAATATATACGTTTGAAGATACGCAGACGCGCGAGCACAAAGGACCAGCCGCCGGCGAGGCAAGTCCCAGCTCGCAGCTCTCCTCTTGTCGTTTTATCCGCCGTGAGCGACACAAAGCCTGCAGCTCTCGCCTTCTCTTCAAAGGCCTTTTTTGCTCTCGTTATTCTTCCCTTCTCTTTGCTCTTTATTCAATTTTTTTTTCAGCGCTTGTTGACAATCCAGCTTGCGACACATGATTCCATATCCGCGACCTTCCGTCTCGCTCTCTCTCTCTCTCTCTCTCTCTCTCTCTCTCTCTCTTCCTCATCGCTGCGATACGCAGCCCAAGTCGATCGACCACCCGTGCATTTTTAAAAGCCGAGCCCTCCGCGCACGTCGGATTGGCTCTCGGGCGTGCGCGCCGAATCCCAGTAGACAGATCCCCCTCCTACATCCCGTAGTATCACGTAAAATTGATGAGCACCGCGATTCGATATCAAACGAAAAGGAAAACGAGAGAGCCTGCGAGAGAGGAGGGAGGGGACAGCGGAGGGTGGCGCATTCCGCCGCGAGTGTTGTCGCCGAGTGGAAATCGAGAGGCTGGTCTGGCCCCGTAAATCAGGGGACATATTTCTCCGCTCGCTCGCTCGCGCTTTCCAAGATCGTTTTACTTGCAAATGCAATCACTAAGAGGGCCATCGACCTCGCGCACTTGACTGCCGCGGCCTCGCGCTCCCCTATTTCAATTAAACTGCCAAGCTGTCAAGAAAGTCCGGCCGCGTTCTCATTAGCCCATTAGCCGCCGCGAGGCTGCTCTGCTAACTCTGATGAATGGATCGCCCGGCGCTGCCGCTTCTTTTGTTTTTCATTTTTTTTTTTCTTTTTTTTTTTTTTTTCAATTCATTCTTCCGATTGAATACGCGTGGGCCGCACGCGCGGACTGGCGCACAATGCCGGGCTGCGCGCACGATAGCCGGCTAACGGCCGCCGTGCCGAGCGAAACTTTACGACGTAATTTCAGCGCGCTCGCCGAGAGTTGTAAAACTATAAAGCGCGGGAGGGCCCCGCGAGCGGCGGCGTGGGCTTAAGCTGCTCCTAACAGGGATTCGTTAATCTCTCCGTTCGAGACTTTTGCCCGGCACGAAAAAAGCTGCCAGCGAGTCGGCCGAGGGGTGGGTGGGTGGGCGACGCGACTCCTAATTGCGGCCTCGCACGCGCGCTCCCCGATCTGCTCCGGCGCGAGACATGCGCGAGGAGGCGTCGCGCGACAAGCCGTGGTGCCCCCCCCCCGTGTCCCGTGCCTCAGCCCCCTCGCGAACGAGCGAGCGCAGCCAAGTGAAATCGATTTTGCGGCCGCGTACACGCGTTGCGCCGTATCAAGCGGAGAGTGCTTTTATTAGGGAAGCCTCGTAAAAGTTTTCGACGAGCATGGGCGGCGAAGCAACAGCGGAGGCGAGCCGCGCGTCGCGGGTCGAGCGGGGCGCGCCCGGTGCCCTCCGCTCCGCCGGCGGCTCGTTCCGAGTAAGACGTGCCATTGACTGATAACGCTATCGGGCTGTATCGGGCCATGAGAAAGATAGGCACGATAAATCCATCGGGCGGGCGAGCAATCTTTGAGATCTCGGCTGATTTACAGTTGGGCTGTCGGGGCTTATAAGGCGCCGAGCTCGGGATTTGCGAGCAGTTTTCCAGCTGGAAACTTGAGCGGCCGGGGGGAGGTCGGGGGGAGCCCGGAAGGTAGGAACAAAAGGCAGGAAGGAAGGAAGGCAGGTAGGAAGGAAGGCAGGAAGGCAGGAAGGAAGGAAGGAAGGAAGGAAGGAAAAAGGAAAGGAGGAAAGGAGAGTCCTCGGACGGTCAGTATCGGGTAGTATTAGTCTCCGTGCGCCGCGGACTGCGGATAAAGTGGCACGAAAGAGCTGCTTATCGCCGACTGCTCGCTAATTCGATGGGGCAGCTGGCTGCCGCGCGACGGTCGGGGGGCGCGGGATTAAGAGTCTCGCGGCGCCATCCGGCGATGACTCGATGACGGCGGACGCGCGGGGCTGCGCCGCGCGGCCCCGCAGTATCTCTTAATTTCAGCTCACGGCGAGCTACACGCTTTGCCGCTCGCCCAGGAGAGCCGCCAACTTTTCTTCCTATTTGCTCGGAGCTCGGCTCTCTTCATCCTTTTTACCTTATCTCCGCGCAGCCAGGGATCACTCGCTGCACATCCCCGCCAGGATAAAGGCTTAGCCCCCCCCCTTCCGATATATCCCTTTGCTGCTTTTTCCACTCTCGCGCCAAACGTACACACACTCGACGCTTCGGTGCCGAGCTCCCGGTATATATCCCCGTCGCGCCGATACCCGATGGATTCCAGCGTTCTCGCTTTTTCTCGTTGCTGCTGTTGACGCTGTTTTTAATCTTTTCCATCGGCCCACGGCCGAGCTACTGCGCCAAGACACACGCGCGTTGCCCACTCGTCACGCCGTTATTTTTCCTCTCTCTCTCTCTCTGTCTCTCTCTCTTTCTCTGTCTCTCCCTTTCGCTCGCTCTGCGCTTTTGGCGCCGGGTCCCCATCGACGAGCGCCGGACAAATGACGTGTTTACATATTTTCCAGGTCGCGGACGCGCGCGCCATTCGTCACACCCGGCGCCGCGCGGCGCAGAAAAAGCAGCCTCGGAACAAATAGCCCCCGCCGTTTATATATACACCTCGGCCGATATTTCCGCGCGGCTCGCCCCTAAAAATAGGCCGACGCGGCTTGTTTTAATTTCCATGTGGGCCGCGCGCGAGCCACGGAGCTCGTCGTCACAACAAACACAGCGCGGCGACGACTGGAGCGAGCGACCGATCACAATAGAGGAGCGCGTGGCGCGAGTCTCTCGGAGCCGGCAGTCGCGCCAAGGCCCGACGGCCGCTCGGCGCGCGCGATCGCCGATACGCGCTTATCGGAGGCCCGAGCTCCTCGTAACGGTCCGCGGCGCCAGCGTCACCGTCGCAAATAGAGACACGTCAGGCATTTCCGGGCGGCGGCGTGCGCGTCGACGGTGCAGGCGGGCGCGCGCGCTCCAACGACGGCCGTTCGCGGACGGGCGGCGCGGCGCGAGGGAGGCCCGCGGCCTTGGGCCGAAAATAAGACGGGTTATCGGGCGCGGAGGTGCGGAATGCGTGCAGCGCGCGGCCGGGCGTCGAGGTGTGAGTGCACGGCCGGCTACGTGTGTCGGCGGCCGCCAGGCGCGTAGCCGCGGGCGAGCAGGCCCGCCGCCTCGGCGAGGCGCTCTCTCCCTCTCCGGCGAGCGGCGCCGATGTATAAAGCGAGCGGCCGCTCGCGAGCGCGGCCCAGTGCCGCTCGTGCGTGCGTGAAGCTCGGCCGTGTCGCCGCGGTGCAAGTGTGCGCGCGCGAGTGCCCGTCGTCCCACGCCTCAGCCGCGGAGCCGCAGCACCGAGAGGCCCGCGAGTCCGCATGCGAGCCCGTGCGGGCCGCCCGACCGGCCGCTCGCCGACGACCAGCGCCGCGCCCGACCGGCGTCCCTCCGCGCCGAGCAGCTTACGTCATCAGCGGCGCCAGCAGCAGCAGCAGCAGCAGCAGCGACGGCGGCGGCGGCGGCGGCGGCGGCGCGCAGCCATAGTTTGTTTGTTTCGCTGATCGGTAGGTAGGCAGAGCGCACCTCGCTCGGCCGACTCGCCGCCCGACTTATCGCGTCGCGCGCTCGCATTCCAGAGGCGGCTTTATTAATAGTCGGGCGCGCGCGGAAGGTCGCCTGGTGCCGCGCGCTCTCCCTCTCCCGGCGGCGCTCGTGCGCTCGCTCGCGCGCGCGACTTCGCAATGTCGGCGAGCCGCGCGACGCCGACTGCCGCCGGGACGCGGGCGCCGCAAGTCGCAAGTTCGCCGCCGCGGACGCGTCGCGCCTTTCTCCCGAGTGGGCAGAAGAGCGCCCGGGAGAAAGTCGCGGGGGCCATTGGCGTGGCTCGGCGCCGCTCGCGGTCCCGATCGCGACCGCGCGCGCACGCGGCGCCGGCAGCGGGGCCCGCGGGACCCGCGCCGCGCCGCGCCAACAAAGAGGCCAAGCCGGCCGCGACGGGGCCCCGCTCGCGCGCGCACGCCCGTGCGCCTGCCCGCCGATCGACGCGCGCTCGCTCGGACTCGCGTGCCAATCGCGTCGCCGCGTCGGCGAGGTTCTCGAGAATTTCGGCGCCGGTAATTGGGGCGGTGCGCGCGCACCGCGAGTGCCCCGGGCGGAAAATAGTCGGGGCTCGGCAGAGGCCCGCCGCGAAAATTGGCAAGAAGCGCCCGATGGAAGTCGCCACGAAACGGAGGCCGGCCGTGCCGATCGGACACCCGGAGCGCGGAGCGGCGAGAGCGCGGGCGCGCGCGGGTCGCGGCAGCGGCCACTGGCGTAATTAAATCGCCGGCGCGATAAGCGGGCGAGCGAGCGAGAATGACAAACGCGCGGGCCATTTGTCAGGGGCGCGCGCGCGGATAAAAGTTTATCACTCATTGGGCCGGAAATGCGCCGGGGGAGCGTCAGCTTTGCCTAATTGCCCGAGCCGGCGCGGCGCGCGCCCCTCGCGCTCCGGCTCCGATCGGCCGCTCGGCTTTATTTACGGCTGCCGCGGGGCCCCGCGCCGCGCTCGACCAGCTGGCCTGCGCCAGCGAGCGCCCGAGCCGCGGATCAATTGCGCCGCAATCGACGCGCGGCTTCCGAGGACGGATCGCGGCCGCTCAGCGAAAAGACAGCTGAGCTCAGCCGCGGTCGCGTTTTTCGCTGGCCTCGTCGGTTTTTTCGGCCGCCCGCGCGGATATGCCCGGAATCCGTTTGGCAATCGCTCGCGGAGAGGCGGCATTTCCGCCGCAGAATTCGCCGACGCAGGCGGCCGCTCGGGGCCCGCGGCGCGCACTCGATCGATCCGAATCGGCGGTAACGAGCCGTCTCGAGCGCGGCGGGGCTCCGTCGGAAGGGGGGCCGCCGCCGCCGCCGCCGCGCGGATAGCGAAGCTCGCGCTCGGCCGGGCAACAAGTGGACAATAACTCTCGGCCGCGAAAAGTATCGCGCGGGCTTGGCCGCCAATCCACGTCGCACCTGCGACCTCGCTCGCTGCATTACGTGACTAATTGCGCTTATCAATCGGGCGCAGCTGCGCCGGCCCGACGAGGATGCACGAGCGCGCCAATCCCGAGTATTTTCCACTGGATCGGCGCGCTCGCCGGCGTCTCGCCCGGGAAGGTCGCGCCTCGCGCCCGCGCGGGCGGGCATTCGCGCGAGAGAGGTGGCGCGCTCTGATCGCGCGAACACCGTCTGCTTGCAGCGAGCGGCTAAGGACGAGGGAGCGCAGCTACTCGTCGTCGTCGGCGGCGGCGGCGGCGGCGGCCTCCTCCTCCTTCTCCTCCTCCTCCTCCTCCTCGGCCCGGGACGACTGAGCCGGCAGCGGCGGTGAGGGGGCGGCGGCGACAACGGCATCTCACGGAGATCGGCCCGGGCTCGCCATGTGAGAACGGCGCCTTGGGCTCCACCAGCTGCGCAGAGGACTTACGCCGAGCGAGCCGCGGCGCGGCGATGCTACGTCAGCAGTTCGCGGCCTTGCTGCCGCTGCTGCTGCTTCTTCTGGCCGGTGAGTAGCCCCCTCGACTCAACTGGTCGCGACGAGTCTCTTTGTAGGTCGGCGGAGGATCGATAGAGCGCGCGAAAGAGCAGCGCCGGCACGAGAGATGTCATCTCCGCTGCTCGCGTAGCCGAGAGAGAGAGAGAGAGAGAGAGAGAGAGAGAGAGAGTTCTCTCTCTCTCTCTCTCTCTCTCTCTCTCTCTCTCTCTCTCTCTCTCTCTCTCTCTCTCTCTCTCTCTCTCTCTCTCTCTCTCTCTCTTCTCTCTCTCTCTCTCTCTCCTCTCTCTCTCTCTCTCTCTCTCTCTCTCTCTCTCGCTCCTTTCTCTCGTCCGCGACAGGCCGCCGATGATCGATCGCTCCGGCCGCGCAATTATCCTGTTTATTTTCCGCCTAGCCGTCCTCTCTCCCTTTTTCTCTCTCCGGCGCGCGAGCGCGAGCTCCTTATCTCTCCGCGACTCGCCATTTCCCCGAAGCGCTCTCGCTCTCTGTTATTACAGCCCCGCGCAGTGCAGTTATTCTCGTCTACCGCAGCGGCGGCGGAGCGCCGCGGGGGGAGTCGGGAGGGGGGCAGGAAAAACTTTGAGATATCAGCACTTTACGAGCTGCGCCTCTGACGCGGGTCGTTTGCATGCGTCGCCGGGGACGCCGCGGCGAGCCCCGTTGCCGCTGCTCGGCTCGCCGCCCGATAGTTTCGCCGATTCGGCTCGCGGCGATCGGACCAGCCGCACCGCCACTGGTCAGCCGTCGGCAGCCGCCGTCCGGCAAAGTTGCGCGGAGGAAGTGCCACGGGGCGGCGGCGGCGGTGGCGGCGGTGGCGACGGCGGCGGGAGGGGGGAGCGATTAACGGCGGATAAATATTGGCGGCGAGCGCGACGCGCGAGGCAGTCCGGAAATCGAGCAAACACGCTCTGCAAAGGAGCGCCGCTCAAATATTTATTCTCGATCTTGGCGCGGCTCGATATCGCGCGCACGCGCCCCGGCGAACGAGTTGGCGAAGCCGCGCCGCGTCTGATTATGCGCGCCGCGGCCCAATTGACTTAGTCGGATGCCGGAACCAGCGTTATTGGCCGTCCGCGCAGTTTTGCCAGGCGGCATTCCTGGGGCTCCTTCGGCGCTCGGAGATGCGCGCGAGACGCGGGCGGCGCGCCGTCGGAGTTGGGCGCAACTATGCCCGCCGCGGCGGGCTCGGCCTCGCTCGAAGCCGCGCGCCCGGAATGCGAGCCAAGTTCGCGCGGCCCCACTTGCCGGCGATCCCGCGAAAGCCCGCGCGGCCACTTTGCGCCCCATTAAAGCTCGTCGGGGGCGCCGCGGGTCGGCGCGCCAGTCGGTCTCCGAGGGCAGCGCCTGGGATTTGCAGGCGCGGCCGCTCGGCCTCGCGGCGGCCACTCCGACACTGACGAGTGTTTGCGGTGCTATCGTTGCGCAACGCACAATGGGGACGACAGGCTCGGCTTTCAACTCGCGGAAATTCGTTCTTGCGCGGCGTTCTTTTGTCTAAACCGGACCGGCCGAGCCAGCGAGCGAGCGAGAGAGCCGCCAGCGCGTTTCGGTAAAAGCCCGCCGCCGGTGGCTGCCGACGGCTTTGCCGGAATTAAGTCGAGCGCTTTGTTCGGCGCGAGCGTCAGAGAGTGATTTTGGAGATCGATGGCGCGGACGTGTTTGGAAATCGAGAGGCCGCCGCTCGCGGTCGAAAAGCGCTCGGTCGCCGCTCGGCGCGACGCGCGACGCGCGCGCCTGCCCGGGAGAAAAAGCTCGCTAATAGCCCGCAAATATTGGCTCCGGGGCGCGGGAAATATTTGAGCGGCAAAAATGCCAGCGAGCAAAGGGTACGGGATCCGCGCGGGCCGGAGCGACGTCCGCGCGGCTGCTCGCGCTGTCGCGTCAACGGCACGGCTCGCGCGTCGGAATGCCCGCGCCGCTGAAAAATCTTGGCCGCGGCAATAACTGCGAATTTCGCCGTCGGCGGGATCGCCGGCATTCCGGCTCGCTCTGCCAATCGCTGTCGGCGTCGGCCCGCGCCGCGCTCGCTCCCCTCGGATCTCGGGCCGTCGGCGGCTTCTCGGCTCGCTTTTTTGCCGGCGCGCACACACGCGCACACGGCGAGTCGAGGCTTAGCCGTCCGCGGAGAATCGATACTCCGTAGCGGCAGGCAGCGCCGGCGGCGGCGCCCGCGCGTGTGTGCGTGCGCGCGTATCGCCGCGTCGGCTTCGATCCGCGCGCGCGTCGTCGCTCGCGAGCGCGGCCGCTGATCGCGCGGGAGCGCCGAGGGCGCCAGCGAGGGCCCACGCAGGCTCGCGCCACCGCGTCCCATCAGGGCGCTTCGGCTCAAGGTCGCAGCTTATCCCCCGCTCGCGCGCGGCGCGAGGCAGTTATCGGGTCATCGGCGCCGATGGCGCGAGCAAGGTGTGTCGAGGTCGAGGGGAGCCGCGCGCCCCTTCGGGCGGACGAGAGCCTAGTCAGCGAGTCGTCGACCGTTGGCGCTAATCAAGCGCGGCAGGCGCGCAACGACGAGCCGCCGGGGCGTACTTGATGAACAACTGGCGGCGGCGGGCGGGCGGACCGATGTGATCGAGCGGCAATCGATGCCCCGCGTTTGACGGATCGCGGACAATTATAGCAACAGCAGCAGCGACGACGAGGAGGACGAGCGACCCAGATTCGGAGAGATTGATTGATTGTTCGAGTCGTCCTCCCGCAAAGCTCCGTCATACGCCGGGCCGCTCCATCGGCCGGATGAAGCTCCGCCGCAAAAAGCCTGTCAGTGTGCGGTCGCGACTGCCGCGAATCGATGCGTACCAACGACAAACAGATTGGATATATAGGTCGCCTGATCGAAATATCGCGCGCGGCATCGCAGAGAACGGGAGAGAGGCCACTAATGCGCGGCCACGCGGCGATATGGGTTCGTCAACTCTCAGCGCGCCCAGTTTGCGGTCGACTCGCTCGTGCGTCCGCGCTAAATCCGAGCTCGCCTATCTCGCGGCTGTTGCTCGCGGCGTAACTCGAGCCCGCAGCTCGTCGTTTCCGCTTTCCCGCGGCTCGGCTCGAAGACGACGACGACGACGACGACGACGACGACGACGACGACGGCGACGTCGAGGAGGACGCCGACGATTGAATTACGTTGGCGCGCGCAAAACGGCGCGCTCAGCTTTCGCGCGCGACGGCGATCCGACGGGAGACCGGCGGCGCAGCCGCGTTCCGCTGAGCGGGCTCGATTCCACGAGAGCGGCTTTGACATGCAAATTCGCATTAATAAATCGAGCGAGGCACGTCGCGCGGGTGGCAATCCGCGCCGCTTCGAGCGGTTAATTGGCCTTTTTACGCGGCTCGGTCGGCCCGCGCGCGCTCATGACTATGCTAATTGCGCGCTATTGCGCCGGGTTGCGCGACTGCGGAGAGCCGTTATTGGCGCGATGTCGAGCACCGAGAGCGCCGCTGCGGAGTGTTTGTCGGGCGTGGAATGCCGATGATTCAGCGCAACGGCGCGCGACAGCTGGCCCGAGTCAATCTATCGAGATTGCCCGCTGATAAGCGCGCGCCTCGTTCTTGGCAAGCGACGGCTGGCGCGACTGGCGCAACAGTTGGAGTGCGCGCCCGCGCGATCGAATTAGCGGCCGGCCGCCGCCGCTCGCGGGGCCCCCGGCCTCCGGCCTGCGCCTGATTGCACGCGCCCGCCTGATTGCACGGAGCCGCTATTTGCCGGCGCTCGATTGCCACGGCCCCGGCCCGCGGGCCGCCCCGCGCGCCCGAAAAAATCGGGGCCGCGCGTCGCTTGGCTGCCGGCCAGCCAGCCGCTCGCTGCGCGGCCGGAAACGAGCGCGGCCCCGCCGCCCTCGGCACGGCAGCGCGCTTAATTGCGACTTTCTTGTTTTGCCGGCTGGCAGCGGCAAATTGCAGTCGGAGCGCCGAGCGGGAGGCTGCTTTCGACCGGCGCCAATTAAAAACTTGGGCCGGGGCCGCCCGCGGCTAATCGTCCGAGCCAAGGCGAGCTTAATGGATGCATCGCCAATATCCGGGGGCTGCTTGCTCGACTCGCTCGGCCCGCCGGCTGCTTATTGCCGGGGAGCGGCTTAATGAAAAGCGGAGCGGCGGCGGAGACGCTCGGCGATATTGCGCCTCGTTGATCGTCTCCGCGCGTCTGTCGCCCGTGTGCCTGCGCAGCAAGCGCGATGAGGCGGGGGGGGGGGGCGGTTTGCCACCTCTAATTTGCCAGCACTCCGCCGACTCGACTTGCGCCCGACAAAGGCCGCGCTAATCAACAGCGCGCTCGTCCGCTCGCGCTCCGTCGAGAGAGGCGCGCTGGTCGCCTCTGCCCCTGATTCCCCGTCCAAGATTGGCCGATGCCCCCGCGGGAGCGCGCAGCCGAGGGCCGAAGGTCGCTCGGGGATCAGCCGTTCGACTCGCTCGCCTTGGCCGACTGCGCCGTCCATTAGTGGAAACGCGCGCGCGTTACGCGCGCAAGCCGCTCGGACGGGCGGACGGGTGGACGGACGGACCGAGGCTCGACCGCGCCACGACTTCTTTTTAGCTAATTGCGGGCTTTTCTCCCGCGCCGCGACGGCCACGCGAGGGTAATTGAGCGGAGGCAGCTCTAATGAAGTTCGAGCGAAACTCAATTTTCGCTGCGAGCCGGCTCGGCGAGTTCGCCCTCGCGCATTCGTAAAACGACCTTAGCCGAGCGCCGGGGCCGGCTTATCGAATCGCTCCTTCGTCTCCTCGCTCGCGGCGGACAGCTGCCGTTGTCGTCGTCGCGCTAGAACGGCGCTAATAAAACTAAATAGAGCGAGCGAGCGCTCTCTGTCTTCCCGCCGGCTCGGTGGGAAATGCATAGAGCGAGTTTGCCGCGCCGAGAACGAGTGCACTACACATAAATCGCTCTCGCCTCGAGTTGCAAGCCGAGGCGGCGGTGGCAGCGACGTAAGATGATTTCCCAGGCGGTCTCTGCACTTAATCGCTTGGCTGATTGTGCTCGAGCGCGCTCCGGCGTTTCTTCAATCTCGACCCGACTGCCGCCGCCGCCTCGTTACGCTACGTCGGCTTGAAGCCCCGGATAATGAGGCTGCAGTCGCGCTCTTCCCCTGTCTGATTTTCGGCAAATGCGATTTTGGCGGTGTCTCCACCGAGAGACCAATCGAGGCTAAGGCGCGCCGACGGCCCGGACCAAGGGACGCGAGCTCCTCGTCGGTCAATTAAACGCGCGGCGAGCGAACGGAGCGGCACGGCGCCGCGCGTTTTCGCAGCCGCGGTCCCTTCCCCCTTGCGGCTGCCGCGAATCGTCGGCGGCGCGCGCTGCGCGTGACGCGGCCCGATTACGCGGGCCGAAGCTCGGAATATCGATGCCGCGTGGCGTCGCCGTTGCGGCTGCCGCTGCAAACTCGCCTCCTCCCCTCGGCCCTCCGCCGCGTCGCTCTGCCGGTCGCGCGTTTCCGTCGCCGCCCGAAATTCAATTTTCGCCTTTTTCGCCTTCTTCCACCCCGCGCCCCCTCCGGTCCCCCGGCAATCCACTTGTGCGCCGAGCAAGATCTTTCTCTCTGGCGCTCTCTTTGGTGCGCGCCTCGAACGGCAGCTAAGCGAGTTTGCTCTAGCGCGAAGCTGCATTAGCGTCCGGCTCGTAATTACCTTAGCCCCAGTCCGTTTATCTATTTGCTGATGCTCCAGATGCTAATGGACGCTGAAGTTTGGAGGACGAGCGCCGATGGTCGTTGCTTCCGCCGGGGCGGCACTACGCACTCGCCGCGGAGCGGAGGCGAGAAAGAAGGACTGGGCGACGCCGACGGAGCGTCCGACGCGCCGGCCGCGGCGTTAATTTTGCGGAGCGGCGCGCGTGTCCCCCGTCCTCCTCCGAGCTCGTGTGTCTCGGCGAGCCGTCAAGTTTCATTGCGCGCGCGCTCGTAAAAATCAATGGAGCTTGCAGCGCCGAGCCCTCCGCGATTAGTCCGTCAGGCTGGGCCGGGTGGCAATCTAATCGCCGCGGCCCCATCGCGCCGCCCGTCTAATCAGCCTGAAAACTCCGCGCCGTCGCCGGATGTAATAAGGCAAGAGAGACCGGCGGCGCTGATAAGGGCCGCCGGGCGGCGATAAGCGCCAGACAAAGGAACTCGCAGCTCGATAGTCCGACGGCTTATCGGGCAACTACTCGCCGCGTCTCGCCGCCGACGCTAATTAATCCGCTCCGGCGAGCGACTTGCGCGGCGGCCCTCGGCTGCCGCCAGCTGACGCGCAACTTTACCCGCGGCGAGACGCGTCCCCGCATTTGCATGTGCTCTCGGCGGCGTGACGGGCGCGTCAGCTGCCGCCGCCGCCGCCGCCGCTTCCGCGCTCCGCTTCCTCGACCACTTCGTTCGGATGATCGTCCGCGCGCGCGCGCCGCCACTGGAAATCCGTGGTCGCGCTCGGCGCCGCTCGCCAGCGCGCTCGCCGCTCGTATAATAGCGCGGATCGATAGCGGCGCTTGAAGGGAGCGGACGCGATCGCCACGCAGATATAGCCGACCGCTTCCCCGGCCTTTCGCCGCGGAATCTCGCGTTCGAACCGTCGGGTCGACGGCGAGTCCGTCGATCAGCCGATAAATAGGCGGAGAGCGAGGGAGCGGACGCCCGATTTCTAATTAATCGCGGGCGCGCAGAGCCCCGACGACTGCTGCACCGGGCGTGTAACCGAGTCGCGACGAGTTCGAGCGCCCGCGGAGATACGTCCGGCGGTTCTCAGCTGATTTCGCCCCGGGAAAACATTGAATATTTGCGCGCGCTCGCTCGGCTTCTTACGAATAACGTCCCCACGAGTCGGGTCGAGGAGCTCGGACGTCGTGCGCTCGCCGCGAAAACCTGCCCCCCGCCCCCTCCGACCACACTCGCTCTCTCTCTCTCTCTCTCTCTCTCTCTCTCTCTCTCTCTCTCTCTCTCTCTCTCTCTCTCTCTCTCGCTCGCTCGCTCTTCCCTGCCTTCTCTTGCTTTCTCCGCTTTTCCTCCGGGCTGCCGCATATTGAAATGCAGATGGCTAGCAAGTTTCTTGCGGACGGCATGAATTCCAAATTAGACGGGCAACAACAGTGCAAAAAGAAAAAAAAAGGAATGGCAGACTCGCTTCCGATCCGTCTACTCCCTGCAGCACCCCGCTCGCGACACAGCTTGCGCTACTGTCTTTTCCCCTGGCCTTGTTTCCCGGCTGCAACTTTCGAACCGAATTCATCGACGCGACGAGCCGAGTATCGATTGGCCTGCGCGCTTACTCGGGCACAAACGCCCGATAAAGCTGCGAGCGCCAAAGGAGGCGCTGGTCGGGCGCGCGGCGAACGATGACGGCGCGACCGAGTGACGGCGAGCACCACCGCGGCCTGCCAGCCGGACGAGCGCGCACGGCCGAGCGGAAGGGGGCCCGCGAAGTCCGCTCGAAGGGCCGCCGATCCAGCGGCGCCCGCCGGTCGAGATCGCGCGGCGCCGCTGACGGCCCCGGCTTGGTTGCAGGCGGCGCAGGCGGCGAGGCCTGCCCCGAGGACAGCGTGAGCAGCGAGGACGGCAGCGGCTGCCGCTGCATCCCCGAGTGCCCGCGCCACGAGTGCCCGGCGGGCACGCGGCGCACGCGCGTGCGGGACGCCGTGCCCGAGCAGCCGGGCAGCTGCTGCCCGCTGTACGAGTGCCGCGACCAAGGTGAGTGCGGGCGCCGGCCCGGCCGCGGCGCACGGCTCACCGACGTCGCTCGGTTGCAGCGCCGCTGAACTACGACTCGGCCGAGGAGGCCGGCTGGGCCGCGGCGCAGCAGTGCGTGGACGACCGCGGCCAGCCGCGCCAGCTGGGCGAGCACTGGCTGGAGACGGACCCCTGCACCAACTGCAGCTGCGAGGCGCCCGGCCGGCCGCGCTGCCAGACCACCATGTGCCGCAGCTGCGCGCGCCCGCGCCCGCGGCACCCCGACGAGTGCTGCCCGCGCTGCCCCGAGGCGCCGCAGCAGCAGCGCTGCGCGGCGCTGCGCGACTGCGCGCCCGCGGCCCGCGGCTGCCCGCACGGCCTCCTGCGCGACCGCGACGACTGCGAGGTGTGCCAGTGCCGGCCGCGCGCCGACTGCCCGCGCCGGCTGCGCTGCCCCGCGCGCTGCGGCGACGGCTACCGGCTGGACCGGCGCAGCGGATGCCCGGTAAGCGAGCCCCGCGCCCCGGCCCCAGCCCCGAGCGCCACTCAGCGGCTGCTTCGCAGGTCTGCCAGTGCCTGGACAGCTGCCTGGACGAGGCGGGCCGCCGGCGCCTGGAGGGCGAGCGCTGGAGCCCCGACGCCTGCCGCAGCTGCGCCTGCGGGCCCGCGGGCGCCGTCGGCTGCAACCGCACGCTGTGCGCGGCCGGCTGCCCGCTGCCGCCGCCGCCGGGCCGCTGCTGCGCGCTCTGCCCGCCGCCGCAGGTACGCGCGACCAAGGCGAGCCCCGACTCGCCCACCCCCGGGCTGGCGGCGCGACTGACCGCGCGGCGCGTTGCTGTTGCAGGAGGCGGAGGCGCCGGGCGGCGGCGGCGGCGGCTGGGGCCCCGCGCCGATCGCGCTCGTCGCCGTGCTGGGCCTGCTGTGCGCGGCGCTGCTGGCGCACCTGGCGCGCGGCCGCCTGCGAGCGCGGCTGCGCGCCGCCGAGCTCGACTTCGCCGGCTTCCCGCAGCTCCACCGGCACCCGCAGCAGCCGCATCACCCGCAGCAGCAGCAGCAGCAGCAGCAGCACCAGCAGCAGCACCAGCAGCAGCAGCAGCCGCAGCAGTACTACAAGTGCGTGCCGGCGTACGAGCCGGTGCTGCGCCACGCCGAGAAGATCGCCGCGCTGTGAGCCAAGTTCGATAGAGAGGAGCGCCGGGCGCTGTACAAAGTGTCGCAGCCCCTTCGACGTAGTCGTAGCCACAGTATTATTTGCCGGAGCCGGGCAGGGGGGCCGCGCCGATCCGCGCGCTCGGCCTCGCGGCCGCTTATATATTTCGATTGAGTATTATTCTCGGGCCGCGTGACTGCCCCGGGGCACGCGCTCGCTAGCCAAATTCTTCCACCCTCTTCACTTATTTATTGTTGACCTTGCTGTCCTTTCCTCCTCTCTTCGGCGGCGCACCTTGTCGCGTCGTCACACTTTTTTTTATACATTCTAGTGTGTACATGATCAAAGTCAAGCAATAGCCTTCGATGTTAAGGTGGCGCATCGAACGGTGCGACCCTACTAGACTTTAAGCTATCGAGCCCTAAGTGTAAGCAAGTTAATAAATATTTCATGTACTGTGATTTAGGATCAAAAAGAAAGAAAGCAAAACTGAGGTAAATAAAGAAATCAATATGACAAGCGCCACCCTTCGCGCGGCGGGCAAAATCAAGCATATCAAGCTTCAATTTTTGTTGCCGACTGCATCCGTCAATCGGAGCACTCGAGAGAACTTGCTACGCAAGGACAATTCTTCCGAAATCGATATTGTTATTGGCCTACCTATAGCTATATATTACGTGTTAATTATGCAAATCATGTATTGTATGGAAATAAAAGCGTGATCAAACGACGAGTTGAGCAGCGATTAAAAAGAGACTTGTGCAAAGCTGTATTTTGTTGTGACCTGCACCGCAAGAGAACTACTCCCGAGTCGTGTGCGTGTGCGTTTGACCGCCGCCGCGTTCCTCCCGCTGCACTTGCCTCGCGCGCCTCCATAGTTGTACGGGCGGTCGGCCGTAGCTCCGGCGCTCAGGCCCCGCGCTAAGAACAGGTCGACTCCGAATCGCGACCGAGCCCACCGACGACCAGCGTCGTTTCCGCTGCTACGATCGATCCTGCCGGTCCCCAAATTGTTTTACCGGCCTGTCAGCTCGCCCTTGGCCATTCCGGGCTCCCGTCTGCGGTCCAGCTGCTCGTGAAAAAGAGGACAAAATAAATTGCCTGCCAATATTAAATTTCGACGGTAAAAGACGAGCTTGGAATGGGAGTCACGTGTACTCGCGCTGGAAATCGCGGGAAATCGCTCGATTGGCCATCGGGTCGTGTCGGTCGATTCAGTGGAGCACACAGCTGTCGCAGGCGAGCGAACTACGTCGCAGCCACGGGCGACGACGGACGTCTCCTCGGATTCGCTCGCGCGCATACGCACATATATTTTTTCAACGCGAAAGGCCAGAGGAAGCTCAGCCCGCGGCGCGCGGCTGCTGCAACGGTGCCGCTCGGTCGCGCGCGTCCCAAGCCCGACGGATCGCGACTCGGCGATTCGCGCGCCCACATCGCAATGACAATACTGTAGAAGAGCCGCGAGCGAGCAGTCGGCGCGCGCTCGCAATAACGCTGAGAGGATATCGATCGACGCGCCCGCAGCCTCTCCGCACCGACGACGCATCGAAGCCAGCCGCTTGTTTTTATACACGACACGCGCGAATAATAGTTGCCTAACGTACTGCTCCAATCATCTCTCTCCCTTTCCCTTTCCCTTTCTCTCTCTCTCTCTCTCTCTCTCTCATTCTCTCTCTTGATGTGTCTCTTTGAAAAAGTTAGCTCGGCTGAACACAGCGCAATACGCACCTACCTGTACTGCATATCGACGTTGACTCCAAGTTATCGTACACACACACATACACACACACACACACACACACACGCGCGCGCGCGCACATGTATACATATATATATGCTGTTTTCCTTTCGACGAATGTGATATGTGCTATGATTGTTGACACGTCGACTTTGATGCAGAGGAATTCTGTACATGCTTCCGATCTACCACACGAATAATTTGAATAAATATCGATGAAAAGCCTGATAACTCGTTACCAATGATTATTACCCTGCCACTCCAGTGTACATTCGCCATGAAAACTTGACTTTACGAGCGCCGTTTTGCGAGCTGCATCGTTACAAGAGCGCCAGCTAAAAAACCGCTCAGGCAATAGTCGCAGAAGGAGTCAATTAGGCATGCATCGGGTAGTCTGATGCGGCTGGGCCTTGCTGAGGAGGCAAAACCCGGTATATAAATACATACTGACATACATTTTAACGTCAAAGGAGCCGCAAGCAAGTCGTGGCTCGCGCGCTTATCCGCTTTGGCCCGTACAACTTTACATTATTTAACGAGGCGCGCGCGACCGAGCGCCCTCTTTGCCGCCCCGGCCCATGGCCCACCACGTAATTGAATTCGCGATCCGCGAGCTCTTTTGGTCCCTCCGAAGCATCTCTTCTCGGCGACCTGCAACTGCCCGCAGTAGTCTCTCTCTCTCTCTTTCCTGACGCTCAACTCACCCTAGTCGTCGCATATTTTCCGGGCGTTTGATCGCCAGTGTGGTGCTCGACTCCACTGATCGCTCTTTCGCGCACTTTGGTCCACCTATTTACCTGCACTAGGTCCATTTAATCGAAGCTAACCTATGGTCCCTTACTCGCTTTTCTCGCGTCTGCAATTTCCGCTAATTGGCAAACTTTTAGACCCGGTCGATATCGCGAAAACTTTGAGTCTCCGTCGGCAAGTTTGATCACTCCCACTCTTTTACCATCTTCTGGTACATCATCTTTTATCGACTGGGCAAACAGTAATTGCGAGATGCCGACGCCTGCGACTACAGGACAATCGATCGAAAAAGCCGGACACTACTATTTCGACATTCAACTGGTACGGATCCAGCATCGTTGCAAAGCCACTGTATACATCAATTGAACACCGTTGATTTGGCAATTATAAACGAAAAACATTTAACATAACAATGAAGAGAGAACATTAAGACTGTTCAATTAGTAGAAACAAAATTTGAACAACTTATTTTGAAAAGTTTGGATATTAATTGAAAATGTGGTAACTGCAGCAACTCTAATTTTATATAATGCCTCGTTAAAAAAAACGAATTTCTTACTATGATATTGCCTAAAAAGCATTGCAAAGCCTTTAAGCTAATAATTTTTATTTCAATATTTTCCGTTTATAGTTGTCAAGTCAACAAAGCTCATCAATTGAATATTCAGCCGAAACTCGTTTGCTCTTGGGTAAATCATTAAATTATTCATTTACGGAAGATTTCCTTAATGAAAAAACTTGTTTTAATCGAGCAAGCGAACTTTCTTAAACGCTCATACGGGTTGAACTAAGCTATTTCACTGACCTATATATAGATCACCTCGTTTCAACTTTTAATTCAATTTTGAATGAACACATTATTCAAAATTTCCGATTATCTTTTCTCGAATCTTAAAGTTTAAAGAAGCAACGTGAGAAGTAATTTGTCGCATAAATTGATTTTTCGAAATCGCCATTGCGATGTAATGTTCCCATACCACGGCCTATATTTCTCATGAAAAACCGCGTACACCTATAATTAAAATTAAGTAAAAATTAGCAAGTATAGACCCCGATACATATATCCATAGATACATTAAAGACGTAACGAAAATTTAAATAAATATTACGACGAGAGCTACAATGTCGTTTTACTCAATTGATGATAAAATCTTAACACTGCGATTTCACCTTTCATTGTAATGGTTATACGCGTACGAATCTAATAACCCAATATCACGAGTTTCTTGGCGAAACGATTGATTCGGAGTTGATTAAGTGCAATCTCAATAACGCCGTCCACCCTTTGGTATTTTTTGCTTATTGGTTTGCTTACGCTTCTTACAGCTTAATCAATATCGCAAACATGAGCCGGTCTTTCCCCCTCATTTTACCACGGTGACCCGCGGAGGGAGGTGGCTTTCGAGGGAAAGTCGCAATCAATCGACACCATTAAATTTTCGACACCGGCGCGTAAGATAAGATTTTCGATATAACTATCGTACATATATGTACGTGTATATGGGACATACATCAGTAGGTAACTGAAACAAGAACATAAAATGCTACGCTGTTTTTGTCGCGTCAAAGGCCCTTCTACCGCGATAAAGACAAATGGCCGTTCATTCATCTTCATTAAATAAAATTAAATTCATTCATCATTTACAATATCGGTTTTGCATCGCTTAAAAGATTGTCAATGTGTGAAATAAAACCAAGGTTTAATACACATATAATCTATAATCTATATTATATATACAGTAGATGTACAGACACATTTTTAATGGTATTATCCAAATACATTTACATCATATACATCCATGTCGAATCACAAGTAGCAGCTATTACTGCCTTTATTTACAGATGTGTGTGCATATATATATATATTTAATACTTTGCTAAATAAAAAATTACAGAAGAAAAGATAGCTACACTTAAAACTCAGCCTTTTTACAAGCGTCAATTCTCTCGTTTTATATTGCATATAGATTCTCTTGAAAATGATAAATAATTACAGATAAAAACAACTATAAAGCTACACCTATTGAACTGAAATGATAATTACTGGCTCGAACAGAAGCGTTTGTATTTCATTAAAACCTGTTAAAAAAATGTTCTCAATGTGAAACCAAAACGTCCAGGGTATCTAAAAATGATCTAATGATTATGATAATTATCTCACAATAAATAAATACAGTTGATAGCGGGTAATAATATATAAAATTAGAGTAGACTAAAAGCGAGACGAGGAGTCCCTGAAGAAAAGAGGTCAATGACGAAATGTAGAATAGCACATAGTTGACGATATTGAAAAACGCAGTTGAACGGTGGTCGAACGCGAAGGACCAAAGTTACCTTAAGTAGCTAGGGAGGGGAGATGGGAATAAGCGGAAATTTACAACAATTTACAACAGCCTTCGGCAGGTTGGCAGTAGTGAGCCTCGTCGTACTCGTCTTGGCTGGCCGTCGCACTGTAGTCCGTCGGTCACATCGAGGGCTGCGGAGGCGGCAGCATGCTTTCGTAACCCGTCGTCATGCCCAGCTGGTGATGGTGGTGGTGATGGTGATGGGAGCTGGCCATCATCTGATGATGATGGTGATGGCTGGGCTGGTAATACTGGTGGTGGGTGATGTTCGAGTGGGTCGAATAATAAACGGGGCTCTGGTCCATCTCCTTTCCTGCGCAAGCAATTGTCCGATTGTTCAGCATGAACGAAGCCTACGCGACGAGAGCTTTCGTCGACGGCGGAGCTGAGAGGAAGCGCTTACTGTCGTAGATGTCCCGGGCGTAGACGCAGTGCGGCTTGACGTCGGCGGCGGCAATAGGGTTGTGGGTGGTGTGCACGGGCGAGGGCGTGACCACGGGACTGGCGTAACCTTGGTGATGGGGCGCGGCGGCGGCGGCAGCTGCCGCTGCAGCGGCTATGGGCGACATGCCGACGCTCGAGACCGGCGACATGGTCAGCGACGCGTAGCCCGAGTCTAGTGCCTGCAGGGACTGTTGCTGTTGCTGTTGCTGCTGCTGCTGTTGCCCGCCGGCATTCATCTGTTGCTGGTGCTGTTGATGTTGCTGCTGCTGTTGCTGCTGAGAGTGATGGGGGGCCGTCGGAGCACCCAGCGGACTCGTCAGGGGGTTCGACACTTGACAGTTCAGCGGCAGAATGTCCCTGTGGAGCCACGGACAATTTCATTTGTCGGCTTGCTCTTTCTATGCTTTGCCAAGATGATATTTAGATATACGGATCAGAGCTCCGTTCGCCCTCCTCTTTCTCATATAATTCATTCAACCAATTTGAATCTCAAACGCTTATAATTGTAACGATTAATTAGTCATTCCGAAATGCCTTTATAAACACGACTTAAACGTAAGGAACTTTCTTCCAATCATGGTTCTAACAAATATTTATCTACGAAATAGAAAAATGCATCATTTCTCTTCATTTTTTCTTATTTTATGTTGATTATTATAGTTATTTCTATCATTTTCCTTATCAATGTACGTAAAACAAAAAAAAACAAACAACGCGACTTTCCCGTTAATAGTCTTTCTAAATTATTAATAATTGGTCAAAAAACTTATTCGTCGTTAAATGTTCATACTCGAGTTAAAAATAACAATTGTCAAAGCGTTCTGTGTAGCCGTTTTTATGGCAAACAAATCAAAAACGCGCTCTTGCTACTTGGCATTGTTGTTTTTGGGAAAGAAACGAAAAGTAAATAATCGCAAATAAAAAACTATGCCTGGAAAAAAAACTTGTCTTTTAATTTACATTGAAACATGGGTGTGAAGAACATTTCGACGAGTTTTTTTAGTTCAAATTTAGGTATGTGCACTAATTGATGCCTATTGCTCGAACCACAACTTATTTATAACTTTAATAAAGCATGCAATAGTCGACAAACGATTTTGTTTATTTTAGAATATTATGAATGTCAATGGAGGTAACGGAGGTGAAGAAATTTACACATTTAATACTTTCCCGATTTCGCACCGAGACTTTTTTTCATGGAATTTCGATAACGTGTTCTCGTTTTACAAACACTAACTATGTTTTTATGATGCCAAGTATTAGGACCCTGGCTCGTATGAGTTGTCCCTATCGTGTATATTTACGTATCACGGCTGATAATTTTTTCTTTTAGGCTTTCTGGTACTTCACGTTATATATCCTCGTTCAAGTTCAAGTTATGTGATAATTTTTTAGCGTTGATAGATAAGCATTGTTTTGATTTTTGCGCGTATGCTAGTTAATAAACTCTTTCCGAGGCTCACTCAAAAACTTTGTATAATATTTTCGCTAACCTTACCATTTTTATTGGACTTTGGAAGATCAAATCGTACGTTGCCTTGAGCGACACGCGATTTATAAAATAATTCTCAAGTAGCTAAAGATCCGTTATGAAAGCATAAATCTTGAAAATCGCTTGAATGTTGATGGCATGATTATTAATGGAAATCACGACGATTGTACGCGATGCTATTTGCCTTTTTTTCGACGTAATTTCTAGAATTTTCGAGCCTAAGACGACGAGCGAGTTTCATGAAAAGTGACAGGCAAGCAAAACTGTTCTGATAATTTTTCGAAAAGTTATTAGAATTTTTTAAATTATTAAACACGCAATGTCGTTCACGGGCATTCGCAATTCAGTGGAGAGAAATGCGACACGCCTTATATTTTTCTTGCTTTTTTTTTTGGCATCGCAGAATTTCGACCGTCAAGCAGAAGATTTGAGCATTTTAAAAATTGTGATAATAAACCTATGCACGGTTTTTCAAAACTACAAATCTAAAAGTCAACTAAATAGATAAATTTTATTTGAAAACGAGGTTCAATGGGATTTTCGCAAAATCATATCAAGCCTGGTAGAAAGCACCTGTAACATTAAAATTACCGCAATTCTTGGAAAAACCATAAAGCTTTTTGAACGTTTTCGTGATCATATTTGAGTGAATAGCCCCTCTAGACAAAATTCATTATATTCAATTATATAAATGGATTTATAAATCTTTTTGGTAAAGTACCTTGTTTATGAATGACATTGACTAAATAAAAAACTTACGTGGTTTGGAGAAAAAGAAATTAGTTAAAAAATTAATTTAATATTTTAATGCTAATCATTAATGGAAGATTGCACCAGGTCATTTAATCGAAATTAAATCAACTATCGGAAATATACTTTCGAGTGAGACGAGGCCTGATCGAATTGGCTGAGCCGCCGGAGAAACGCGTACGAACACTAAAGATAAAACTCGTATGACGAATATTGAACCTACACTGCAAAAAATGTCTTATAGGGATTAAATGCGTATGCAGCGAATTCAAAAACATGATTTATTCCAACTAAGGAGCTATGAAAATGGTGTGAGGACGATCAAGGCTTCACGGTTGATGGGAAAAAGAAATTGATATAAAAAAAACCCGACTGTCATAATTGTAAGTAATTATGAGAAAAAGAAAACAAAAACGTTGTTGAAGTTGCTGCACACTTGAAATAAGAACTTTTGTTTGTAGAGTATCTATTCTCAAAGATCATAAATATTGTTCTTTGAAAATGAGGTCCAGACAGTGGCAGGCGATAATGACCTGACCACGAAGGCTCTTGCCGAAAAGAATAAGGGACAAAAGAGAAAGACTTTCCCGACGCGCATACAGGTCATAAATGAAACAATAGGCTCATGGTAGCAGAAAATTAAGAAGGAAAAACATAAGATGAGGCAATTGTAAAAGCAGGCCAAGCATTTAGGAAACTTATGTGCAAGTTCTGGGCTACAGATGCCAAGAGTGCATTGTCTCCCGCAGGCAGTCGCGCGACACATGTGTAGCGGTTCCCGGAAAAGCGACGTCCGTGAAAAACACTGACCGCGCGCGTTACGCAGCCTTGTCTGTCTTGGAAAATTAGGGGGGGGGGGGGCGTAGGCCACGTTGCGTCGCCCTGACTCCCGGAATACCGTGATTTGTGCATGCCTACATCCGCCGCCGTCCGTCGGGTTTGCCGATCGCTCGACCACGTCGACGGGGAAAAGCAGAGAGGCTCGTCCGTCGGGCACGAGAGGTTTATTAGCGAGGCAGCCGGTCGAGCAAAGGTGTTGCCGTGCGACGCGACGAGCTCGCGGGACCCGCCTCCCGTCTCCCCCCGCGCCGCGCGCGCGTAACAGAGCGACAAAGGCCGCGTGCTCCTCTTGTTTCTTTTTCACGCTTGCTCCTTTCTCCTTCGTGCGTTCTCTCTCCCGCAGCCCGCGAGAACGAACTCACGCGCGGGCGGCCAACGCGAGCGTGCTCACGAAACGCTGGTCGGATTTGCCGAACGACGAGAGGGTGCAAAGTGGCAGAGCGCGAAATCAGCGCGATAAACCAAGTAAGGCGGGGGGGGGGGGCAGAGATACACGTGTCGGGGGCTAGCCAGAACTGTTCAAGCTGCATATTATAGTGAGTGAGCGCAGCTCAATAGTCTGAAAGAAGAGACGTAACCGAAGCTGCAGCGTAAAACGGTAATGGGGCGTTACGTTTCCCTTCTCTCTTGCTCGCTCGCTCTCTCTCTTTCTCTCTCGCTTTCTTCGATGAGCCGACGCGCGCCCAACGATTCGGCTTGTTCTCGCGGATTATCGCGAGCCGGGCCCCAAATGCGATCAGTTCGCCCGATTGACCAGCCGCTGCCGTCGCTTTAACGACGTTACGTCGTTTTCCGCTAGTTTGGCTCGGTCGCGCCGTCGAGTATTCGGCCGTAGCCACAACAACTGCGTTCGAAGCGCTCCTCTCCCTCCTCCGCTTCGACCAGCCGCCCATTCGAATTGCACGCGCCATTAACAACCGCGGCCCTTCGGTACGAGAAAGCCCCTCGTCACCGCAAATTAATAATCGGCAAGGAGCGTGTGAGAGAAAGAGAGAGGGGGAGGGGGGAGGGGGGAGGTATTAGGTGTCGGGCGTTATCGCCGCGACGGCGGTTGACTGCCTGTTGCGCGCTCGCGCCTCCGTCAATAACAGCGAGCGGGCAGCGATATATCGATTGGAGTGGACTCACGGTCGCTGCTGTGGCGTGCGGTCGCGCTGCCGGCGGTTCTTGAACCAGTTGGAGACCTGGATGAGCGTGAGGCCGGTCTTCTTGGCCAGGTTCTTCTTTTCCTCGGGGTTGGGGTAGCGATTCTTCTCGTACATGTCCTTGAGGGCGTTCCGCGACTTCTCCTTGAAGCAGTAGATGGTCTCCTCGCCGTCCCAGATGGTTTTGGGCAGCGGGAACTTCTTGCGCAGCCGGTACTTGTCTACGGCGCCGAGCTGCCGTCCGCGCACCTTTTCCTGCTCGAAGTAGTGCGACTTCCACCACATCTGCTGCAGCTCGGCGTGGCGCCGCTGCGAGAACTGGTTAGACTCGAGCAATTTGTACACCTCGTAGTAGTTGCCGCGGTGGAAGGCCACCGTGGCCCGGGCCATCAGCACGCTCTCGCCGCTGAGCCGCTGCTTCGGCAGGCTCGTCAGCAGCCTGCGGATTTCATTGTTCGGCTTAGGCTTGGCCGTCGGACATCGAAAACGGAAAGAGAGCGGCCTCGGCTCGAATTACGCCGCTCGACTGTTTTGCTCTCGCACGTTTTGTTTACAAAAGTCGAGAATGCCGCGCGTCTTTTTTCCAGCACTTGCCCTCCAGGCCGCCGAGAAGGCACACTCGCGATCGCGATCGTGATCGCTCGGCGCAGGCGAATGGGACCCACGCGCGCGAACAGTCGGCAGGTCGGGACACGAAGTAAAATACTCACTGGTCGAGCTTGTCGATGTCCTTCTTCTGCATGAGGGCCTCGCACATGCAGGCGACATGGTCGGGGCCGAAGCCGCTGCTGCTGCTGCTGATGCCGGCGTTCTGCGCGTCGAGAACGGCGCCCGAGACCGAGGAAGAGGCAGAGGAGGAGGAGGAGGCGGCGGCGGCGGCAGAAGAGACCAACGCCGAGGCAGCGCTGTGGGCCGCGGCGGCGACCTGTATGCTGGCGAGCAGATCCTGCTGGGCGCACTGGGCCTCGAAGCCACCGGGCGCGAGGAAGCCGACCGCTGAGGGCTCGCGGCGCGCGTACACCTTCATCATTGGGCCGTCCCTGGCAGCGGCGACGGCACTGCTACTGGCACTGCTCTCGACGACTGCGACTGCAGCGCTGGCGGTCAGGCAGAGGTTGCGTGTCGCGAGCTTCATCCGGCTGAGAACTAGCGCACTACCAGCGGCGAGCCCGCCGTAGCCGCCGCCGCGCTGCCTGCCGTACGGCATGGAGGGGGCCGCCGTCTCACCCCTGGCCAGTAGCCGATTGGTCGCGAGGCGGGCGATGTCTCGCCGAGGGGGCGTGCGCCCTCGGCTCGCGCCCGACTATTGCGTAGCGATACAGGCCGCGCAGAAATGAGCAAAACACGATAATGAGGACAATGCGACGAGGTGTCGGCTGACACGCTTCCGGTGTTTATTGCCGGAGACCGTCTAGCGCGCGCGCACGGACACGGGCGTCTATTTGCTCGCTGTCCGAAACATCCGTCCGCGTTGCAGCTCGCTCGCGACTTCTCGCGCATTCCTGCTGATAAGCCGACCGAGCGAAAGGCAAAACTTTCGCTGCGTCTCTTCGATCGCTGCTTTCATCTCTCGTCGACGCAACGGCGCCCCCGCGCGAACAATGCGCGCGCGAGATCTTTAAAGGATTACGAGCGGGCGAACCGGCCGACAGTTCAGCCGCGGCTTTGCTCGCACAATGCGATCTGCGGCTTCGGGAGGGATGCTCATCTGGGCCGGCGCTCACCCGCCAGGGCTACGCGTGTGAATGCGCAACGAGTATTTCGGCGCGGCGAGCGTCGACGGGAATCGCGGCGAGCGGCAGCTGCGCGGGGCAAGGGTTGCGAGTTTCGGCGCACATTAGCATCCGCGGAGCGACGAGAGATGAGCGGGCGCCGAGTGAAGACGTCTCTCGTGCAGCGCCAATCCCGCCGGTCTTCGCGGCGGCAGCCACGCCTCGCGCGCTGCAGCTTTGACGGGCCGCTCCGCCTAGCGTGCGACGCGCCTCACGAGCCTTATCTGCCGCGAAACCCGCGCGCTTCAACTTTTGTCGACGCTCGTCGTCACCGCGGCCTTTCATCCGGATCACAAGCTGTATGCGCGCCGGGCTGCGATCGCCTGAAACGTATCCGTCTGGATTGGTGCGTGCGTAGGCGCGACATCCGAGAACGGCTCGGCTTGCCCGCGCGTCCAAGCAGCGGGCGGCCGACAGACAAGTAACCGGTTGTCAGCGATATTCGCGACGTCGAGTTTATTTTCGGGAAGCCGCCCGCCGGAAACATCCTCATCCACTGCCCTCGCGGCGATCGCGAGCCGCGCCGGCCTGATAAGAGCCTCGCCGCCGCACCTGCACCCGAGATGCCCTCGACGCGTTTTGATTGTACGACTGAGTGACGCGTGTTCTGTTTACGGAACCTGACACGACACACCGGTGTAATCAATTCTGTTATTTATGGCACGGAGGGCAAAACGTCTACACGTAGTTGAAAAACAAAGTCGAGGCTTATTAAATTATTTGCTGAACGGGTGAAAATGTGAGAATGCAAATGCGAAAGTAGCGGAAAATAGGGCATACGTAGACGTATATATACGGTTGTGTATTGGTAAAATACGGAAGTACAAAGTATAAACGAAAGCCGTGTGTGAAAAAGATCCATCCTGGCATGATTTACCTATTATCTCCGCTCTGACCAAGCTCCACTACTGGACCGCGTACGAAGAGGCTGAAAAGAAGTGCCGCTAGTGCATCGAATCACTGCCAGTCGCTGTAGTCGTCGTCGATCCGCCGTCGAACCCGAGGACGCAGCGAAGCACCGCGCAACTTGCGGAGGAGCTCGCGACGAGGGACGCGGCTCGGGTGTGTGCCTGTCGAAAGGACGAGACGAGGCCGACGAGCGCCGTCGGCAGAAGGGCCTCGCCGGCGAAGCGTCGCATCGATTGGGCTCGCGCGCGAGTCGCGGGGGCTGCCTCGCGAGACACGTGGCGCGGCGGCGCGGAGGGACGAGGTCGAGAGGGTGGGCCTCTGTAGGTGCTGCAGCGATGGCGTCTTGTTCGATCCGGTGTCCGGTTACGCGCGGCCGCCATTTTCCCTCTCGCGCGTAGTCGCCGAGCGGTCGACGACGAGCCACGCGGCCGCGGCGCCCTTTGGCCGGCCGAGCGGAGCGCCCGAGCTTGCAGCGGCGCCGAGCCCGTGCGTCGCCGCGACTGCAGCGCGAGATCGAGGCGCGTCGATAATGGTCGGCCGGCCGAGAGCCCCGTGGCTCCGGCACGGGTGCAGCGAGCGCCGCGCGGCTCGCTAATGGCCCTGTCGCCTCTTGCGCCGGAGATATGCGATAGACGCGCGGCCCGGTGGGAAGGGAAAAACAGGTAGTCCTAATTCCCCCAAGTATGCGGACCCGTCGCTGCCGGCCACGCGCGCGCCCGCCTCGGGCGAGCCGATTGCGCGCCGAGATGACTCGCGCGGGGCCACGGCGCGGCGTCCTGACATCGGCCGCGTCAATTAGCGCCCTGGTGCGCCGAGTCGCGCCCGAGCCCGGACACGCGCGGGATGCGTCGGCCCGCGAGAGATGAGCGCGCCAGATATGGGCCTCCTTTGGCGCTCGTGCGGCGCTCGGCGACAGATGCCCATCTCTCGACGAAATCCCGGCGTCCGGCTTTCCCCGTACGCGGCCCCTTGCTCGGGGAATCCGATCGCGAATATCGAGACAAAGCTGTGCGCCCGATCGGAGTAGCGAGAAACGCGCGCGCGCTCGCGACCGCAGGCTGGCGCGTTGCGGGAACGCGGGCGCGATAAGCGCGCTGCGCAACACGTGCAGCTCCGCGCGCGAGCACATATCAAAACACGCGGCTAACAAGCCGGCAGTACGGCGCTAAGGTGATAAGGCTATTGGCGCCCCCCGCGCATTTCCGTCATCGGCGTCAGCGTTCGCCGAACGGGAGCGCGCGCGCGCGCCTTCGATCCCGTGCGATCCGGCATCGATCGCGTCGCCCGGCTCGCGCGACGACACAAGGCTGCGCGCCGGCTATTGCTGCGGAATTCGCGACGGCGAGCTTATCGCGCGAGTTTGGCCTGTGGGAAAATGTGGAGCGCAGGTTCTCCGGCACTCGGGTTACGCTGACGACGTCAGGCGAGGTGCATCTGATGTCCGCTTTCATTAGACGGCGGGCGATAAGGAGACGCGCGCGCGTCTCTCGCAGCCGAGTCGAGTGCGCGCGTCAGCGGCCTTCCCGAGTAATTCGGGAAAATAACACGGATAATCCCCCCTGAATCGCGACGCGGAAGAAAGCGAGCGAGAGAGAGAAAGAGAGAGAGAGAGAGAGAGAGAGAGAGAGAGAGAGCGAGAACGAGCGATGTTCGACGGCGATACGCAACGACGCGCCGTTGTGTGTCGCGCGCGTTATAGCTGCAAATCCGATTTGAAAGAGCTGCTCCCCCACGCGAGCGGCGGCCATCTTCTCGCCGCGCGCTCTATTAGTACAATATGCTCGGGCAGCACAATGGGCAACGCGAGGCCCCGGGCTCGTCTGAATGGCAGCTGACTGTGCAGCCCGGCGCGCAGTCGAGAGAGCACGCGCGCCCCGATGCTCTTTTCCCTTGACGGGCCGTCAGCGAGCCTCGGCGCTCCGGCCTGCCGAAGGGCGGGACCGCCGCGCGCCGTGCACTGGGCCTTTCTCACGGGCCGAGCGCGGCTGTCCGCGGCGCGCCCCGGCGAGCCGCTTGCGACCCGCGAGCGCGGAGACGCGCGTCGAGGAGCGCTCGGCGAATCTCCCCCGTGGCGGCACAAAGGGCCCGCCGAGGGGAGCATCCAATTTCGTCGTTACGGCTCGTGTAATCACCAGATACACGCGCGCACCTGCGAATTATTCACGCCACGGCTTATCGCCCACCCACTCGGCTGCTCCTTTCGCTTTATTACTCCCGGGCGTTGCGTTCGATTCGATTAGTAGGCGCGCGAGCGCGGACGAGTCTTTCGCTCACCTATGCGATCTGCTCGAATGTCAGCGGCCGCGGTTAATTAGGCAAGGGAGCCTAATTAAGCGCGCCAGCAGCGCAGGGCCAACGTAGCGAAGGAGTTGCGCAATATAATTGGCCGACGGATGACAGATGGGCGTCTGGCGCGCTCGACTCGACCTATAATTTATAAAGCTATGCCGGGCGCAGGGGTTGTTTCGGGGGTAATTGCGGATAACGCGCCGGAGATAACGAGCCACGCTGGGACGCGTACGAGCCCGAGTCACTCAACACCCCGGACTCCTCGGGCCGGCTTCGTTAAATTTTCCGATGCCTTTATCCCGCGCAAAGATCTCCCGCGCGCCGGATTACGCCGCGCCCGGGACAATGCGCCCCGCGATAGGCCTTTTCACGCCTCTACACGATGCAGGGACAAGAAATCGCCAGCTCTACACGTTCCTTTTTTCCTTTTTAACAGATCGCTTTATTCAAACCATCCTGCACACTTTACAAACTGCAAGCTCGGCCCTCCGTGCGCTCCTCTTTTCAGCATCTACAGGCCCTCGACCTTTACAAGCCTGCCATTATTCTCCGACCGTCGACACACCTTCGCTTTCCACAATGACACCGCCGAGCCAACGTCGACACTCGACCAAAATTTAACACAAATTCAACGATCATTAAGTCTCTGTTGCCGCTCACTTTGCGCAAATTAATATCTGTATAATATAGTAGTTGAATTGACGGTATTGACATCTTTTTGTTTTTTTTCATTTCTTTCCGAAACAATATATATTCATGAATATACGCTATCTATAATGTATAATAATAATAATAATAATAATAATAATAATAATTACATACGCACAAGAGAATCGTATGTACACAATAAATATATATGTTATATATGTATATGTATACTTATGATTAGTTTATATAATACGCTTGGAAGACAGAGGTTCTTTATATCAATAATATGGATATGCATGCTCCACAGGCTTTGCCACATCTGTTATTCGGTGGCACACATAATAGCTTGTACATGTGATGAAGTTATATCTCGCATTACGTGTGCGCGGCTTTGCTGTCCATGCATACCCGTTGCACTTGCATAGCAGTTTCGTACACAACGCTCGTGTGCACGGACGTCGCGCTCGATCTTTGGTTTCCTTTAATCTCTTCTCTTTGTTTTTTTTTCTTTTTTTTCAAATGAACAGATTGACCGCCGTTGCTCGGCTTGCATCTTCGGCCGATATCAATTGATTTCTTAATCGCTATTTAATCGAAACGCGCTTTGTATCACGGCACGTTAAATATTTCAAAGGTAATGTAACATTTTATACTATCTTAGTAGCTCTCTTTGTCAGCTGACAATCTAAAGGAATATCGAGGCGCAAACCGAACGCGGTTTCGCCTGGCAATAACAAAATATAACGCGCACACGCATTCTAAGCTTGACTAACGATCGAATTGTACAATTCTCTTGATCTGGTAAAGTGGACTGCCAATCGGTTGCCGGTCAACCTAAGAGTGAAGCGTGATGACAGTCGACAATGAGTTTTTCGATTGACTAGAAACACGTCCCCGACGTCTTAGACTAGAGAAACACGTAATTGAGCAAGAGCTGATTATGACTAGTAAGAGACGATCGAAAAGAAATGCCCATCGAGAATGGAAAAATTGAGAGGCTCTCGTAAAATCGCCCGCAATTTGTCCTTTGTTTCTATTCATACAACCTTCAGAGTTTGCGATTATCCGTTTGTCGAACGTACACATTAAAATACACACGCGCACGCACACATACACGCTACAATATTATTACATGATTAAATGACAATTTGTCGATGAGAATTGCGCGAGATACAATAATTGTTCGACGTGCTCCGAGGCGCAGCTTCTTGCGCGTAAACGATGCAAAGCAGTTTTTTTTCCTGAAAATTGAAGTAGACAACACGTATAGAGAGTACGTACAGAGGAATCCGTGTTGGAAAATCTCGGGCGACACGCGTGCGCGTGCGACGACACACGTCGAGGGATGAAGCTGTCCGCGGATCGAATAGCGTCGAGTACGTCTGGTTAGCTGAGCTCGTGCGGAAAGGAGGGTGGGAGGGAGGGAGGGAGGAAGGAAGAAAGCTTGGACAACGGCAAAGGTGTGGAAGGTGCAAATTACTCCATGGTGTCGTACTTGACTTTCTTGATTTTGAAGTAACGCCAGCCGGCATAGCCGGTGATGGTGAGGAGTACGACGGCGGCCAGGGTAGAGCCCACAGCTACCGGGGCAGTTTCGTCGCGGTTCGCCCGAGCGTAGAGCGCCGAGCAGGAGAACTCGCTGGCGAAATCGTTGCTCTTGAACTTGAAAGGCTGAAGCTTCATGGTCCTGTGGTTCGAAGAGCGAGCGCGAGAGTCAAACAGAGCAATCGCTAGAGCGACAGAGACAAGCTATACCTGAGCAGCACGCTGGCGTGGACCTTGCCGTCCGTCAGGGCGATCTCCTGTTCCTCGTCGCAGGCGTACGACTTGCCCACAGGAGTGGGAAACAGCATCGAACTGTGATGCCTTTGCGCGTTGTTCACTCTCACGGTTTTACCTACGGAACGCGGTGCTCGTTTAGGGATAATCACGTTGGATCCATCGATCGCGTCATACTCACTCGGCTGGTCGATGTGCTCGAAGTGCTTGTCGCTCGTGTTGTAGGTCAGCTCGATTTTGTCGACGTACCAGCGTTCGCCTCCGGGGGTCTGAAAGGCAAGAGCGTTTCGGCTCGGCTTACAGTGACGATCAAGCGAACGCACGCAGGCGCGCATTGCTAATTACCTTCGCGAAGGCCCACGACAGTATGAAGGTGTCCCACTTCAAGGACATGACGACGAAGTTCTCGTTGTCGCAGCTGCCGGTGACCGTGGCGCCGTTGGGCACGTAAACGTCGGCTTCCTGCAACGAGAGACGAGCAAAGAATGAGCTACAGTCGCATCGCGAAGCTCGCGCGTACGTGCCTTCTCCTCCCCGAGCTTCGTGCGGTACTTGATGGTGATGAGGGCGTCCACCTGCAGCAGGATGCAGGCCTGTCCGTTGCTGCTGTTCAGTCGGTAGAGCGGCAGCTCGGCGGTGCCGCGACGCGGCGGCGTCGTCGGCTTGACGGTGGTCGGCGGCGCCGCTGCCGCCACCGCCGGCTTCGCAGCCCCGGCCCCGCCGGCGGACTTGGAGGCGGCATTGCTCAGCGACGCCGTCGGCTTCACCTCGTTTGCCACCGGCTGTAACGGTGCGACGAGCGACTCGTCTATAATTGGCCCGCTTTTGATCATAGCGAAGAGCCGACTGCTCTTTAATTGCGTCGGCCACGCGAAACGGAGGAGCGGCGACGCTCGAGCGAGGACGCCTGTTGCGAATGGCTTTCATCGCTGGCAAGATTGGTCGCGAACGAACCGAGCGAACGTAACGCGAGACAGAGAGAAGGAGAGAGGGAGAGAAAGCGGTTTATTTGTCGAGGGGTTGTTGTGCGCGCATATAGCTGACGTCCGTTCGCCCACGCGGGCAGACTGCGCTTACGCGCTCACGTGCTCTGGCCCAACTTGGCGCGCGACCCGCCCGAGGACTTTCACGGCTCGGTCGTAGGACGCGAAGCATGCAGGTGCAGCGATTGCGAGCTCATCGATCGCGACTTTGCACGACGAGTGACGCGCGCGAGCTTACCAGAGGGAACGGACTGTTCTTCGGCAGATCGAAGAAGACCTGAGCGTTGCGCTTGGTGGTAAAGGGCTCGTCGCTGTTGCCACTCGGCTGGGAACTGGGCTCTGCTGCCGCCGGCGCCGCCGCCGCCGCCGCCGGCTCCGTCGCCGTAGTCGGTCCGCTCGTGGTCGAAGAGGTCGTCGTGGTTGTCTTCTGCTGCTGCTGCAGCTGGATGGCCGAGCCGCCCACTGCAAGCCAACGACAACAGTCGCAACGTGAGCCTGAACAGGCCTGTACTTTCCGCGCGTCCATTTGTGCAAAATTGCTCGGAGGGTGACTTACGGGCCAATAACAGCAGACAGCCAAGGCTAGGGAATGCTCGTGGTCGTGCCATGGCTCGTCCTCGTCTTGGCTATCGGTCGGATCCTCGGGCAGAACTGCGCTGGCGTGCAACTGACACGGGCGCAAGCGCCGCTGACTACCCTGCCGCCCTCGCCTCGCCTCATCGATCGATCAATAGCCGTGCACCGTCTCGCGCGTCTGTTCCTGCACGCAGCCTTCTCTGACTCATCACCTACGCCTACCGCGGGAATTCACGGCTGAATTAGCTTTTCCCTCCTCTTTTCATCAACCAACCTTTGGAATAGCGTTCCAACGGATAACTTTAATCTTTTGCGGTATATTTTCCCAGTCTTTGATTCGGAAACTCGAACACGATAGTTATTTTTTCCCATTGCTTATGCATCTTCCATAATGATTTACTAATTACTGCTATTCGTATGCAAAGCAGAAAAGAAGAATGAAGAGAAGAGCTATAAGCGAGTGACGAAAGTGAACGTTGCCAGCGCCATCTGCATAGTTGCAGTATTTCTAGAACGAACAGTTACACGCAGGTGCCTGTCTAGTAGCCTATACTTCGTACATTTGAAGTTTGCGAGCAAAGACGAAAGCTTCTTTAACCTAAACGTCACTTTGTATCCGTTTGATAAGTTGCTTTTATCTTTGATTAGACTTAGCGTCGAGAACACACGCAGTCGCTGCTCCCGTGCGGCAGTGGGACAATTCGAAAAATATCTAACACGCAATTGGCATCTATATCACAAGCAGTCAAACAGACGCGCAGTAGATAGTATAGCATTGTTCCTCCCCCATTCGCACAGTGCCGAATAATTCCCCGTATCGTACACGTCGTGCGTTTTTTCGTACGATCAATTTTAGCTAGTTTTCGAGCGGCTCTTGCCTACACGTACCTACGATGAGAATAAAATATTCAACTTCCACCACGCTTCTGCTTTTGCTTACGGTTGGCTTGGCTGCTGTTGTGTCGGATGGTAAGTAACTTTTGCCTATATCTCTTATTCTCGAAAATGCCACTGCTTTGTTTATAGATTTCTTGCCACAAATACAGCGCTGGCTAGACGTTTCCCGTCTTGGCATTAAGACTGAGGCCAAAAATCGTATTTTATTTGCTTAGCGTCATGCTCATTCGTACATATAGATACTTGCGGAATTCCATTTAGTATTGCGTCAATTTTTTCTCTGCTCTTTCAAGTGTTTTTTTGACTAATATTTTCTTTGAATCCTACAATGTTACAATATTTTTACTAAAATTCTTTGATTGAAACGTTCCTTTAACATCACTGCAGTTAGTAGTTAGATTATGCTGTCACTTTATTTTAGCATTGCGCAATGAATCATCTGCAAGGAGATATAAAAGTTACTCATTTTTTGTCCGATGTTAAGAGAAAAGAGCATATATTTATTGTATATTAATAACATCAAGCTCTTGAAATATCTGATAAAAATTGAAATACACAAATAAATGATAAAAAATTATATCTTTTCAGCTTCTATTATTAAAGCTCCACCAGAACCATTGCTCACTACTACAACTGCAATACCTACGTCAACTACGGTTACATCGGCTCCGACATCACCATCTACTGACCCTACTACCAATTCAACTACTACTACTTCTACTATTACTACTACAGCAGCAGTACCAACCAAACCTACTACTTCATCTACATCATTTGTAATATTTTATTCAAATATTATTAAGAAGCATTTTAGAAATAATAAGTACATAATTTTAATTTTAATTTTAATTTGTTTACTCAGACAACAGCTGGCACAACAACCAAGTCAACAACTACATCCAAATCAGAAACAACGGCTACAATTACCACAAATCCCACTGCTATTCCTTCAGGAGCTTCTACTACAGCTATTGTACCAAACATACCTCCTGGAAGACATTTTGATGGCTTGAGTTTTATGGGTAATAAAACTATACTTTCAGTTGACACATTAAATATTCCATTGAAAGGTTTCACTAATAGAATGTTTTGTCTTGCAGGTGGGATTATCATGACAGCTTGTTTGGTTGGCTTAAGCATTGGTTCCTACAAGTTTTACAAAATTAAAACAGAAAGAAGTTACCGCACTCTCTGAGACTATGCACTGATACAAACAATTTAAGAATCTCAAAGATTACCAAGCACTGCAAAGCGTGTGAACAGCCACAAAAATTATCAGTTTAATTATAATAATATGGTATTTTTTATAATGTTTATAGCATTGACAAAATGCTGAAGTGCTCTTAGTATGTTGACAAAATGTGCATATTTATACAATTGATCTGATCTAATATTAAGTTATAAATTGTAGCTTAGCCACTGCGTCGATATTAACTACTGATTTTGAGAAGAGAATGTAATTTTAAGTTTCATTTATATTCTACGCACATTAACGAAACACTTGTGATCGATTGTTTTCAATAGGTGTCTTTAATATAAACTAGAATTTTGATGCGAGTTACTTTATGCTTTTTGGAGGAGAAATTATATTATTATATTGTATAAATGTATAAAAATGTATGTTGCATTTTTTTAAACGTACGTAATAATAAAGAATTAAATCTAAACTTGCCTAATTAAAAACTATATGAAATAGTTTGAATCAAGTCAAATGGTGCTTGAAACCAAAATCCCTAGGCGATATATGACATGGTCGTAGTTCGGCCAATAAAAAAACAGTATAAGTATAGTAATACGCTGCTAGTAGATAGCAGGGTGAGAGAGCTGGTTCGATACCAATGCGAAAACAGCCCGACACAAATAACATTTTATTAAAAAAAATGATCACATCTCACGTATGTATAATTGTACTTCTCGAAAAAATAATTATTTGTTATTGTACTATTATATTTCTCATAAAAAATAAAAAATATCGTTATCGATAATTCACCTCCTACTTATTCACATAAAAGACATAATTAAGCAAAAATAAATTCACAGAAAAATTGTACCTTCTGTAGTCTAAATTGTACCATCAGTACAGTTCTATAAATTTGTTTCTAAAAGAAATAATAGGACAATTACAAAGCTCTACGCCTGCGCAAAGTGCATTTCCGGATGACATCCTTGTAAGTTGTAACAATTAGTGGTAATTTGCAATTGTCCTATTATTTCTTTTAGAAACAAATTTATAGAATTGTACTGATGGTAAAATTTAGACTACAGAAGGTACAATTTTTCTGTGAATTTATTTTTGCTTAATTATGTCTTTTATGTGAATAAGTAGGAGGTGAATTATCGATAACGATATTTTTTATTTTTTCTAAGAAATATAATGGTACAATAACAAATAATTATTTTTTCGAGAAATATAATTAGACATACGTGAGATGTGATCATTTTTTTTTTTATAAAATGTTATTTGTGTCGAGCTGTTTTTGCATCGGTTGGTCGACAGCTAAAGTCGCGCCGGCGCCGAACGGAATGGGGCGTACACATTGTACAGTGTACACACACACATGCGTGGTGAGACGGCAGACAGAAAGACCTGTCAATCGAGAGGAGCACGTCTATCGTTTTGTGTTCTTTAATTCTCAGGCGGTTCAGGTGATAATCTCCAAAGTGTTTCAGTATTATTTGCAACAAACACGTACGTTATAATATGTGATTATTCATTTTACTCTCTATTTCTTCGTTCATACAGCTATTTTCACTGCATGCAATGTACCAACCGTTCTGCAACGTATTCTATATACATGTATATGCTCGTATTTATTGAACACTGAGCATCATCAATATATTATTCTATTCCGTCCTTTCTTTCAATCGCTTATTAACACAATATTCATCGACTCATTTGATAATTAGATAAGTGGCTCGAGAATTATATTGTTTTTCGGTTTTCAAAGGCTCAACAGCTTAACGAGATTTTTAATTCTAGAGCATTGATCTGAATGCCGTGCAGTCTATACGTGTACGCCTCATACGTACATATATATACAAGTATAAATACCTACGTATATACATGAAATTATGTATCAGGGTGTATAAATTTCTTATATATAATCAAATTTAAAGTATTTAGGTGTCTTTTCTTAAGTCTCTTAACAATATGTGTTTTGTAACTAATGCAGGATAAAGTCTTATGCTTATGCAGTCTAACATTTAATAGAATACTCTGAAATTTAATATAATAATATTTTAGCAGCAAAAATGACCGACTCAAAATATTTTACCACTACAAAAAAGGGAGAAATATTTGAATTAAAATCCGAGCTGAACAATGATAAGAAAGAAAAGAAGAAAGAAGCCGTGAAAAAGGTATTTTATTCTTTTAATCAAATAGTTATATATCAATTCCTAATTGTTGTTTATGATATGTAGGTCATTGCTTCCATGACCGTAGGCAAAGATGTATCTGCACTCTTTCCTGATGTAGTAAATTGTATGCAAACTGATAATTTAGAATTGAAGAAATTGGTTTACCTTTATCTCATGAACTATGCAAAAAGTCAACCAGACATGGCCATTATGGCTGTTAACACATTTGTCAAGGTAATGTATCTTAAGATTTATTTTTGATTGAGCACACTTGTTGGTGCACCCTTCATATATACTACTTATATATTACTAACACATCTGAGAACTCAAGTATCCTGTCTGCTTATTCTATATACTAATAGTTTTATCACATAAGAATGGATATTTCTTGAATTAAAAATTACCAATTTGAAACTAATAGTACTCACTTCCAAGCTAACAACCTCTCTGCTCAAAGGCAAGTTGTAGCAAAGTAATTCAATGGTGCTTATTACTTTATATCCTAATAAATTATATGACTCTACAGCTTGCCTGCTTTCCAATGTGCAGATAAAGCTTGGTAACAAATGAAACGTTCAAGCTGTCTGCATTAGGCTAGTATGTTATGAGGGTTACATATTGAAATGCTGATATTTTAAAGGGCACGTGACTTTCATTGTCACAAATAATGCATTGTATCATTTTCATGATGAAATAAAAATGACTAGTTTACATTAAAAACTGTCAGATTAATTGACACTTCAGCTTATCAACTATTGGAATAAATCTTTTCAATTGTTGAGTATTGCGTTAATGTGTTTACTCAGGGAAGTGTACATAGAGTTGTAATTTATGTAACTGTTATGTGGCTGGGTGCATAGAAGTATAGATAGTCGAGTTTTAGAGGCTTGCCTCGAAAGCTACGTTACTTTGGTATACTTAGACGATCAACGTTCATACGAGATTGTTCGAGAATAGTGCCATTTGAAAAATCAGTGGTTCAGTATGGAAAAGAGCAGAGAATCGCTATAAAATGTAGTTGTGAATGTGCGAGTGAAAAGAAGCAAACAATTATTTGATAAACGTAATTAACAAAAATAATAAATAACAATGGTGACGGTGACCAATGTTGACATTTTTCGTTCTGACACGCAAAAGGAGCTCGCAACGTCTCCGATGCTAAAGGTACCGCATTCATATTTCTATGCTGTCAAGTTGTTAAAGTTGACTATAGATAGCCAAATAGCGCGTGCAGACTTGAATCCCTGGCGTGACCGATTTTTGCGTAGGACTGCGAGGATCCGAACCCGCTGATTCGCGCTTTAGCCGTCCGCACGATGGGCTGCATCCGCGTGGACAAGATCACCGAGTACCTGTGCGAACCGCTGCGCAAGTGCCTGAAGGACGAGGACCCGTACGTGCGCAAGACTGCGGCCGTGTGCGTGGCCAAGCTGTACGACATCAACGCGGGTCTGGTCGAGGACCAGGGCTTCCTGGAGCAGCTCAAGGATCTGCTGTCCGACAGCAATCCCATGGTAAACGAGCCCGGCCGCGCGCCCGCCTATAGCGCTTTTGCTGACGCTCCACTCGTGCAGGTCGTGGCCAACGCCGTGGCGGCCCTGTCGGAGATCAACGAGTGCAGCCCCAGCGGCCAGACCCTCGTCGAGATGAACGCGCAGACCATCAACAAGCTGCTGACCGCACTGAACGAGTGCACCGAGTGGGGCCAGGTCTTCATCCTGGACTCGCTGGCCAACTACTCACCCAAGGACGATCGCGAGGCGCAGAGCATCTGCGAGCGGATCACGCCACGCCTGGCCCACGCCAACGCAGCCGTCGTACTCTCTGCGGTGAAGGTATGTCTCGCGTGCCGCTGGCGATCCGTCCACTCAGAGCCTCTACGCGCGTGCAGGTGCTGATGAAGCTGATGGAGATGCTGCAGTTCGAGTCGGACTTCGTAGGTACGCTGACGAAAAAGTTGGCGCCACCGTTGGTCACGCTGCTCAGCTCTGAGCCCGAGGTGCAGTACGTGGCACTGCGCAACATCAACCTCATCGTACAGAAGCGCCCCGACATCCTCAAGCATGAGATGAAAGTGTTCTTCGTCAAGTACAACGATCCCATTTACGTGAAGCTGGAGAAGCTGGACATTATGATCAGGCTGGCCTCGCAGGCCAACATTGCCCAGGTGCTGTCCGAGCTGAAGGAGTACGCCACTGAAGTGGACGTAGACTTCGTGCGCAAGGCCGTGCGTGCCATCGGGCGCTGCGCAATCAAGGTGGAGCCGTCCGCCGAACGCTGCGTCGCCACTCTGCTCGAGCTCATCCAGACCAAGGTCAACTACGTAGTGCAGGAGGCGATCGTCGTGATCAAGGATATCTTCCGCAAGTATCCCAACAAGTATGAGAGTATCATCTCGACGCTGTGCGAGAACCTGGATACGCTGGACGAGCCCGAGGCGCGCGCCTCCATGATCTGGATAATCGGCGAGTACGCCGAGCGCATCGACAACGCGGACGAGTTGCTGGAGAGCTTCCTGGAGGGCTTCATCGACGAGAATACGCAGGTGCAGCTGCAGCTGCTTACCGCCATTGTCAAGCTGTTCCTGAAGCGGCCCACCGACACGCAGGAACTCGTGCAGCAGGTGCTCAGTCTCGCTACCCAGGACTCGGACAACCCGGACCTACGCGACCGCGGCTTCATTTACTGGCGACTACTCAGCACTGATCCTGCCGCCGCCAAGGAGGTCGTGCTCGCCGAGAAGCCGCTTATCTCCGAAGAAACAGACCTGCTGGAACCCACGCTGCTGGACGAGCTTATCTGTCACATTTCCAGTCTGGCCTCGGTCTACCATAAGCCGCCCACGGCCTTCGTTGAGGGCCGCTCCGCCGGTGCGAGAAAGTCGCTACCAGCCCGCACTGGCTCCAGTGACGATTCGGCGGCGCGGGCGCAGCCACAAGCACAAGTTATCCCGGCTCAGGATTCGCTGATCGGTGACCTCCTCAGCATGGATATCGGTCAGTTCGATGGCTCGCCCAACGAGGAGTAGCCCTAGCTCGTCCCATACTCACTCTTTTCCTTTAACCTAGGCGGTCCGCCGATGGTAACCCCGAGTGCGCCGGCGTCCTCGGGCCTGGATTTGCTAAGCAGCGGTCTTGACGGCATCCTGGGAGCACCGGCAGAGGCCAGCCAGCCAGTCGTGTCCCAGACGACCACCGGCCTCTTGGGAGACATTTTCGGCTTCACGCAAGGCACCACCTCGTATGTGGCGCCTAAAATAAACTGGTTGCCGGCGGACAAAGGCAAGGGTTTCGATATTTGGGGAACATTCTCAAGGAAGTAAGTTTTAGCGCGACTCCTGCCATTGGATCTCCGACTAACGTGCTTGCTTACCAGGGCTGGCCAGATTTACATGGATATGACCTTCACAAACAAAGCCATGCAACCAATGGGTGGCTTTGCCATCCAATTGAATAAAAACAGCTTTGGCTTGACGCCTGCCGCTCCGCTACAAGTACCTGGACCTCTGAATCCGGGCCAGAGCATCGAAGTCAGCTTGACTTTAGCCACCACGGGGGCGATCCAGCGAATGGAGCCGCTTAACAATCTCCAAGTAGCCATCAAAAATAATATTGATGTGTTTTATTTTGCCTGCATAGTGCCGATGAACGTCTACTTCACTGAAGATGGTCAGCTTGATAAAAGGGTTTTCCTTTCGACGTGGAAGGACATTCCTGCTCAAAATGAGGTATATCAATGCACGCTTTTCACGGAATAGAGCCAACAAACCGATCATTAACCGAGTTATCTATATACAGGTGCAGTATACTTTGACTGGTATAATGTTAACAACAGACCAAGTAGTTTCGAAAATGCAACAGAACAACGTCTTCACAATAGCAAAGAGAAATGTAGAAAGACAGGATATGTTGTATCAGTCGTTGAAACTCACAAACAACGTATGGGTACTTGTAGAATTGAAAATTCAACCTGGAAATCCGGATATCCTGGTGAGCCAATATTTTCTTTTCTTAAAACCAGCTCTGAGATTTATTCAATGAAATGGTTATTTGTTTTTCTTTCAGTTATCTCTTAAATCTAGGACTGCAGAAGTCGCAGCAGCGATATTTCAATCGTACAATGCTATTTTATATTCATAAATTTACAATCATTCCAATGATATTCAAGTTTTCTGTATATTTGTTGATGATGACATTATCTAGCGTTGATGCCTGATGCGGAATAAATTTCTAGACTTAAATCCTATTCCATTTTAATGGTTTTTTTTAAATTATAATGTATTATGATTAAGGCATCAAATTCAGATATATATGTATAAAATATACAACTGATTTATTTATAGAATTTAATGTAGTTTATTCCAACTCCTCTATTTATTTAATTTAAAACAAACTAAATTAAATTATAAAAAAAATATAAAGTTAAAGTGTCTTTTTTCCAGTGTATAACATTTTGAACCGAATAGGATAAACTGGTAATAAACTAGACATTTTTCAGTTTCAAAAATTATCAGAATGAAGTATTTTGTTAAATAAAGTTTTATTCAAATGAGTTTATGAACATGGGAACATTAATTGGGAAGAACAGAATAAATAGAAAACTATATTTTAGTTTTTTTATCACATTTTCCATTTTTTATTAAGTGAATGTAAAGATTACTTTAATAAAATTAGCACTGGACCTTCCTCCTAAAGGAACAGCCTTCTGTAAGTCTTGCTTTACCACCAGTTGGTGTGCACAATATCGTATGACATCCATCACACTCCACTGGCCTCTGAGCATGCGAAAAAATAGTCTTGATTGCATAGCAACCTGGACATTTGACATCCATAAAGTAGCTGTTGGGCTTTTGAACCAGCCTTTTCAGCTTGTGTTTCCTTTTCTCCTCAGCAGGAGATGGATGCAAGAAATCTTTTGCTAAGGGCATTCTGTAACATATAGAAATATATCTTTGTTTATGATGAATGCTACTTTTTTCGTTGTTCAATCTCGGAATCAAATTTAGTATTTCACCATATCCAAAACTACTGTTGCATACAGAAATGAAACAAATGACAATAGTAAACACAACTAATTTGCAAATTTAGGCTTTATTAATGAAATTAATTTAATATGAAGATCTTGTGCAGCAACTAATTGTGTTATATTTAAAAGATGTAATGCCTAAAAACAGAAATGATCGAAAAATCATAAATATTGTAGAGCAGACGTTCTAGTCTAGAAAATAAGGTTAGAAACTCCTATACTGACAACGGTTGACTTTTAATATTTCTACGACATCTCTGTGAAAAAATTTGGCAACTCCTACCTTAAATTATAATAATTTCATCCAAATAATGTAGAAACGTTCTTTAATTATAATATTTTATTAAATGTCCCAAAGTATCACCGAAACCATTGATTCCATGCAACGGAAGGGCTGTTGATACAAGTGCTTAAGCAGAGGACGGTCAAGGATTACAATAATTTTGGATATTTTGAAGCATAAAGATATTTTATAGGTCGATACTTACGTGTTGGACACTCTAATTTTTATAAATTTAATAAATTTTAACACGAGCCACGTGTTTCTTTATCGAAGCAAAGACATGGAAAGGAAATGGGTGAAGCTTGTGATTGAAAACAAGAGGGCGTGCATGTCGTCTGGCGATTTTTCCTTATGTACCAACTTGGCCAATAACGTTTAACGTTTCGTTTTAATGGCTGTGGGTATCTGACGACTCCGATGCGCCACAATTCAACAATTTGGCCAATGGCCATAACTTGCAAATTAAACACGGGTAGCGCTGAACGCGGGTAAAAATCCAAGATTTCAATTTTCAATTATAAAAAAAGAATACAGTTACAATACCGTTACAAATCGTGTCAGGTAGTGACACTATGTAAATTAATAATCTACAATTGATTATTTAAGATAGAGCTTATGCACATATAATCAAAGTAGAGGAAATAATAGGAGTTCATCTAGATATCATTGTTGCTTTCATATTTATTTTACGAGGTTAAAAATTGTAAACGGGCAACGATTTGTTATAAAATTGACAGATATGCATTCCCGTTATGGCACTCGATTTAAAATGATGGGAAGCAAGAGAAAATGCTAAGGTATTTTATATTCATTGTGTGTGTGTGTATGTGTATATATAGCCATTTATACAAGAATATTTGTACAGTTTTTAAAGGAGACACACGGTAATTAGCGTCGGACCGATCGTTCTTAACCCGTTTTAGTTATAATAATAACATAACACAACTTATTCATCGTCACTTTAGTCAACTGCTATGTAAGATTTAAGCATTTTCATGTTATAAAATCTGAAGAAGCTGAACGATCAGGAGCTAGTCATTCTTCTCCGTTTATCTAATTTATAGTTGACAATAAGTAAAATGTATAATGCAAATCTAGCAATAATAACAATCCTATTATTGATATATCAAGGATATACATAGCTTATATGTTTATAGTTTTGCGTGATTCTTAATAATTACTAGTACGCAATCGATGGAAAGTAGGTTTACAAGAAAACTGTAACGCTTCCATAAATTATGTAATCACTTGTCAAAAAGGCAAAATTGAACAACCTTTATAAAAATGAGAACAAGTTTTGTGACTATCGCTCGTAGTAGCAAAAAATTACATGGCTTTCAATTCCACAATTAATTCACAATAAATATCAATCAGAACACGACAATCACATAATCTTTAATAAATTTTAATTAATAAAAATTATAACATTAACGCAATTTTACTGTTCATGACGTTTACGATTACACTATACAAAAGTATTTCACATATCGGGATAATTATCCTATCAGTCACTTGTTGAATTTCGTATAAAGATAATAAATCGAAATCGAGGCACTACTGCAAGCACGCTTGGACCTTTTCGATCCATTCTTGTGCAGTCGCGGCGTCACCTGCACAGAAGTTGTACGTTCGTCGGTTTGTACGAAGCTGAAACATTGAATCTTTTTAATAAGGAGGTTGCAAAGCTTTGAGTGTCATTTTCAACTCAATACTCACGTCAAAGAAGGACTTGTCATCAGTTTTCTTTCCGGGTGCCTGTACAGGAGCTGCTGGTGTTACCGATACAACTTCAGCGAGATCTAAAAATATTATGTGATAAATAATAATTAGAAAATGAAATGGTTTTTTCAGGTTAATGGGTAGTTTGAAATTACCTATGTAACCTTTACAGTTGGAATCTTCCATAGCATCATAATATCTCAATTGATGTTTTATCGAATCTAAAACAAACCAACGTTGTTTCCATCCTTTTAGTAGAGCTCCTCTTTTGTACAAGTAACCTTCATGAGTTCTATTTTCAGCTACGTTACTTGAAAATTGTTCATAATATTGTTGTGATGAAGTTTGTATTGTAGTGACGCCTAAAATTGATATCATACAATGAAAACATTGTTCTCGCATTTAAATTTCACATACGTTGTACTTACTGGAATTAACGCTTCCATTATCACCGACACTTCGAGTAAGCGTATAATTTTGTATATTATCTGAGCCAGTCGTTTTATACTTTGTGCAGTTTTTAGATATAGAATCAGCACATTTGTCATGGCACACGTGCCCGCAATCGACACACCTTAAACCACCTTTCACCGGTCCCCATAATACGCCAGAGCACGCATCGCAATGCTGCGGTGTAGCTGTTGTCGTGAGCTTTTCAAATCGATGAGGGTGAACATACACAGAGCTTTCGTTTCCTGTTGTGCTACCTCCAGCAAGCTTTCCTTTTAACAATAACTCTAACGTAGATCGTTTGTGAATCAGTCGACCATGGTGTCTTACGAGATCCGTACTAAACGATGCGTGTCTCTGTAAAGATAACGGCAATAGTTGTACCGGCTGAGAGCTCTTCAATCGTCAATTTCACGGTATACTTACGGTAAGTGAATCAGTATTGGGCAACTCTAATTTGTCCCATAACACTTTCCATTTCTGCGGCAAATGTCCAAGCTCGGTTTCGAGTTTGTGAATTTCTTCCAATAAGTGCGTAAATTGATCGGGAACCATCGAGCAAACACTGTTGTATCCCTGTGTGACGACTTTTCGATTACTTTTAACAATGCCGTCTGCAGCTTCAGCTTCTTCCTCCTGTTGAGAATCTTGCTGAATGATTTCCAGGTCGTAAGCGGGTCCATGAGCCAGCTCTTCTTCCAGATAGTAACTCCATATATCGAGACTTGGCAAATGGGATACTGGTCGAAGAACTGGATTATCTGTATTCGGCGTGTACATGAAATTGTAATATAACGGCGATCTCGCATGTTGCTTTTCGATGTAATCGAAGACGCTTTGGCCTAGATTCGATCCAGTGTTGGTGCCAGCTAGTCTGCCTCCGGGATACACAGTCTCATCATCGCTTCCGGTATCCACGCCTATAATTATATTTACAGACACTAAAAAAAGCAAGCTTTTAGTAGGCAGTTATGAGTAAAATTATTTACTTTTATGGTGGCTTGTCAATGATCCTCTTTTATCTTCAACGGCCGTGATTCCACACTCGACTCTGTCGAATTCACAGTCGAGGAGGAAAGTTCGGAATCTACAGGAAACTGAATGATAAGCCAGAAATTTCAGATAATAGTCGTTAAATTCAAAGGCTAGTGGAAACTGCCGTTGAATTTGATGCACAATATCAAGAAACTGCAAGAACGTTGGTGTGAAATTTGTGGTTTGTGAATTAACGGCAAGATTGCTACGATGACCGAATCGGTGACCAAAACCAAGCCACTCTTTTTCTATGAGAGTTCGAAAACCTTCGATGGTTCGGTAATGTGGGTCCAAGCATACTTGAGCGATAGAGCAAACAGTGGCAGTGGTGTCCCAACCGTCTTCTAGGCAAACCGCTACTGAAGAGCCTTGCAAGTCCATCAAATCTATAACAGCTCCAGCAAGTTGCATGAGACTCTGTAGCTGTTGTAGCCATTCTGAACTTTCTATGAGTCTGTAAAGAAATAAAAACACGATTATTAATAACCTTGAAATGAATTATTTCATCTTCATGCCCATATACGTACTTATAAAAGCTAGCGTCAGGTTCTAAATTTGTAGAACTGGGGACACAAGCTCTAACAAGTTTTTTAAAAGCAGCTTTTGTGTGCCTTACGTCGTAAAATTCTACTGGTATATAATCAGTTTTGGGTGTAGATTCAGCTTTAACTCCCTTTTGAAAAAAATAACGATTTTGTTTTTTATATTTGACTTTAAAAGAAAGGCATTTACCAAATTAGTCTAACCTTCATGTGTGCTTTTTCGCCAAGTATATAAAGTGCAGCTCGTTGGAAAGTATGAACACACTCTGTTCCGCTGTCTGAGTCAGCCGAATGTCTCACCGTTCCTCTTTGGTTTGTCGAAGCCAAGGATGCTTGAGAACTTTGTCTTTTATCTTTTAAAGATCCCCATCTACCAAAATTTTTCGGTCCTTTACCGCCGGATGAACTGTGAGTGAAAAAGAAAGTGATAAAGCATGTAATTAGTCGTTTAAGCTAAGACTACGGATAAAGTTCAAACAAAAATTCAAATCACCCTAAAGTGCCTATGGCCTTGTTGAATGGATTTCTTCGCGATTGTTCCGGAGTAGCATTCCTATCCTCGGCTGCCAAGAGAAGAGAGTCTATGCTCAATGAGCTGTCTGACATACCCCAAGCTGAAGCTTGGCGTAAAATTGATACCGGAGTCGACGCAACAAGAGCTGCTATGTACTTTTCTTGTTCCAAAGTCGAGGTGCTTTCTGACGAGCTCACTGAAATAATTCAGTGATAATTAAAAGAATGTGTCAACGATTACTTGATATTTCTAAAAACATTGAGAATACCTTTTAAATTTCCACCGGGAGTCGGGTGAGCTTTGAGCATGCCCATGACACTCTTGCCGTGATAACCGGCACCTCTGATAAGTAAAGCTTTGGTGCGCGGGTGACGCCAAGTGACGATGGGCACTCGATTATGCCTGTACAATCTACAAAACCTACGGATGCTTTCGTCGGATACGGAGGTAGGAACTATAAATAGCGCGGGATAGCTTCTGCATATCATGTAGGCACAGTTGACCGAAGTCAAGCGGAATGGCTCGTTGCGCAGATTGTTTTGCGGGCCATTTGAGCACAGGCCAAGTCGATACCAATCTCTCACGTAACTTCGCTCTGATAATCGCTCTAAAGTCTTGGCATCTGTTACGGGAGGAACTACGATACCTGGCATTTCGAATTCGTCGACTAAAGCAAATGAATAGCGTTAATAATTACAGACACATTGCGTAAGCGCGTTCAATTACGTGAACTTACTGCTTAAATCATCGTCGTGACTTAAATCATGGTTTTCCGTGATGGGCAGACTCATTCGACCAGGGGATGTCATATATTTATTACTACTAGTGAGATTCATGTTTGGCAAAACATATTTCTGCCTCTTTGACGACTGTTTGGGCTTGAAACCTGCTTTCCTTGCTGTCTTCAGAAGAGTTTTCTTGGCGAAGCCCCTTCGAAAAATAAAAAGAAATAATAGAAATACAATCTTGCCCACGAAAATAAACAGTTAAATAAGCTGTTGCTCACTTTAGAGTTGCATGCTTTTCTTTGCTCTTATTGTGCGTTGTTGGAGCGACCAACACTTGTCCACTGAAGGCAAAATGATGAAAAATATGGGGAGGATTTCGAGCCTTGTGAACGAGCTTTCGCAGTGTTTCCACATTCTCAGGAGTGACTTCCTCGTCAAATGCTAGCTTAATCAATTGGAAAGTGCACGATCGTAACTGTAATCCTTCTTGATGGCATTGATCGAGATGGGCCAAATGTTGTACGGGCACTCGTTTTTCTTTTGTGAGAGAAGTTACTGGGAACGCTCGAACTACCATTTGTTCACAGGCTACAAAGCAATGATAAAAAAAAGATTATACAGGTTACACGCCTAGGTCTCGACGTTAAATGAAATGTTATTAACCAAAAGGGTCGCAGGGAATTCCTTTAAAGACAATCCTATAATTTGTAAGGAAAATCGCTCCTTCCGCAGGCAAGAAAGGTGGCGTTTTCGGAAGACTGGTCGAACCTTCCTCTCGGCCATCAGGTAAAAGATAGACGCGCAGTCCCTCCATAATAACCTCCTCTCCAGGCAGCATGTTAGGGGTTAATATCTTAGGCTGAACAAAGCGATAGACAGTTTTTGGCAATGTTTCAATTCTGAACAACTATAGAGGTAGACGTATCACCTTCTGGATAGGAGGTAAGCGTTTACTCTCCCTGTGAACCGCCTCAAGAGTTTCGATGTGCATGTGCACGAGACCAGGTACCATTTGGTGAAGGCACCTGACGTGCTCCGTGCTAACACCTCCCTCGGTACACACGCGATCGACGAATCGTGACACCATCCTTATCACTGCGCTGCCCAGCTCTCCGGGATCAGTTTCCTCGAAGCCCGACTCTGCGTCACCGCTGTCGCTTGCAACGCTGCAATTTCCAATACTCTCGTCAGCTTCAAGAACGTCCTTCAAAAACCCATTCCCGAGGAATTCGTCGTAATTGTTAAAGGACATCGAGTTACTCATTAACGATTGAAAATTGCCGAGGATGATTTCATGCATATACATCAGCAATTTGATTGAAGCAAGCGAGACTTGAATCATCGCTATAAATAAATTGTATAGTTTCTCAATTATTCAAGGCAATTTCACGCTTGAGAGATTGCACTCGACGCGAGCAGCAAGGAAAGCGCAATGCGAACGGATAATTTCTTCGAAAGCACAGTCAGCGCATTCGAGCGATAATAATACTAATAATATCGGTCCCGCGACGATGATTTAATTGAACGCTTCGCATCTGCTTCCACAATAAACTCGATGTTTACGAACGATCGAGTTACTTGCAAAGAACAATGAAAACGAGAAAGTGAGACCTGTTCGTGATGCTGTTGCTTGCGCGCTCATCGTCGAAGATGTGGTCCTGACGATGAGTCTTAGCTCCGATATCCAATGGCACAAGAAGGTTGACCATTCTGTTGGCGTAATGAATGGCTTGACTGTAGAGCGTGCTCTCTTCGCTTGCTATCATCTCGCGCTGCTTCTCCGGGCTAATGCTCGAGGCTATCCTCATCTGCTCCGCGGCGATCTCCAGGGCGGACGGTTCCTGACCCCGGTATATTAGCGTCCGGTCTCGCATGTAGTCCTTGTTATCTCGCGGACTCGTCGGGCTCATTCCGTCGTTGAATCGCGACAAGCTGTTCTCACCAGGCACGTACAGACGTTTGATGTCCTTCTGCACGTCCAAGTAGAAGGCATCCTCCCAGAATTGTTGATTCTGCCAGACTGCGTGCTCCTGCAACATTGTGCCAAATCGCTTAAATGACACCTGTACTGTCAGTATGAATATTGCATTTTTTAAACGCAAGCGTGATACCGTTAGATAGAGATAATTTCACTCACTTACGCCAAAGTCAACAGTACAATAACTGTTTGATATTAATGTATTTTTATCGTACCGCGCCAAACTTGCCAACAAAAGTAATCGTTCTCCGCAGTAATTATTTTCTACCTAATCGAAGAAAAGTGTTTTACTTACCTGAATACATGTGTAAGCGAATTGAATAACGCCGGTGCAGAGCTTTCTACAGAAGGCCGAAGCCAAGGGTAGCAGTGCGAAGGCGACTCCGTGTTCGTCCATTGTCGAGTCATCCTGAAGTGCACAATTCATCAACCTCACCACGAGGTCAAACTGCTGATGCTCGAGCATCGCCTTATTGCCCACAACATGTTGCGACAATTCGTTGCACAAGGCCAATCGTGCGGCTTTGCTTTTGAGGGCTCGTAGCACCGCCGGAAAAGTCTTGCGAGCGTCCGAGATTTTGTTCTCGAAGATGCAGTTGACGCAGGCACGCAGTACCTCTAATCGACGAGCGGAATTGCTGACCAAATGCCTCGTATCATGCACCATCGATATGTGCGGTCCCGACGGTACGATTCGCGGTTGAATCGGCCTTAACGACGACAATCTGTTGAACATGCGACCAATTAAGTAGCACAATCATTTTTCTTTCAGCCACGAAACTGTAACGAATCATACCTGACTTTGAGATTACTCTTCGCAAGACCTTCGTCGATGATTGCTTGAACTGTTTCAGCATTGATTCGCGGTAAAAGGGGCTGATGGATTCTTGCGAATGCTCCCTCGGGAGGCTTTAAAATTTTTTGAACGTACGGTTGCGGATTCGGGTTCTCGTTGGTGTACAACTGTTGCGCTAGCTCTTGAATGTGACTTAATATTAACCCTGTTACGAAAGTAAACGTGACAAACAATTAGTTAAACAAACAAAGAAAATAGAACTGTGCGTAAAAAATGAGCTCCTGAGCTTGAAATCAAAAACTCACTATGATCCTGTAGTTCTTGCTTCAATTGGTCGCTTAAATTACTGTACAATTCGTCCCAAACATCACAAGATCGCCACGGCGGTCCTCGCTCAGCAACAAAAGACGTGAAAAACATGCAATCTAATACTCGCGTTGAAAAATCACAATCCGTCAAGTTACGTTCTCCGAGGAAAGCCGCTTTGTGAAATGCTATCACGGGCTTCGGATGAATGCGAATAAGTGTGAGGCAACTTCGATAGCCCTGCAGCAATTGGGCAAACGTTCTCATGAAAACTGCTCGGAGTTCCTTGTCGAGCATTGGTGGATGAGGCGCTCGGGTGGCCAGCGGCGGAAACGCATAATCCGCGCAACTCAGTTCCGGTTGCAAAACTAGAGACAAGGCATCTTGAGTCTGTGATAGAAGCGGTTCCGGTAGTAAAGGTAGGGACACTCCATCCGGTACTATTATTGAACCACCATCCAAATCCGCCACGATGACGTCCATCTGCAACAATTTCGATACACATTTAAATGAATAATTGCTTAAATAATTAATTTTATAAAGTAATTCGTCAATGATAGACTCACGAGTTCGGCTACTTCCGATTTTAGAGAGCTATGCACCCCCATTATAAACGGGGTAGGTGTGCTTAATATTTCGACTAAAGCTGCAGGCAAAAGTGGAATGTACACATGATTGTAACGAAATGGATACATTAGTGCAGTGAGAGCTCTACATCCTTCTGTTAGTCTTGAATAGCTAGCTGAATGGAATAAAATTTTGTGCTCTGTCATAACAGCACAAAACAATACCAACACATTGCGGATACCTGAGAAAGCACAAGTGATAATTTATGCTATTATTGTAATTCACTTTTATGATAAATTAATATTTACCTAACTGTTGAAATAATAAATTTACACTTGTATGGGTAATTGGAAGAGAAGGGCTAATAGGTGGTTGCAATGCTTGGCGATCACCAGCACCAATGCTAAATCGAACTTGAGGTCCACCAGCTGGTGGCACTTGTATGCATCCTAAAATGTTGCCAACAAGGGTTTCCAGTGGTATGCCAAGGTTTTCAACATAAACAGTGTAAATAATTCCAAGGCAATTCTACAATTTGGAATGAGAAAACTATGAAAATCTTAAACTAAATGATCAGAAATGAGTAAATTTCTGGTACTTACACGAAAGGTCTCTATATAATCCAGTCTTGACACTAGTACTAAACATTTTGGTGCATACATAATGCTATGATGAGCAATAGTAGGTAAGCTTTTGACTAAAGTTCGACTATCTCCATCTACTGGTTCCTCTTCTTCGTCCACTGGTTTGCTTGGTGTTATGGATACTGTCTCATTGAAGCACATGCAAGCACAATAATGGCGGTTTGCATCTATATCGGTCAATATAGACACAAAGAACCTTGGTTCTTGCCTTTCTGTGGACAGTGCCCATCCTTGTGGTTGACAAAACTGTAACAAATTTTAGCCACATTGCACAACTGAACTAGCTATGTAAATAGCAACAATGTCAATATAAAACTGACCCATTCTATCCCTTCGATAAATGGAGTGTCAGGCCAATCTTTTTCAGGGAACCTTTGTATAACAATGCCACTACTGGTGCCACTTCCTGAGTAAAAATAATAAAATAGTTTTATATGATAGTTGTTTTATATGTTATTTGAAGGGTGTAAAAGGCGATAGGAACAAGATGGAGCACAGTAAGTAAAGATGACTTACTCTCTTTTTCATGATGGTAGCCCACGATGACAAAGTAATCTGCCAACCGAGACATCTCGGTATACTCGTGGGCCTGAGAGGGAGCGGTTGAGCTCAACATCCCTCATAGGGTACCGAGCCTTAGGTCTCATGAGCCTGCGACTCAAATGTGCAAGCCTTATTTCCGCTTTGCGGACTGTTGATTGATCAACTGGACAGATCAGTAGATGTCAACGAATCCTTGTCCTCCTGCTTTTGACGTAGCCGCCACAAGTCTCAACAGTACAACGATGAAAAATCAGCTGTAACATGATGTTGTGCGCGAATCAACAGCAGCAGTAGCAACATCCTCGATGAGCAATCGACATTCGAGGAATGCAAATGCAGGCAGCCCCCGGTAGGCAACGTGAGTGGCGCAGGTGCCTGCAGCTACCGCGAGTCGCGGAAGAGCGATCCTTTGTTCCTGCAGCTCACAACAATCGCGATCACAGCTTTTATTTACAAATAATGTTCGCGCCAACAGCCACACCCCGATCCCTATGCCTCAGATCCATAACCTGCCACACGCAGCAGCCGCAGTTGATGACGACGATTGGGGTTGTTGATCTTTGGTCCACGACGTGTGTTTGCGCGCTCCAGACAGCTTCACTACTCGACGTCAACGCGCACACAACAAATGTACAGCACAACTTGTTCTCGCCTGATGACCACTCGTTTATGCGCTGCTCGCTGCCGCGCCGCGACTCGCTGCTCCGCTGTCCAACTGACATGCGAAAAAACGAAAAACCGCACTATACGCTGCACCAGTGCACGGGAGAGAGCGAGTGCACATATGCACGGCCACAGCAAGTGGATCACGGATCTTTCTTTTCTGCTGCTCCCGTCTCTCTCGCTCTCACTTTGTTAGATATGTATAGCTATTTGTTGGTGCTGTCTGCAGCTCGTCATTCGCAAGCCGATTCCACAATCGCTTATGCTGTGGTAGGAACTTACGTCGCCAGTGCGCAAACGTCGCGACCTACAGTTCGAATTTTGGATGAAGGAATTGTTCACCTATAACTATTTTCGTGTTTGGGTTCAAGCGAGACTATTAATAGAACTTCGTACTTGAGGCATGACTTAGCCAGTTAATGTGCTGGATTTTTTATAGAAAGCATTTTTGAAGATACCAGAGTCGTTTTATCCACACGATGTCGAATAAAGTAGCGCTCGATAAGACAACGAATATGATAATGACAAATGCGAGCATAATGCCAACTTTTCCGGAATACGAATGTGTGTGAATCATCGCGTGCGCGTATTTGAATTACATTGGTGATTAATTCAATCACCGTATAGAGCAATGGATTTTCCAAAATGGAAGTGGGACCGAAAAAAGCAATTTTATCCGAGCACGTTGATTTTATTATCTTAGAAAGCTAATTTTTATCAATTTGAACGAATTAAGAAACTATAGTTCATCATAAAATTAATATTGAACGTAAAAGCACTTATTTGCGTCGTCGTGCTATTCAAACTAAATTCTCATTTAACGTTTATTAAGAGGTACGTGGGAGAGGAAATGAACATGGGTGTATAATGCCGTTGCATTTTATTCAACAGAATAATGATGTACAAATTGTAAGTAAAAATGATGCAGTTATTTGATTTTGAAAGTCGTTTAGCGCATGTAATAACACTTTGATGTTCATCAATACGAAGTTAACTTTACAAAATATTTATTATCATTTAGAATAGCCCCTGTTTCGCCTTTATCAATTATTATCCTGATACAAATATTATATTTTTAATTATGCTCAGATTCACAGAACATACCAAATGTTTTGCAAAGCTCCTTACACGTGATATTTTAAAGTTGACAAGTACGAATCACAATATTACAAGCCAGTCAAGTAATTATCATGCAGTTTTCTCTTGAAAATTTACAAAATGGCAATGGTGATGTAAATAATCATGTAATTATATATAGATTGCAATTACAATAATAGTGACGAAAAAATTGATAAAAATAATAATGATAATAATAGCAATAATGACCGGTAAACTCTGAAACAATGTGAAAACGGTCATAACATTATATAATATCCAATTATTTAAATATACAAGTCGCTTCGTATCTTCTACTGTACAAGCATTTTTTCAGACGAGAAAACGAGCGACACCTTCGTAAAATAAAAAGAATTTCAATAAACAATTGTAATACTAAATCCTACGCTGAAAAATGGTAAATTTTTTGACGTCTTTGCGAAAACTCGAGCGGTTCGTTTCATTGACCTTTTGATTGTTAATTTTCTATCTGAAAGCATTTCCAACACTTGAAAAAAAAAAGAAACTAAAACAAACGAAATTCTGAGATTTATCACGTTGAACAGATCACTCACAAGTCTCCAAGGTTCATTTGTAAAAGTTCGACAATTTGTTGCAACGAAAAAATCGATCTGAGGCAAGTTGAAAATAAGAGTCTACTTCCCTCTAAAAGAAAAATTAACAATAAAGAAGATCAACAAAGCAGTACGGTTGGCATGATGGCCATTAAGACCGTCGGCCCTGTCGGAGCACGCTCACACGCACGCACTCGCACGCACAGCCACAAACACGCAGCTAAGAAATCGGCCAAATCGTAATTACAGGTGCTGCCACTGTCCGGCTACCGTAGCCGAGGATTCGATAGCCCTAGCGATGGCCTCGTAAAAGCCATGGCTGAGCCAGAGTTGGTTGAGCCGTTTGTACTTGTCTTTGCAGAGCTTGAGCGGATTGCCCCTGTGCAATCCCTGATCGGTCTCGCCATACTCGTCGAAATAGGGTGGGCATCCATAGCAGCCACGGTTCGGACTGCGCAGAAAGACGATCTCACAGTCGCGTACCCTTAGGAACAAGCCTACGCCGGCGCCGCACTTGTTGGCATGGCTAGTGCAGGCGCCGACCATGGCCTTGTTCAGCTCTGTCTGGCAGCAGTAGCTCTGCGAGCAGAGCATTTCACCGCAGACGAGGCACATGGTCGGGTTGCGCGAGTCCTCCTTATCACTATTCGGGCAGGTGAACATCGACACAGTGTTCATGAGCTCGCTGTAATCGTCGGGCAGCTCGACCAATCGGTTGATCTTCAGCGGCTCGCGTATTTGCTTGTCGAGCTCATGCAGGCACTGTGGGTGCTTCGACCAATCGATCAACAGCCGCAGCACCCTGTCCGAGTCGAACAGTTCGTCGAAGCTCTCGGGCAGACCAAGGTAGCGACACATATTTTCATAGCTATCGCCGTCGAATTCGGTCAGGTCCATCGGCGCTGGCACGTCGGTTACGAAGTGGAAGTAAAGCACGCAGCATCTCAGAAATGTGCTGCAGCACTGTCTCACCCGGCGCCAAATCTCGCTGGGATGTCTCTTCCCTGGTGACACGCCCAGAACTTCCAGCACCTTCAGGATCGTACTGGACTCTCGAGCGCCCTCGTCACTTATGTCCTCTGCTGCTTCCGAGTCCATCTCCATCACATCATCCTGCTCGGCGAGTTTGAGTGTCAGCAGGATCTTGACCACCAAAGCCGTGAACACCAGCCTGGTGGTGTGCAACTCAACGACGTTGCCGGTAAGCACCGAATACGGATTGTCCATGTGACTGCTCAGTAGATTGGTCATAGAGACGAGTAAAGTGACAAGCATGCCGAACGGATCCCAGCTGAAGATGCTGTACTCGCTCTCGGTATTGCGCAGCAGGCAGCAGAGGCAATCGAGGGCATATTCGGCGATGCTCTCGGCGCCGGTCTGCGAGTTGGCGCCGGCCACGTTTCTTGGCCACGTGGCATTGATTACCGCTGACACTCGGGCCAGGCCTTCCAGGCTATCCCTCTGCCTCGATGATAGAGAGCACAGCAGCGCCTTCTCCGTATCTCTTAGTAAAAATTCTATTGCGTGGATGGTATAGGCGGTCGACTTCCAGGCCAGCAGTGGCACCTGCGAGTCGCTCTCGTGCGGCTCACAGCCTAAGCCTTTGGTGTACGTCGTCTGTGTGAACAACTGGATCATCTGCACGAGGCTCTCCGACAGATTTGGTCCGGGGCTAGCATATAGATCAAGCAGGGCTTCGCCTTTGGCACCATGCGATTTAATGGCTGCGATCGGGCAGCCGACTATCGTCAATTTCGCTGCGACTGCATTGGCGTCCTCTAAGTTCGCATCGTCTGTGTAATCAAGTAAAATTTAATAAAAATTCTAAATGCACTTAGGTCAGTATAAACGATGCATACCTAGTGCCTGCTCAGAGAGGTACTTGCAGTAACGGCAGTTTTGACCGTGAACTATCATCTCTCGGTTGATTGGTCCCAATCCCCGGCATTCGGCTACGGAACTCATGATATCTAGCCACTTGTCAAAGCTCAAATCCGGTTGTTCGGCAGGAGTGGATTGCAGAAGCCCTAGCGCCGGTAAAACCGGGAGGACGGTGTTGCTGAGGCACTCGCACAACGGACAGAGGTATTCCTGCTTCTCCACGTCAAAACTGGCCGGCTGTCGAAGTCTGTAGGGTCTGCGATTCTCTTTGGCAAGCACGTTGTCAAAGTACTTTTGCCAGCAGGCGGCGTGCATTACGTGACCACAGGTACTCGCGTGCGGTGACGCCCCTAAGTAGGATGACAGGAACAGTGGGGTTTTTTCTGGTAAGCTACGATATTGCGGCTGCTGTTGTTGACACAGCACTGTAGACTGTTGCACGAAGGCTGCGAACACCATCGCGTTTTTGTCAGCCTTGACCGGATGATCCTCTTGGCAGAGGATGCACGTGTAAGACTTCTGGAAGCACGAGCGACTGGTCTGCCGACGGCCCAGAGCAATTGTCGCATCGTCCAAGCTCTCACTTAAGTCCATTGCCGAACCTCGCTCCACCGAATCTTTGGTGCTGGGGTCAAAGACTGTCTCCTCGAAAAGCTTCGGGTTCTTTTGTATGAAATGATTCTGCATCGCCTGCATATGTGCCATCACTTGTGCGCGCTTCTTAGCTGCCATTTTCATGCGCCATTCTTGGCTGCCTGTAAGAGCAAAGCGAAAGAGAAATTTTGTGAAATAAATAAGGATTGAGAGCATCAATGAAGTCCAATTGTCGTTACCTTTCTCAGCTTTGTCGGGGTCTTCGGTGGCATCGTTAGCGCCAGCGGACGGCATGGCTCCAGACGCCGCAGTCGAGTCAGCTGGTGACTGCTCGACATCAATTATGGATGAGCCAGCGACCTGCCGGAACTTGTCGAGGACCCAAATGAGTAGATCCTTGTGCGACTCGATCCTCGGGCTGCTCTGCATCTGCTCGAGCAGCTTATAAATGTCTAACTTGGTGGCCCTGTCAGTAAAGGCGAGGAAAGGATAGTAACCGGACTCCTGCTCCTGAAGCGCGTAACCGATGAGGTGAAGAATCTTGTGGACCTGCGGCTCGGAGAAGCTCCTGGCACGTAAATCTAGAGTACGCTGAAGGACGGTTTGCATGATGGACATCATGACGTCGCATTGCAATAGATTGGTGACAAGACTGAGCTTTTCGGTGAGTTGCGGAAGCTTAGGCGGTGGGCAGCACTCAAGCTCGCCGGCAGCCTTGCGGCGCTTGCGCTGTGCTTCCTCGGACTTACTTAGCTCCTCCTTAGTATAGTGGTAGAAGAAGACGTTGTACTGAGAATAGAACTGGGGCTTAAGCTCATAGACACCCTTGCCGGCGGAAACCACTCGAGGCTTCTTGAAGTCGGCCACCTCATTGATGACGCGCTCCATGCCGGTTTCGTGGTGCACATCGTCGGGCAGGGTTTTATTCAGCTCCGAGTGTGACAGCGGTTTAATGCACAGTTGTTGAATGATCTCACGCTTGAGGCAGTCGTCTGGCGTGACACGACCGATGCCCGGCACGTAGCGCTCGCCGATGATAGTAATGAGCAGACCTAAGAACTCCTCGGCTAGACTGATTGTCTGTCGGATGCTGTCTTCCTCACTAGTCTTAAGAACCTCGGCTTCAAAGTCGGGCTGCGCCCAGTTAACCAGGTTGAACTTGTTGAGGATGTGGATGAGGAATTCGTTGCTCTCGAGAAGAGCAGCGCCAGCCTGTAGTAGTACGATGTCCTTGTCGAGCATTTCGCTGCGGCACTTGACGTTGTGGTAGAAGTAAAGCTGGTGCACGAGTGAGTAGCCATTACGGCGCCACATGCCTGCGTGCACTTGTGATATCATGGCTTGAGCACGCAGCACCGGCTCGATCATCTCCTCAACGCTAGGTCTGGCCACTTTGGCGAACTCGGTGCTATTGAATGACAGCTCATGGCGCTCCAGATGCAGGAAGAGGCCAGCAAGGAAACGCGACAGCGGCAAGTGGATGGACACAGGTTCGACTGCAACGTCGTACTGCACGCATGAGGCGCTGTGATCGGCTACCTCACGGAAGGTGGTAGCTGCCTTGACGGGCTGCTCCTCGAGCTTCTTGAGCACCAGGCGGAAGGCCTTGACGAGGACCGCACGGTCAGCGCCGCACCACTCGAGTGCCAGGCTAATCACTGGCGATAGTTTGATGTATAGGTTGAAGGCCGACTCCCATTCCTGTTCGTACTCCATGTGCTGGCCGACTTGGCGCACAACGGCATCCATCGACTGCATGCTCGCCATGAGGTTGAGCAGCAGCGAGACGCCCTGCAGAAAGCCAGCGCGCAAATCAGCCTGCCAGCAGTCCGGCGACGGCACGGCACTCAGGAGGTAGCGCAGATCGTAGAGCACGTACTGCGCGCGCTTGAAAGAATTGTTGGGGCTGTTGCGCTCGAACTCGAGCTTGCCGGCGGTGTTGCAGCGGCGCGTACTTTCCGAGAGGAAGGTGTTGAAGAGGACCAGTAGCGCATCGTGCTTGGCGATCAGCAAATGGGCTAGCGTGGGCACGGTGAATAGCTGTACCGACAGCGAGGCAATGGAGTACGAGTGGTCGTGGTCGTCACGAGTGAAGTCCTTGAGTATTGAACCGTAGCTCTGGCAGAAGGCCACGGCCAGGCGACGCTTGCTCTCGTACTCGGTGAGCATGCCCGAGATGAAGAGCCGGTGCCAGCAGGTACGCGCGGCCTTCCACAGCTGGCAGTCGCGCAGCATGATGCCTTTCACCACGGAGACATCGGGCGACTTGGCCGAGGCGAGTGCCACCTCGCTGAACACCAGCCGGAAGCCCTCGCAGTGGCTGATGAACTGCTGCAACCAGCCGAGCAGTCGCATGGCGAATATCTGGTGGGCGATCACATGCGCGTGCTCCACCATGACCTTGAGTGGCCGGGAGCTGTGGCGCTGAGTGAAGCGCTCGATCTCTTCCTTTAGCTCGTTGCAATGCTGAAAGCCGCTGCACTTAACCACAGCGCGACCCTCGCGGTCGATGTTGGTCACGTACTCGGTGGCGTCGCGCTGACTGCACTTGATCACGCGCGTCAGCGTGATGATCACCAGTTCGAAAGTGTGGGTCTCGTCGTTAAAAAGTACCGTACAATAGGTGTCGTTGCCCGCGGCGCCGCCCAGCTCACCCAGCTCCGCTTCGTCCGAGCGACTCTTTGCGCAGAGGTCAGCTGGCAGCCCAGGGCTGTGCTCGATCGACAGCAGATCGTAGCAGTACTTGAGCACCGCGCGGAAGGCCACGGCCGCGCGCTCCGCCATGTCCTCGGGCAGCGCGCTCGTGGGCGCGTCGCGGTGCTTAGTGCCTGCCAGGTGTACCGCACAGAACGGCTCCTTCTTCCAGGCCTCTGGGTCGCCACAGTCGCAACAACCGCCGCCGATCGAGATGCCCATCTTGTACTTGTGGCCCTTGTGCGCCGATTGCTTGAAGCAGTCTACACACAGCACGCAGGTCGAGTCCATGCCGCACTCGCGGCAGCTGTAGGTCGGCTCGCCCGACTTGAACACGCGCCCGCAGATCGATGGTGGCCTGTCCATCTGGTTCAGCTGCTTCAGTACCTCCTGTGGGTTACCCTTGCAAATGAATTCCTCCAGTGGATCATATAGCAGCATCTGGGCTTCCTTCTCATCGAACAGCCATTCTAGACAGTTGTCCGTTGGCTCCAGCTTGTATATCTTGGGCACCCACTCTCGCCAGTACTCCTTGAAGTGCGCATTGGACAGTACTCCCTTGCTCATCTTGTCCATCCAACTGGCCACGCATGATTGGCTTGCATTGCTCTGCATTATGGGGATGCTCAGTGACAATTCTACATCGCTCATCCCATGCCCTTCTGTCTCTTCGCTTTCGTTGTTCATCTTTCACCGCTCATACAGACTTGTAACTTCACTACAACATTACAATCATATTTCCATTATAACCTTGCATTCAGTTTCCCAAGCACAATAAACTTATCGTAGGTTACCAAACTCAAATAGTGCATTGACCAATTTTAGAAACAAGGAAACAATTGCTAACATTGATATCTAATTTTGAAAGTCTTGTTTGATCTTAACTTGAGATTATTGAGTCATTTGGGCATGCTCACAAAGAAATCTTTAATTATAGCTGCAAACTGTAGCAGGAAGACAAATATATTACAGAGAATAAAATAACAAACAAAAGCTGAGAGTGACAAAGGACAGGAAAATACAAATTGATTGTGTAGGAATGAGAGAAAAATGAGTACAATGATTGGAAAGAAAGTGAGGAGAGCTGGAAGAAAGTGATCAATAAGTAGAAGGGCGCCTGTAACAGAACACCAGACAAAAAATACTGCCAAAATGAAAACGTAACGAGTGCCATAAAAATTGGTACGTGGGCCAGAAAAGAATTTTCCACGTTAGTGGCAAAAGATAAGTGTTATAATTGTGTAAAGCCTAGATAAGAAGAGAGTAGCAGCAGGGAGTGAGGCAATGAGCGAGAGAAAGAGAGAGCGAGAGAGAGAGAGAGAGAGAGAGAGTGAAAAATAAGAGACGAAAAGAACGTATGAGAATGGCTCTGTCGTCGCTATTGGTATACGCACAGCAATGTTGACTATTAATAGCGAGTTCCAAAAGTAATGCTCACCGTGCAGGAGAATGATGACACCACAGTCTCTTTAGGGAAAATCGGATGATGCGTGCTTGCGGAAACTCTGTCCTAGGCCCGAATGCTAGTGACTATGCGAAGGAGAAAGGAAGAAAGCAAAACAAAGGTTCCAATCAGCTGCTGAGCTTCAGTATGTCTCAGCTGAGCTGCATATTCCTCGAGCTGCACTGCTCCCGACTGCAGCGGGCAAAGCAGCAGCGTGTGCGGTGCGGGTGAGGCGCAGACAGAGCAAGCTCAATTTGCCGTAGCGAGAGCTTGAAAACACGGAAACGTCCTTCACAGCTGTGTGCTCGTCGACGTAGTAGCTACAACAATGCACACAAAATGGCTCGCTCTCCTACTCTTTCTCTCTCTCTCTCTCTCTCTCTCTCTGATTCTCCCCTCCGTACACAGCGCTACCGAGAGCTGAGCAGAGCGCTGCAGCAGTGCTTTGTCTTGTCCACTGCAAAATGAAACTGGGCCCCCTTCTGGACTTGCAAAGCACGACCGCCGTCGTCACTCTTATGCGCAAGCTGCGCAGCTATAGTCTCGAACTCGCGCGAGATTTTGCTAGAAGACGTCACGCAGTTGGATTTGACAATAGACCAATACGTTACTTAGTATGTAGGATACCTATTTCCTCGTTTTCTCTTTCTTTCTCTCGTCTATTGCACCTACGACTCACATATATGTTTACGTGTACATAGGTACATTCATACGTGCACCTATACCCCAACTTACTTTTTCGCAATCATGTAACCGGAGTAGCTAAATTATTTTATCTTCTCGCTATCACGCCATTATCGAAATATATATACATATACATATATATATAGTATTTTAAAGGCTAGCTTGGCTTGCATATGTGTACATCTATGTAGCTTTACTTAGTATCACAAATTTATACGTGAGCGTGTACAAGCCATATTATGCAGCATTAGCTCGGTGGGTAAAATGTATGTTTACGCAGAAAGTATTTATCAGAATTAGAAAAACGTGTTAAGCTGAAGTCTGCGTACGATAATGGATTTTGCAAAGGATAGTGGAGGATCCGGTAATTGTTCTTTATTTTACTTTACTAAATGGCGGTGAGTCTTCGATTGTGGTACTGATAGTTTAGTTTAGTTTTTATAGATGGCGGTGGGTTCTACACTGACGCGGGTTTACCAAAATTGAAAACGCATGCGTGATAGGTCTTAAAAGCTAGTGCCCAGATTTAGCTGTTTTAAGATAATCGATAAACTAATTATACCGTTAGATAGTTTATAAGAAAAGTAACAATTTGTTTCGCTACCATTTTTTATTTCATCGGAAAATCTCTTAAAAAAATTTAAGTCTTAAGTGTTGCTCCTGCACCCAAATATACGATGTGCGGTAAAATCTAGAAAAATTCATTAAAAAAATAATTTATACACTAATTTTTAATTCATGAGACGAACTAACGACACCCAGATGAAATCATTGATAAATTAATTATTTAAGTAAATAAAAATAAAAAATTGTTTCAGCCTATGGGAATATTGGGAAATAGTGGGATATTGCGTGAAAATGCTTTGACGATTCTTCGTGAGCCAGTAATGATTAGTGTGAAAATTATTTTTTTTAATAAATTTTTCTAGATTTTATCGCACATCGTATCCGGCTGTTCGAGCTAGCAACCAAGACTTACTTTATTTGTTTTAAAGAGTTTTTTGAGGATATATGAACAAAAGATAGAGGAAAAAATCGTTGCTTTTTTGATGAACTATCTAATGGCATAATTAGTTTTTCGATTATCTCAGAAAAAGGTAAATCTAGGTGCTACTACTATAGCTTTTAAGACTTATGCACGATTGTGAGACGCCGATAAGGCAATATGAGGTTCGAATAGCTCGGACATTAATTCGCAACGCGTAAAATTCTAAATCGAATTTATTTTTCGTCAAGCACCATTGACAGGTTACAAGGTTAGATTCGAGTTTCTGTCACGCGGGTTGCGAGGTTTATGTTTGTCACGGTGTGAACATTGCTTTTTCTTTTCGCCATACTGCGTCAAGCATAAATCCCGTAACTTACATAACAGAATCTCCAACCTAACATCGTATCGCGCCAGTAGTGTTCATCAAACAAAAAATAATTTCAATTTTGAAATGCGCGTCACGAATTTACGTGCGGTAACAAAAGACATTGCGTCCGCATCCAAAAGAGCGAGAAATTTGAAAAACGCAATCAATAGAATCAAATAATAATTTATAATTAAAAGCCATACACGTTCATTCCCAATTGAACGTCTGATAATCAATATTTTATATCGGCAATTTAATTAATGTTATTGTTGATGCATAATAAAGACATTTATATGCTAAAAGTTGATGGACGGTTTACAAAAATATATAAACCTGATCTAACATTGCTATTGTACAAGAAGATTGAAATTTCACCTTTAAAAAAGTTATGTTTCCGTTAAATGAAATTAGCCAAGGTGCAATAACGTCACTCGCAATTTATAATTGGTATATCAACTATATTTATTGGTTGCAACGTGATACATTGCTGATAATCATTGAAACGTTTAACAGAACTGCGACAGTCTTTTCGGATTTGGCCGAACATCATAAAATATAAAGTTGACTCGAAAAGAGTGAAATAGAAACGCAGATGGAAATAGAAAAAATGCAGGTACGAAGAGAGCAGTGCTAACATATCTCCTCGAGCTCGATGGCCTCGGCAGCCTCGAGCATGCTCTTGAGCGAGCGGTCGTCGAGGAAGTCGAGCACGTGGTCGACGCAGATGCTAGGCAAATCGACCCCGGTAATGAGGTACCAAGCGTCAAGGGCGGATGCCAGCAGGCACCTGCGCTCGCGGGCCTCGTGGTAGACGCGCCAAAGCAGTCCGTAGTAGCTGGGGAACTGGGTCTCGAGCCGCGCCGGCGAGAAGTCGGCGGCGCCGCCGAGGCAGGCGAAGCGCCGCCGAGGGCTCATGTGCAGCAGGTCGTAGAGCGAGGGTCCGTGCGAGCCGTGGAGCGCTTGGCCGCGGAGCAGGTCCACCTCCCGACGGCAGTCGTCGCGCAGCCGGCCGAACTGGCGCGCGCACTTGTCGAGCGAGACACGGCACTGGTCGAGCGACTGCTCCAGACCCAGCGCCTGCAAGCACACCAGGTGCTCGACCACGCGACGCGCCATGTCGGCGCCGTCGAGCAGGCCCGGCGCGGCCAGGGCCTGGTCCAGGTCGGCGCCGAACTGCAGCAGCAGCCGCACGCCCTCGGCGCACTTGTACTCGATGGCGTACTGCAGGGGCGTGCGGCCCTGCGCGTTGGTCGCGTCGACGCGCGCGCCCGCGCGCAGCAGCCGTCCCGCCACCGCCGCGCCGTCGCGCCGAAAGTACTTGGCGGCCACGTGCAGCGGCGCCTCGCCGAAGGCCTGGCGCGCGTCCATGTCGGCGCCGCAGCCCAGCACCAGCAGGTCGACGAGGCCCGCGCGGCCCGCGCGCACCGCGAGGTGGAGCGCGCTGCTGCGCTCGCGCGCGTCGCGCTGCTCCACGTCGGCGCCGAGGCGCACCAGCCGGCGCACCAGGCCCGCGCAGCCCGCCTCCACGGCCATGTGCAGCGCGGTGGCGCCGCTGCGCGCCGCGGCCAACCCGGCGGCGGCCGGGTCGGCGGCCAGCAGCAGCGCGGCCAGGCGCTCGTCCCCGCGTTGCGCCGCCAGGTGCAGCGGCGTGAGCCGCTCGCGGCCGGCGTCGCGAGCGCGCGCGCTCGCGCCCAGCGCCAGCAGCCGCGCGGCCAGCTCGGGCCGGCCGCGCGCCGCCGCCAGGTGCAGCGCCGTGCGGCCCTGGCGGTCGGCGAGCTCGAGGTCGAGGCCGCGCGGGCCGCGCGCCAGCGCCTCCAGCACGCGCGCGCCCGCGGCCAGGTGCAGCGGCGCCCAGCCCATGAGCGCCTCGCGCGCGTCCGGCCGCGCGCCGTGGCGCAGCAGGCTCTCGGCCACGCGCGCGTTCCCGTAGAGGCAGGCCAGGTGCAGCGGGCTGTGGCCGCTGCGACTCGGCGCGTCCACCTCGCAGCCCTGGCTGATCAGCATCTCCACGACCATCTTGTCGGCGAGCGCGTCGCGCGGCCGCGCGCGGCTCTTGGCCACGGCGTGCAGCAGGCCCTCGCCGCCCGCGCTCGTCTGCGCGAAGTCCGCCGCGTGCTCCTTGAAGATCCAGAGCATGCGCAGCTGGCGACGGCGCGCGGCGAGCGCCACGGGCGTGGCGCCGTCGCGGCTGGGCCGCCCGGGGTCCGCGCCTTTGGCCAGCAGCGCGCGCACCACCTCGTCGTAGCCCGCGAGGCCGCGGCCGCGCTCGTCCAGGCAGCGGTCCACCACCAGGTGCAGCGCGCTGCGGCCCAGCCCGTCGCAGGCGGCCACGGCCTCGAAGCGGTCGAGGACGGCGCGCACGAGGCGCGCGCGGCGCTGCAGCGCCGCCACGTGCAGCGCCGTGCTGCCGTAGCAGTCGGGCCGGTCCACGGGCACGCCGCGCTCCACCAGCCGCTCGCACAGCTCGTCCAGCTCGCCGGGGCGCAGACTGGCGCGCCAGGCGGCCGCCCACTCGTCGCGCGTGCTCAGCAGGATGTGCAGCCAGCCCTCGCCGCGGCCGTTGGCGTAGCCCACCTCGGCGCGCTCGAGCAGGGCGCGCAGCGCGCCGCGCAGCCGGTGGCGCGCGGCCAGCTGCACGGGCGTGAGGCCGCGCGCGTTCACGAGGCTGGCGCTGGCGCCGCGCGCCAGCAGCCAGGCCACGCGCGCCTCGACCTCGGGCGCGCGCGCCCGCCCCGCGTCCTCGATCAGCAGGTGCAGCGGCGCGTCGCCGTCGTGGTCGCGCACGTCGGCGCCGGCGCCGCGCGCCAGCAGCAGCTCGGCCGCCGCGAGCATGCCCTGGCGCAGCGCCAGCCGCAGCGGCGTCTCGCCGGCGGCCGTGCGCGCGTTCGCGTCCGCGCCCAGCGCCAGCAGCGGCTCCAGCACGCCGAGCACCTTGCGCTCGAGCAGCGCCGCGCCCGCGGCGCGCCGCCGCAGCAGGCCGCCGCGCCGCTCGAAGTCCACCGCGCCCAGCTCAAAGGCCATGTGCAGCGCGCCGGCGCCCGCGTCGTCCGCGGCCTGCCAGTCGACGCCCTGGCGCAGCAGCTCCAGCAACAGGCCGCGCTGCCGCGTGATCGCCGCGTAGTGCAGCGCGGTGCGGTTGCGCGCGCGCACCCGCGCGCTCACGCAGGCGCCGTGCCGCAGCAGCACGCGCACGAGCGCCAGGTTCTCCAGGCCGACGGCCAGCTCCAGCGGGCACACCACCCGCGCGTCGCCCGTGTCCCTCTTCAGGCAGATGCCCCTCCGCAGCAGCTCCTCCACGGCCTGCTCGTCCTGGCGCCGGATCGCGTCCAGGAACTCGCCGTAGTTGTCGCTCTCGGCGCCGTCCGTCATGCTCGCGCGGCTGCCTGCCGCGGAGAGCGGCCGGGGTTCGCTTCACCACGGGCGCTCGGCGGTACGCGGAGAGCGCCCGGTGCAGGCGACGCAGTGGCTGGCGGGCATGTCGCTCGCCGGACGGGCCTCCTCGACGCGGGCTGCCGCCCGCGCGCCGCTAACCTCTGCGGCTGCACGGCCGAGCCAGTGGCAACTGGACCCTCCGCGAGAAGCATTCGGCAGGCGCGCATGCCCCCGCCGGGGCACGTGTGCATGCTCGCCGCTGGACGGCAGACGCCCTTTCGCGTCATGCGCATTTCCGGCGCTCCGTCTGGAAAATCTATATGCGCCAGTGTTATGTGTGCGCTTGCAAGCTCGGAAGCTCTCGCGCGTTCGAGCCACGGTCGCACGCGTGCAGTCCAGCTGGAACGGCTGCTTCGTCAGAGTTGACCATCAACTTCGAGTGCGGACAATGACACAGCTGCGCGATTTATCATCTACGATACGACTGTTTTCGAGACAATATCAAGTTTAACAATGAAAGAAAGCTTGAACCAACCGTATCTCGTGGCGCGCATATTTTTTCCAGAATTTTTCACCCTTCGTAATCTACTAATTCTACATTGTTTTGTTGACGGTGTGATACGTACGCAAGGGTTATGCTTGCGGAGCTCAAAAACATCAATTATTGCTTTTGTATATCTATCGGTAATGTGTGGAAGAGCATTCAGATAAATATTCAACCGTAATTTTCCAACTATTTAACGTTATCAATAAATAACATACGCTTTCGTTTATTTCTGAAAATTCGTTTGCAAAAAATTTGCTAGTAGAATTTCTTATAGCTGATTGTTTCCTGTATTTTTGCAGCTTTAATAAATTTCCGGAATGGAATACCGACAGACACTTGAGAAACTATTAGATTTCCTATACAAGGGAAGAGACACCTTCGAACAATTGCAACTGACATTTCTATTAACGATATTGTGAGTTCTTATTTATAGAAACGTCTTTCTTTATACAAGTTCAATAGCTACTAAACCAACGAAGCTTATTCGTTAAAAAAAAAATAGTATATAGGTAACTGATCTTTACCAATGAGTTTCCAATACTTTTACCATTGAAGGAGTTAGCCTACTGTTTTATTCAATTTTTATTGAATTTTACTCACAAGTTTTTACATTTTAGTTTGTGCTAAATATTTGTGCACAAATGCGGACACCTAATTTCTCTAGGTGTTGTTGATCATTGGATTAGAGCTTTATTCTAAATGTTTATTGTCACGGATAAAAATAATATTGTTTTTACAAGAGGGCAGTAATCTTAAATCATAGAAAGAAACTTGCAATAACAAATTCTCTTGTAGCGGGAAAATATCCTTTTGTGACAAAAATATATGGTTTAAGAGCTAGAAGAATTCCGCTTTAAGCTAAATTAGAGATGAAAATCATTTTGGTGCTGGAAGAATTTGCTTGTTCTAAAGTCAGGTAGAAAAATTATTATATTTTGATTATAAGTCGAATTCTTTCACGTCTTAGCTTACAGCACAACTTCGTTTGAAAAATTTCTGCATGCCAAATGATTTTTCTGCATTGATTTTCAGCTCACTTATCTCGCGTTCATACGACTTAAATCCTCATTTCAAAGCGAACAAAGTTGGAATACTCAGAGCTTTGGCTAAACTTTACTTTCAAATCAATTCACTTCTTTTAACGTTAATAGAAATGAGCGATGAAAAATTTTTTATTTACAAGTTATTAAAAAGCTTAAGCTGCATTTATTGTTTAGAATAATTTATATTTGTTCAACGTTTACATATTTTATGTATTGAACAAACTCGTTCGAGGAATTTATTTGTACATACATATTATTTTACATTATATAAAAATAATGAAAAATCGACGATTATTGTCTAATATCGTATGGATGCGTATATAATACATTACCAAACTAGTGTCGGAAAGTAGATACTTCTCTCGTATGAGGTTTACGCCTGAGTAATGAGAGGGTGGAAAGGCACACGAGACGATAATCTCTTTCCCGAACATGTCAGCTATGTTATGTTTGAAACAACGCGTGGAAAGAGCAGCACTATGAGTGCAGGTCTTTTGCTGAGTCGTGCTTTCTGCACGGCATGTTGAAAGATATTTATAATTCCTTTTAAATTGAACGTATTAAATATAAAAATACAATTTACATACAAATTTCGAGACGTTTCGTGCACGACCTATTCGAACAAAGAAATTAGGGTCGTATTATTAACGTAATAAATAAAAGAAGCAAGTAGAAAAATAAAAATATATAAGGGAGGCATTCGGCTAGATAACCTTCAACAAGTCTTGGCCGCATCTATCATGTTTTTCAAGCACTCATTGGTCAATAAGTGAAAGATCAACTGGACACAACTATCGGGTAAGCGTATCCTACTAAGTTGTTCCAGGGCGCGCACAGCCTGATCAAAGATGAGCTTGCGCTCCCGAGCCTCGAAGGCGAGCCTCCAAATGAAGCCGTAGTAATGGGGAAACTGGGTCTCTATATCGGCGAGATCGAGGCAGCGGTCGTCGTCTAGGTAAACCAGTCGGCGGGCTCGCGGCATGTGCAGCAGGTCGTAGAGCGAGACCCCGTCCCCAACCGGCCGCGCCCGCAGCGCCTCGACCTCCTGCCTGTACTTGTCAACGCCCTGCGTGAGCAGTTGCGCAGAGGTCGACACGCCGACCGCGGTTAGCCAATGCGGCCCAACGGGCAGGCCGGCTGACTGCAACTTGGCCAGGTGGCTGACCAGGTAGCTGGACATCTCGCGGTTGGCCAGCACGAGCGCGTGCACCTCCGCGGGCAGCGGCTGGTCCAGGTCCACGGCGAACTTGAGCAGCAGGTAGAAGCCGAGGCTGCAGCCGGCCATCACGGCGCAGTCGAGCGGCGTGTGGCCGCGCGCGTTGCATAGCCGCGTGCGCGCACCCAGCTCCAGCAGGCCGGCCACCGCGTGGTCCTCGGGGCCGGCGGTGCTGCGCGCCGCCTCGTGCAGCGGCGTGTCGCCGTCGGCCGTGCGCGCGTCCACGTCGGCGCCGGCGCGCGCCAGCAGCCCAAGCAGCTCGCGCGGCGCTCGTCGCCGCACCGCCAGGTGCAGCGCGCTCGCGCGGTCGCGGCGCCGTCCACGGCTGCCCGCCGCGGCGCCCAGCGCCAGCAGCCGTGCGGCGACGGCCAGATCGCCGCCGGTCGGCGCTTCGCACAGACAGTGCAGCGGCGTCGAGCCGTCGCGCGCGCTCGGCGCGTCCACGTCGGCGCCGGCGCGCACCAGCAGCTCGCAGGTCTCGGGGCAGCGGCCGCGAGCGGCCAGGTGAAGCGCGGTGGCGGACTCGCGGCCGCCGCAGTAGGCCGCGTCAGCGCCGTGGCGCAGCAGCGCGCGCACCATCTCGAGCGGCGCCGCCAAATCGGAGCAGGCCAGCTGCAGCGCCGTCGAGCCATCGCGACAGCGCGCGTTCACGTCCGCGCCGCGTGCGGCCAGCAGCTCGAGCACGTGGCGCGCGGCCGCGCCCGCGCGCATCGCCGCCATGTGCAGCGGCGTGAGCAGGTCGTCGCTGCGGCAGTCTACCGCCGCGCCCAGCTCCAGCAGGCGGCGCGCTACCGCAAGGTTACCGCTGGAGGCGGCCAGGTGCAGCGGCGCCCAGCCGCCGCGCGGCCCCGGCTGGTCGAGTGGGCAGCCGGCGGTCACGGCCAGCTCGACGATCGCGCGGTCGGCCATCTCGTCCTCCATGCCGGCCAGCCGGCCCGCGGCGATGTGCAGCAGACTCGCGCCCTCGTCCGTGCAGGCGCGCAGGTCCGCGCCGGCGCCGCCCTCCGCCATAGCGCGTACTAGGCCCGCGTACTTGTACTGCGCGGCCAGGTGCACGGCCGACATGCCGCGCTTGTCCTTGCGCCCGGGCAACGCGCCCTTGGCCACGAGCATGCGCGCCACCTCGGCGTAGGCGTCCTCCTGCTGGCGCTCGTCGTCGATGCAACGGCTGACCAGCGCGTGCAGCACCGTCTCGCCCTCGGAGTTGCACGCCAGTACGTTGGCGAAGCCCGCGGCGATGATGCCCAGGATCTGCGCGTTGCGCATGCGGATGGCCGCGTGGAAAAGCGTCTGGCCGTAGCAGTCGACGGCATCGAGCGGCGCACCGCGGCGCACCAGGTCGCGCACGATCTCGTCGATCTCTCTGATTGACAGGAAGTCGTCGGATGTACTGCGGCCGCCGCCCACCGCCTGATACATCTTGACGAACACGTGAAGCCAAGTCTCTCCCTCGTCGTTGACGTAGCGCACGTTAACGTGCTTGAGCAGCACCAGTAGCGTGTCTCGCAGTCGGTATTCGATGGCCAGCTGCAGCGGGATCTCGCCGCGCGCGTTCTTGTAGTTGGCGTTGACGCCCTTGCTAAGCAGCCAATTGACGAAGGTCGCGTTGTTCTTCTGCGCGAAGGAGTCCTCCTCGACGCCCTCGTCCATGTCGGCTTCGTCCAGCTCGTCGCTGATCAGCAGGTGGATCAGTGAGTTGCCCAGGTTGTCGCGTACGTGCACGTTGGCGCCACGCTCGATGAGGAAGCCCGCCACCTCGATCATGCCGCGCTTCAGCGCCAGAAACAGCGGCGTCTCGCCCGCGCTCGTCTCGGCGTTCACGTTGCAACCCGCGTTCAACAGCATCGTCGCGATCTCGATGATCTCCTGCTCCACGCTGAACTCTCGCCTGGCCACCTTGCTTCTCGGCCGCACTGCCTCCTCCTCGGCTTCCTCCAGTCGCATCTCCTCCAGCTCGAAGACCATGTGTAGCGCCGTCGCCCCGTTGCCGTCGCAGCTCGCCCAGTCCGCCTTGTTGTCCAGCAGCTGGCGGATCATCGGCTTCTGCCGACTGAGCACGGCGCAATGCAGCGCCGTTGGCGTCGGCCTCGTCCGGCTCGAGGTCATGTAGGCGCCGTAGCGCAGCAGGATCCTCGCCATATCCAGGTTCTGCAGGTTGATCGCCAGATCCAGGGGCCTTGTCGCCTCGGGCTTTGACTCGTCTCCCATCGGAGAGCAGCCCTGCACCAGCAGCTCTATCAGGCAGCGCTTGTCGTTGTTCATTATGGCCGTGAGCAAAACTTCATTCTCGTTGCCCACTTCCTGATTATCCGTGTCCGATGGGGAGTGGGCCATCGTTGCCGGTTTATTGGTCGTTTTCCCGGGCGAAAAACCTGCTATCGAAATTTTATTAATTTTATATATTATTTCAATTCGATCCATCTATTATATTTTGTTACAATTCATCGTTTTTAGCATTTTGTCATTTAAATCCTATGAATTGTTTTATCTGAAAAATATTCTATCAAATGATATCAAAATACTCGACATGTGAAAATATAAAAATCCAATATTTTATTTTATAGGTTTATTAACTGGTATAATGGCAAACAAATCAAGCTAAACTTGCCTTCAAACGTCAACTATAGTTTGCCAGGGAAGAGCCGCCCATAAACCGATATTTAAACGTCCTTTCAAACAGTTCCATGTTCCCTCTGTACACGGCTGGTTCTACACGTGATTTCTTGGCGTCGCAGCTGTAGTCCTTGACATGGCTATAGAAAAACACAATTTCCCGACGCGGCAATAGGCAGCCACTTCGATGTCAATAACTGACTGACGAGCGCGATTGAGCCTTCGACAGATAAAGCATTTGGTTAATCTGTCTCGTATCGCTATGTGTTAAGGTTAACCCCCAAACGACTGCTCAGTGCTCAGACGCTCCCCACACAGCTGCAGCGCAATCTTGGAGTGGCTCAAAACTGTTCTCCATATGCATCCCCCGTAAACCATCTCAAGTTCGCGGTCCGCGGACCAATGAAATAACTGCAATGTTCAAGAGTAATCTACCTCAACAGGTATATTCTACACAGAAATAAAACGTCCGTCTGACCATCGATCAAAAAAATATAAACAATAACAACTAAGATGCTCAATCGTCAATGAATTTATGTTGTTTTCACTGAGCAAATTATGAAATCTTTATGAAATCAATTTCTCTACAAAATGCTTATCTTTCAAGTAAATAGTGCGAATTGATTAAAAAATGTACATAGCAAGTTTTGCGGTTACTCACAGTTGTTTCGTAATTTATCTTATTATTCCAATCACTTCTTTTCAAAGTAATAAAAAGCATTTGACCTAAAATTTTCATTTCCTCTTCATGTATGAAATAATTTTCATGATTAATTTAGTTCAGCGCATCACCTCCATCAAACCGGCGCTGATAGCTGTCTATGATTTAGTAGCAATTTCAAAAGGTTAGGGTCAACTCCGAGTTTTATAGAAACGGAGTTTCTGAATTACAATTCATTTACTATTAAATAATTTTATATATTTTTTAATCTAGTCTTAGTATTATATTCTTAATAATAATTCGGAATTAATTACTAAAACTACAATGTTTAAAAAGTATGATTGCAAATTGTTTTAGTGCTTTGATAAATAATAATATTTCTACATAAACTATTGCACATTTTTCAAATTACAGGTTTGATGAAAAAGATAGTGTCTCCAGTGTACAACAGTTAAAATCATCTGTACAGAAAGGAATTCGTACAAAACTTCTAGACTCATATCCTTTTTTGGACAAATATATAGACCAAATTATACCTAAAAAAGATTCTTTTAGATTAGTGAAATGGTCAGTTGATGTTCTGTCACTTGAAAATTTCCATAACTATTTTTTGTTCTTTTAGCCATGACCATATCGAAATAATGGTAAACAGTGCAGGAGAGTTGTTATTCTTTCGCCAGCGAGAAGGCCCTTGGATGCCAACATTGAAACTTCTTCACAAATGTGAGAGATCTAAAAATAGTTTTGTTATTCTTTAAAATTTAAGTCTTGAAACTCTGATCTTGGAAGACAAATTTTTTTAGATCCTTTCCTTATGCCTCTTCAGCAAGTAGATAAAGGAGCTATTAAATTTGTACTCAGTGGCGCAAATATCATGTGTCCTGGTTTAACGTCAAAAGGAGCTCGCATGACTCCTGCTCCAAAAGGAACTGTGGTTGTATCCTTTTCACAATATTTCTTTTATATTATTAGATGTCTGATTATTGAAAAATATTTCCTTAATGAAAAAAACAATTAGGCTGTAATGGCAGAAGGTAAACAACATGCTCTGGCAGTGGGAATAACAACTCTGTCAACTGATGACATGTAATATTTGAGCTTGCAAATAATATTGCAAATGTAAGATATTAGAAGATTATAATCTGTATTTCTTATGTTTCTAGAGCCAAAGTCAACAAAGGTATAGGTATAGAAAATTGTCATTACTTAAATGATGGGCTGTGGCAAATGAAAGCTGTAAAGTAAAATATAAGGAGTTATATGTAAAGATGAATAAATTTTCCACTTTTAATCATTATCATTTATTTATTGAAATCTTGAAATCGTAGTTGTATTACAACCTGCGCTCATAATATTTTATATTAAATGTCAATAGAACCCAACCCTAGTTGATTCTTTATAGAAGCTTACAACTACAGCTCTAACATTTTTTTATGCATATAAATTTGTCAAAATCTACACAAGATACAAAAAAATGAAACAAATTTGCTCAACTACTAGAAGACAAACTTAAAGTCACAGCAATGACTCTTAGAAACAGTACACCACATTTTACAATCAGCATTTCAATTGTTCGTCATTCCTCGAAACTCCATGTATTGGCTTGAATTATTTTACAATTACGCTCAATTAAATAAGACTCGGACAGGGCGATGCTTCTGTTGAGAAAAATAATTGTCGCTTGAGGAGCCCGCAGTCTTTAAAAAATAGGCTCAAGCTGAGCCGGCCTTGCCGTCTGTTTGAGCCTCTTGAGCCTCGGGAGTAGCATTCGGACGTTCAGCTTCGGCATGCGGTGGTCCTGGTGGATATACCGGTCCGCTAGGCGATTGTTCCTGATTACCCGCAACCGTTGGATTGCCACCAACGTCAGCGTGAGGACTCTGGGGGTGGTAGTGCGGACTATGGGATCCGTGCGGACTGTGCGAGCCATGCTGCGGTCGAGCCATCGCATGAGGCGGATACTGCGAGTAGGGCTGGTGATAGTAAGGGTGGCCATACGGCTGAGGTGGATAGGGCTGGTGATACTGCTGCTGGGGATAACCGTAAGGCACCCCGGGATGAGGCGGTCGCGGGGCTAGCGGCACGTTTTGCGGCTGTTGTGCGCCAGGAGGGTAACCCTGGGGATAGCCCATGCCCGGTGGAGGCACGTGCGGTGGAGCTCCAGGGGGCGGATGCACCGAACCTCCCGTCGGAGGGACCTGATGAGGAGGCATCGGGTGGCCTGGCATCATGCCACCGGCTGGTTGGTGCGGAGGATGCTGATTAGCTGCAGCGTTTGCCGCGGCGACTGCAGCTGCGGCCACCGCAGCGGCTGCGGTTGTCGACGGGGCTTGCGGTATTTTTGGACCTTGTGGTGGCATACCTAAACGCATTATAACAAGCAATAGATTAGTTCTAATGCCCAAAAAGTTTCATTGATATTCTTGGACCATTTCTCACCTGCTGATACATTTGGCGTGTGCGACGGTACTTGTGAATACGGCATTCCTAAGGTAAAAACATTTTCAATCTAGATAACACACCTATGTAAATATTTCATAAAACGACTGTTAAATACCTGACGGCGGTATCTGCTGTGCCTGTGGTGGCATTTGTTGCTGAGGTTGTGTAGGCTGTTGCTGATTTACTACAATAACAAAACATAAATGTTAGATTTTAAGCTGATAAGAGAGCCCGATTTTAAAGGCTTGATTTATTAAAAATATATAATAACCCATTGTTATCTGTTGCTGTTGTCCCTGTTGTGGCGGCGGCATTGTTTGTAGACTAGGTCCTATCAAATAAAACACAATACGTAATCGATTTAATCTCGCGAACATTTTTTAAATGCTGAGAAAATGCTTTTCAAAAATAAAATTCTAGCGTAAAATTGTTCTTAATTATCATTAAACACAATTGATTTCGGAAAGAAACAAGATAATGAAAATTAAGTATTGTAAGTAATAAACTTTTATTTACTCCGATTAATTTCATAAACGGGAATAGTGTGATTGCTTAGCCTCGGTTTGCAGACCAATAACGTAGCTATTATTATTTAGTCGTGAGCAAATTTTAATTTATCTTGCCAATTAGCAAACGTTGACGGACAAAAACATCACTTTGGCCACATACCTGTAGGTGTTTGAGATTGTGGAGGATGTTGTGGTGGTTGTTGGGACTGAGATGGCATCTGTTGTTGCTGCTGCTGTTGCTGCTGCTGCTGTTGCTGCTGCTGCTGCTGCTGTTGTTGTTGTTGTTGCTGCTGCTGCTGTTGCTGCTGTTGTTGTTGCTGTTGTTGTTGCTGTTGCTGTGGTTGTTGTTGACCAGCTTGAGGAGGCAAGGACTGTTGTTGAGAAGGTAACGGTGATTGTTGGGGAGATGGATGTTGGATAGGTGAGTGCTGTTGCTGTTGTTGTTGCTGCTGTTGTTGAGGAGGTATTGACTGCTGTTGTTGCTGCTGCTGAGGAGACATTTGTTGCTGTTGTCCCGGACCTACAGAAAATATATTGCCATCAACTTATAAAAGAAAGATTATGATTTTAAAGAAAATGCATAATAATTAAGCAAAACAATGACAGTTATGACATGCAAAGCTTTAGGCAATCTCATTATAATCCAATTAGGAAAATTGCTTTATAAGCTTTATAAAGCCCTTCATTAATTAATATCCATAGTAAATTATTGTGTATGTATGTATTAAAAACGTCGTATAAACGATCGATAATGGGTACTTGAAAAATCAATGCAGCTACGTTATGCTACGTTAATCTTCCATTTCTCCCATAAGTATAATAATAAGTTACAAACGAAGAGTGTGCGAAGTTTCTCATTTTTTTTATTAAATGACAGTTGAACGGTCATGCAATAGTTATTGATCAGTTTATGGTATGAAAATTTAGAAGCGCCGCACTTGAAACGATTATCTATTGTTCAAAATCTGGTTTTCATCTAATGTCTCCTGTTTACTATGCTAACGAATATTAATTAACGATGAATATTAACGAATGAGGCTTTATCTATGTGCTAAAAATAAATATTACAGTGACAAAATTAGAAAGAAGAGTTCTGAGATACAATTAATTTAAGGCAAATAAAAGATTATACAGCATAGGTAGATAGTTGTTTTTCAAATAAGCAAGATTAATAATTGTAGTGTAAAAAGCAAGGTACTACTAAAATACATTTTTGCAGCATACATTTTTCAAATATTTATGTAAACAATTTGTGCAATACCTTGCGATATTAATGATTGATGATGGGATAAGTGATGGTGCTGATAAGGGGGCCCTGAGAAATGCAAATTATGTAGATGATCAAGGCAACTATTTATGTGTGCAAATGAATGTACAAAAAGATGAAAGCTTAACAAACCTGTCATTGATGGTTGAGATTGATGCTGAGGAAGTATTTGTTGACCAGGCATCTGTTGACCGGGCACATGTTGGCCAGGCATATGTTGGCTAGGCATTTGTTGACTAGGCATCTGTTGACCTGGTATTTGCTGACCAGGTATCTGTTGAGTAGGTATTTGCTGACCAGGCATCTGTTGGCTAGGTATCTGTTGACCTTGCATTTGTTGTGGAGGTGGGATCATTGGTTGTTGAGGTGGCATTTGTTGCGATGGCTGTGGTGGGACCTGTTGATTGGGCGGATGTTGAGCAGAAATCGGTTGTTGCATTGGCTGACCTTCTGGGAAAACGTTTTTGTTAATACAATTTATAGAATTTACAGAAAATGTAATATTCTTTTCAAATATTTATTTAATACCTTGCTGTTGAGGCGGATGCATTTGCTGTGGATCGTGAGGCATTTGTTGTGGACTTGGAACACCTGGAACAAATGAAACGAGAATTGAAAGCTAATCCGTCACCGAATCCTTTTAATTTAGTTTGTTGATGGTATTTGCCATTTATCAAATACACTACATACCAGGGAGCATTTGTGGTCTTGCTTGATGCATTTGGGGTTGCTGATGAGGTTGAGGGGATATTTGTTGTTGTGTAGAAATTTGTTGTTGCTGCGGAGGCGGAGGTACTTGTTGCGAAGCTGGAAGTGATTGAGTTGGTATGGGAACTTGCTGTTGTGGAGATAATATTTGTTGTTGGTTTACAGAAGCTGTAATAAATAGGATCAGATGCAATGAATTATTTACGATTAATTTTTTCAGATTTATTCGTGGTCTTTATTTTTACCTGAAGACACAGGTGGTTGGTGAGATGGAAGCTGTTGTGGTGAATTAGACGGTTGGCCAGGACCTTGTGTTGATTGTCCACCAGTCATTTGTGGACTCTGTGGAGGAGCTTGCGTTTGATGTTGAGTATTCATAGGCGAATAGTTTGGACTTGGAACAGTACTTCCAGGACTCGGTTGATTTTGTACCGTATTGTCTGGTGGAGATGGTGTTCCTTTTTTATCATTACAAGGTTTATCGACATCCATCTTTTCATCTTCAATTTTAGTTTCTGGCGCCTGTTATTGTTCAGCCAAGATATTAAATCACAGCTACGATTCTATCTAATATATTATAACTTATAAACACTGTACCTCTGAAGACGTTTCTTCTTGCATAGGAGCTGGAGTAGGAGTTGGTGTCGAGTTTGGCGTAGATTCAGTAGAAGGAGGACCATTTTCTTGACGACTCTCTTCCGCCGTACCTTTTAGCCTTTCTCTTCTTAATAAATCATATTGCCTCTCAACCATTTTATTAAAAGTTTCTTCATCAACCGCCGGTTTACAGTGCTATAAAATAAAATATTTATTTAAAACTTATTTTACGAAAGATTGTTTTGATAAACAATACCTTTTTTAACTCTTCTTGAAAAACTTCACTAGTCTCAATAAATTTTCTTTTCTTTGCCTCAAATTTTTCTTCTATTTGTTGCAATTCAGCCTCCAGTTTTTTCTAAATAAATGTGTTAAGTTAGTGAGAAAAAGTTTGAGATGAGAATTTTGTTATAAAAACAATTTTTATCTACAACTTACTTGATGCATAGTTAAAGATTGCACTTGTCTCCGAAGTATTTGCATTCTCTGAGTTGTAACTACTGAACGCACGTCAGGAACGACGGTATCACTGAATATTTCATTAATTAATCGATGATTGCGGATATATCTCGAGTACGCAACGTGTTTAACCGAGTAGCCATCATCTTGGTCTAAAAAATAGTTTGTAAATTAATTATCCAGATATTTTTGTATTACCAAAATTCAATAAAGACTTGCCATCATCATCTTCAGCTGGTAGAATGTCGATTCGCCGATCCTGTGCACTTTGATTCTTACTACTTCCAGATGATCGTTCGTGAGTTTCGCGATCGTCCGTACCTTGTTGAGCAGCACATAATGCTTTATGGAACATCAAACCATCAAATTTAATTCAAATTTTGTTAAATGAAAATTTTAAAGAAATAATTGATCATTTTTATATATTACTATAATAAAAGTTATGGTTCTTTGTATAGACTATCAAATCTCAAATGTTTATGACTAAATCTAATTGTTAGTATTTGCTAATAAAATAGATTAGCTCACACTTGTAGACTCATGAATCAAATTTACCTCTATTTTTGGCTGCAATGTAAGCCAAGTATGCTGGAGAATTGTGATAGGTTTTCAAACTTTTATCGTACTCGGTCTAGAAACAACAAAGAATTTCAATAATAGATGAAAATTAATCGATAATGAAGAACTTACCTTTTCAGCTTCATATTCTTCTATAAATTCTGTTTTCTCTTCTTCTGGCAAGTCTCTCCACATTTGTCCGATAATTTTTCCGATCTCCCAAAGTTTTAACTCTGGATTCTGTGCTTTAACTTGGTCCCATACCTTTCTGCTGTACCTCATGTATGGCATTAGAGGCTTCTCTGGTGGTTTTGGTGGTTTAGGCATTCGAGAGTCAGCCTAAAAATTATTGATATATTTATTTTAAGATCTGTAATAAATAACGATGTAAAAATAGTTCTAATTCTTACTGGTGTGTTTTTGCCAACTTTTTGAGGTACAAATCCTGGATGTCCATGAGCAGTTTGTATAAATGGACTTCCAGCATCTTTCTATACATTGAAAAGAATATTATTACAAAAAGAGTAATGGAAATCAAAGGAAATTCCAATAGAAACATGTGAAAATTTTGCTTACACCAGATCCAGAACCACTACCACTACTTCCTGGTGGCCTCATTCTCTCTACAACAAAAAATTGTTGATTATTAGGAACTCACAGTGAAATGTATTGTCAAGTACATTAAAAGTTAAATAACTTACGACTCGCGGGGCTGGCGATATTAGCAGCGGCTATTGCCACTTGCTTGTAATTAGCGGGCAACGCCATTCTGATATTACAATTGCCGGCGTCTATCTAAGAATCTAATTGTTTATGACAATTGTCTCTTGATAATCCGTCGTTGCACTAAACAATGTACACAATGCAATTAACCCTAAACCTACTTCAAAGCTCAAATGACGCTATGGTTGCCGTGAGAGCCATCGATGCGAGAGTTTTCGTTCCAAAAACCTGTACTACACTCAAACCGGTCAATGTTTGTACGTACAACAATTGCTTTGGTCAACATACACTCACGCACTTGAGATAAAATGCATTTTTGATGGAATTATTAATCCCAAAAAAGTTTACATGCAATGATATGCATGCTTACATCTTAATCATGAAGCGGTTTTGGCACTTGCGGTACACGACGGCGGGCACTCGAAATAGTCGACATTCACATCGAGAAGTCGAACGTTACGATTTGAACGGACGCTATATATTATTTCGAGATATCGACATATGAATCGAATAAATTGTATAGCGCGAATTTTCAAAAATAGATTTTAATTAAATCTGATGGACGTCACAAAAAATATCTGTAAGGTATTACGTGTATACTAAGTGATTTAGAAATATTTATTCATCTTTATCAATAAAAGCTATGCAACAATTCATGTAAAATAATTACATGATATAATGTTTATGATTATATATATATATAAATAAATAATAAATAGTCAGAATTAGTTTAATACATTTATTTTTGTTGAAATATAACAAAATTGGATGAGGTGCAGCTTTTTAAAGGAAATAAGTTCTAGGTTTGCGAACACTGAAAACTGGCATGCCGCTGCGGTGTTGAATTCTCTTGGGTAATGGGAAGCGTATTTTTGAGTCGTGGAACTGCTTGACTTGTGGTCTGCGGCAGTTAGCAGATTTAACAATCTCTACCTTGATAATCTGTATTGAGTGAGCTCTGGCACGGTGACGTGCACCCATATCACGGTAGCATTGTGTGACTGCACCAGCCACACTCAAGTCACGGTATTCACGGTACATGTTATGTGTTCCAGATCGAGAGTCGTACCTCAGCCAGATACCAAAGTTCTTTATTTTAGTTGGTGTCTTTTCTCTGATCTATAAATAAATTATAAAAATGTATTAAAATATTTATGGTAGCAATTAAACGAAATATTTAAAGGCTAATCGTACTTCTTTCAAGGAAACAATTTCTCCAGTTGATTTCTTAAACTTTTTAAGTTGACGTAAGAAGTACCAAAATCTTGATTTGGCAACAATACCATCCGGTGCAAATATTCTCATTTTATAGAGAGGAGTATGCTTCTCCTTCTCTGAAGGCAGTTTACGCCCAATCACTTCAAACTCCTTCAACTGAAAAATTCATAAAATTATGATTAGTTATCAAAACAAGAATAAAAATTACGTCTAGTAAACTTCATATATAATATATCCTTAGTTTAATCAGTAATTTTAAGCATAATTGTTGATTATTAGTTTCGTCTATTCATATCAGAATCATTGGAGAGGTTAGGTTTGTGTTTACCGTTGATTTCAACCGAATAACATCAAAATTTATGATAATATTATGTTTATTTTTACAATATCACTAATTTTATAAATTAAATCTACTATTTTATTCATTTGAAAACATTGAAAATATTTTTACAATGACACATGTTATTCTCATCACGTGAATAAAAATGCAATTTTAGAATTTGATTTATTTGCTGGCGATAGTGCGTAAAAATGGAAATTTATATGTTTTATATGTATTATAAATCGGAGAAGAGATTTTCAACATAATTTTCATTAAATTATATTAAACAATTGAAATGTTAACTTACTTCTCCCTTAGCTTTCATGGTGCCGTCTCAATTCTAGCACAGTAAAACCGGAAAAGAGCGCGTGCTCCTGTTCATGGAGCTACCTAACCTGTCAGTAATCAACAGTGTGTGAACGCGAGTGAGCGGCCAAATTTTAAACGCAACAATCGAGTATTTAATTCAACCAAAAATATTAAAGAAAATTTGCGACAGTGTTTAATAATAACCTTCAGTTATGAGCAAAACATTTTATCGACTTTTTCATATTATTCATCGCAATTGCTGATAAATAATATTGTTCATATAAGCACAGTCTTATTTGAAGAAAAGTAAGGTTGATTTGTTAATGAAATAAAAAATGACGATAGATGTGACGAGATATTTTATGAAATTTTGCAGATTAAGATGAAAACAAGGTGTCCACACGAAATTGTTGTCACTTGTGACAGTTCTAGCGAGAACTACAGTGCTGCAACATGGGACCCTCGTACAGGAACTCTTCTGACAACTTACAAGAATGCTGGTGCTTTGGGACAGCATTCACTACAGATGTTACATGATTCTTATTTAATTGCATCGAGTGCCACAAAACCATTCCTTCATCTGTGGCCACTAAACAGTCAGACAAATTCAAGACTGGTTGTACCAGGAAAAGTGACAGCACTAGCTTGTACACCCAATGGCGCATACATAGCTGCAGCATTGAGCGAGAAAATATACATCTGGCAAAGCTGCAGTGGACAGTTACTCAACTCTTTTGCCAGGCATTATCAAGCCATTGGTTGCCTGTTGTTCAACAAAGATGGGTCTTGTTTGGCTAGTGGAGCAGAAGATGGATTAATTTTTGCCTGGTCGCTCAGTCAAGTAGCGAACGAGAAGGAAGCCAAGCCACTGAGTTGGTTTTCTCATCATTCATTACCCGTGAAGGATCTTCATTTCGGACAGATCGGCTGTTTCGGTAGGTTGTATTCCGTGTCTCTGGACAGGTCCGCAAGGATATACGACGTGTACACCGGGCAGCTGCTGCTGAGCCTGGTGTTCGACGTGCCCCTCGAGTCAGTTTGCACGGACATCATGGAGAACGAGCTATTCGTGGGGTCTTCAACCGGGACAGTGATGAAGTGCAGTCTGCGAGAGGCCTGCCGTGGGGCAGAGCAGCACGTGGCTCTGCGCGACAACGACAAGATCGCTCTGTACAAGGCCCACGAGGGCAAGATCACGGCGCTATCGGTGTCCGTGGACTGCATCACGCTGTTGACGGGCTCGACGGACGCAACGGTGTGCCTGTGGGACATCGCCAGCTGCCAGCTGATCCTCAAGCTGCCCCAGCGCGGCCCGGTGGTCACGGCGTTCTTCGGCACAGCGTACGACAGCTTCGCGAGCAGCGACTTCAGGCCGAGCCTGGTGGTGAGGCCGCTACAGAAGGTGTCGGAGCCGGGCAAGAGCGACGCGCTGCTGGAGGTCTGCCGAAGGGACCAGGGCGACTCGTGGATCCTGGACCTGGACTGGCAGTCGGGCAAGCATCGCAGCGCCAGCGCGGCCGAGACGTCGAGCACCGAGGAGGAGCTGAAGGCGGCTCGCGGCGAGATCGCCAGACTGAAGCAAGTCAACTCGGAGATGTATCAGTACGTCGTGAGGAACCTGTTGGGGGAGGCACCCTGACGGCGCTCGCCGCGGTCGGCTAGCGGGAGTGCCCAGATGCCAGTCTTCTCTCGACAACGAGCATTCTTGGGCGAGCAGTCGAGGGCACGCCCTGCTCGTTCGTGGAGCTCGGGACGCCAAGCCGAGAGCGAGGGGCCCTGCAGCCACAGCCAACGAATGGCTCCGTGACGCACAGCGATATGCAAACGAAGCCTGGCGATTGCTCGTAAACGGAGCCTTTGCATGCAAACGAGGAGTGCGCAATAATCTTAGCTTGTAATGTAGGCGAAATACAGCAGGCAATCTTCGGCCTTCTTTGCTCTCCCTCTCTTGCTCCCCCCCCCCCCCCCCCCCTAAACACGATACTTCGCGCAATTTACGAGCTGCTTCCCCTGCAGCAATTGGCCACCGTGTTATTTCGCCCGAGCCCAGCTTTATACGCGAGATTCGGATTGCCTGTCGGATTTCAAAGGACTTGCTCGGCTGCTAGCAGCGATGCCTGTTCTCTCAATCAGTTCCCGCGTTCGTCGGCTAGTGCCGTCGAAATCTTCGCGGTGAGCGTGAGCCCAACGATGCTCGTGCAATGTATCATGGAAAAGCAAATAAAAGAACGATCAAGAAAGGAACACGCATTGTTTTGTTCGCTCGGCACGCTTCACCCCCGCGATTAGCAGGTCACGCGAGCAGATGGCACAAGCAAAGTTGATTAAGAAGCGAGGAGCGAAGCAGCGTGGCAGGGGTCCGATGAGGTCGCGCGCGCCCGGGGTGGTCGACGCTATAAAGGACGAGCGCGCGCCGGTCGACGGCTCACACGGTTCGTCGCCGGCCGCCACCATGAACCAGCTCTTGGCGCTCTCCTGTCTGCTGCTCGGCTTCTTCGGCGCCTACTTGGACGGTGAGTTCGCGCAGATACGTCGGATCGTCTCGCGGCAAGTGCAGTTCAGATTGCAGCTGGGTTTCGACGACGTCGAGTTGCACGCGCCAGAGAGGCAGCCTCCAAGCTGCTCCGACGCGAACGCAGTGCCCGGAGACAGGAAGTGAAAGAGCGATTGCGCTGTTCTTGCAGGTTTGGCCGCCAGCGCGTACGGCAGCGGAGCTCGCCCGTCGGTCGAGTGTCCCAGGGGAAGCCCGCCCTCCGGTGAAGCAGCTTGTCTATAATGCCCGCGAGGTTCCGCGGCTGCCGTCCGTGACGCGTCGGTCGCGCGGTCGACGCGTCGCGGGCGAGAGCTCGCAGGCGTACCATCCGGCTGATGCTCCGATTGTGATTAGCAGCCTGCGCCAAGAAGTACCTGATGTTCCCGTTTCCGCGGGTGGGCCGCGGCGGCGAGTTGGCCAGTTCGCCGAGGTCCCGGAGGGTCATCGGCATTGTCAAGCAGCCGCGCATCGGCAGGTCCGACCCGTCGCTGCCGCAGCCGCCCGTCGGCCAGTGGATCCACGAGGCCGACGACGGCCAGCCCGACAGCCTCGACTCGGCCAATCGACGCGGAGGTAACTCGCTCGCGGCTGATGCTTCGCTCGAGCGGCTGGTCTCTGCTGACCGCGCTGCGGATCGTAGGTGCACTGGTTCACGCGAACTGCCATTGGCAATTGTTTCAGCGCTGGCGCAGCGCGGGAACCATCTCGGGGCTTGGGACGGTAGCTTGGTGGGCCGACCAGCGGCCTCGCTATGGGCCTTCCTTCTCGTCGCTCCGAGTAAGTCCGCGACGGCGTTGCTCGTTGCTTTCGCTCGCTAACGCCCGGGTTCGTTCCGCAGATCTGCGCGACGCCGAGCACGCCGCGGATGGCTCGATGCTGGTGCAGCTCCACCATCAGCCGGACGGCGACGTCAACGACGAGTAAACGCTCGCCGCGCTCTGCCATTGTTCGTTTGCCCCGACTTGTCTGTCGATGGTTGCAATAAAAAAACAAATCTGCAATGTGAATGTTATAACATTGTTTTTTTATTACCAACTGCATTGTACATACAGCCGCGTGCTCTCTCTCTCTCTCTCTCTCTCTCTACATATACATATACACGTACATATATACATACATACATACATACATACATACATACATACATACATGTATATATATATGTATGTATATAAACAAAACGGGAAACCTCATCACCTTGTACAAAATTACATTTGAAAATGAATTGTTATCAAAAGAAAAGCGGCCTTTTTTGCAATCGAGCTTTCCCTTGGAAGTCAATATTTGTCGGGTTTTCATCTCATTAATGGAAACGAGGTGCGCAAATGCGTTTACAATCGATCTCGCGACCGCGTACATCAATCAAATCTGTCGTGTTTTTGATTTTTTTGTTTGTTACAGTTTTATACTCGAGCTTTTTTTTTTTTCTTTCTCGTCTTTCTCGTCTTTTGTTCCTTTTTCGTCGTCGCGGCAACGGAAAAGAGACGGATACATGAAACTTAAGGTCGCAGGTCTCACTTGCAGCGTATATCATTATTATACAGTAGTGCTCGCGCGTTTTGCTCTGTCACGCACAATCTCTCGTTAAAACTTGGATGACGAGCGTCGACAGCGACGCTCCGTTCGTTAGAAAAATTGAAATGCGCGCGGGCACACGTCGATCCCGAAAGGAAACTCAACGACTCGAGATGAGCTGCGCTCGAAACGCAATCTCTGGCCCAGTATGCTAATTGACGAAGCGTTGATGATAAATACCGAGGTACAGGCGTTGCGGTGAGAGACGCGTGTCGAGATGTGCGTGTTGGGAGTGTGCCGAGATTGGGCGTGCGAGCGACGTCGTGTGTCACCCTTCTTCCAATATCATTGAATGTAACAAGTATTTACACGGGCAGATTTAACAAATCTAGAATACGTATTGATGCGACAATGGATAGGAAGATAGGTAGGACACGCGAAGGCAGATTTGCCCTGGAGAATCGACGGGAAGCAAGCGAGGAAGGGTTGATCGCGCGAAATTCGCTCTGACCTAAGTGAACGCTGACGGCCGCTGCAGGTAGTCTCATCGATGAAAGTGGTCCGCGCTTGGTTTCCATCCGACGCGTTGCTCGGATGGGAGTACCGCTCTTAAAAACGATCGTAAGATATGCCGAGAACGTCGCGCGTACGTAAGGCAGCTGCAGCCAACGCGTCGAGCACTGATCGGACCGCCGCACAATTTCACCGTGACTGTCTGCGAATCGCGCGTCTCCTCCGCTACTCCTTTGCCGCCTCGAATAGAAAACCCACCAGTTAGCAAACTTAAAATGCCCATTTTCGTTTTATCTTTTGCAATCGGTGTTCCATGCGTAGCTGCGACATTCCGATGTATTCTACAAGAAACGTGAGAGGTGACGACATTATCGTTTGTTCGAACGTATTTCTCGCTGCGTAGTGTCGCGTTCGGTCCATCGTCCTTGCGTCGTGGAGAAAAAAAGGATTAATTGAAGACGAAAAGAATCGTGCTCATTTAAAAGCCACATCTGCCAGCTGTGAAACGGGCTGTCGAACGCTGAGATGATGTCCGCTATAAAAAAAAGTCGTATCGATTCGCGTCGTACGGAGTCCAGCTGCCTTACGCGCGTACTATCGTTCTGGCTTGTCGTTAGTCGGCAAACTTTCCGGACACGCGGAGGCTCCTGCGAGGATCAAAAGGTGTGACGAGGAGGCGGCGGGCTACGGATTCAAGGAAAGATACACTAACCGCGCAATTTCTTCTCTCTCTCTCTCACACACACACACACACTTACACATTCTCTTTAGGCTATGATTAATCTTATACAATAATTGTTCGCTGGAAAGAGAAAAAGTTTTCGAATGGGAATATGTACAAATGTATCGACGATCGTTTAACGCTATATATATATATATATATATATATATATTTATATATACTTTTTGTTTTTTCCTCTTTAATGGTATTTATAAGCGGCTTTCTCGGACGTGGTGAACTGTAGTTAAGGTATAAACTGGCTCGCTGTCGGGCAACGAGGTGACGGGTCTGGAGATATATCTTTCATTTTCTCTTTTTGGCATGTCCCTTCCCTACTGCGCAGCAAACGAGGAAACACTTTGCGGCGTCGCTCGCGCTTTTGATTTTCAGACTCGTTGAACGCGGAGGTTGGTCGTTCTGCCACTAGCCCGTGCTCTTCTCTCTCTCTCTCTCTCTCTCTCTCTCGCGTATACGCAGTATAATTGTCGCAGTACAGCACCGAACGTTATCTGGCGCGCGGCTGGCGCGAGCACACTGAGACTCATTTTCAATCGTCCGAAACGCTCGGTTTTCGTCAACGGGAAATAAACTGTGCTACGTACAATCAACTTTGCCAAGCAGCATAGAGACTATTTAGGCCGATTATCGTCTGGCGAGTTTCAGTGCGCTCGCACGCAGCGCACGGCGCAGGCAGGCCTCGCGGTTCATCCAGCACTGCCAACGCGACTTCTCATCGACGACGTATCGATAATTTGGCCGCCGAATAGACCGACGCGAGCCTAGGCTGCCTCGCGTCCTCTCTCCGGGCGGAGTCAGTCGCGCCGGCAGCGGCCTCTCTCCGGGCGGAGTCAGTCGCGCCGGCAGCGGCGAGGCGCCGATAGGTGGTGCGCCTGGTCTGCGGCGCAGCTACGGTCGCCGACGGAAGGGACGAGTCCGCGACCACCAGGGGGGGGGGCTTTGGCACTGGTCGCGGGAGCGCGGGGACCGGCGATTGCTTTGTCTGATATGAAGGCGGCCGCGCGGACGGGCAGTCCGGCGAGCCACCGGGCGGGCGCGCGCCCGACGGCGGCTAGCGTCAAGACACGCGCGCACTGGCACTGGCACCGTGTCCTCACAGGCTGGACTTCCAGAGCACGAAGGCGGCCTCGGGGGAGGCGGCTGCGCCGTCGGCCTCGGCGGCGGCAGCCTCCTCCTCCTCGGGCTGCTCTCAGAGCGAGACGAACTCGGGCGGCGGCTGGATGAGCGGCGCCGCGGCCTCGGGCGCGTCGAGCAGCGAGAAGGTGGAGCTGCCCGCGGCCGTGACGCGCGGGCCCATGTTGTCGTAGGGCGAGCCGAGCTCGGCGCCGGCGCGCCGCGCGCCCAGGCCCCGGCGCGGCAGCGTGGCGAAGCCCGACAGGCCGATGTCCAGCAGGTCGGGGTAGCAGCGCTCGCGCGCGCCCGCCTCGGCGCCCGCGGGCCCCGGCTCGGGCGGGGGCGTGGGCCGCCGCGCGGGCCCCAGCTCCGCCGCGGGCAGCGGCACGCCGATGTAAATGCCGGCCAGCGGGCAGACCACGGCCGGCAGCGGCGGCGGCGGCGTGGGCGCCGGCGAGGGCGAGCCGCGGCGCGCCTCGGCGGCCTGCAGCCGCAGCCGCTCCACGGTGACGCTGGCCGCGGGCGCGGCCGGGGCGGCGGCGCGGCGCGCCGCGCGGCTCTCCAGCTCGAGCTCGAACTCGGCGCGGACGGGCGCCGCCGCGGGCGGCGAGCCCGCGCCCGGGCGGCCCTCGTGCTGCGGGCCCTGAAAGCAGGCGGGCCGGTCAGCGGCGGGCGTCGTCGGCGCGGCCGCGGCGCGTCGCACCTGCTGGCGCTGGCGCCGCTGCGGCTGCTGGGCGCCGGCGCCGGTGGCGGTGGTGGTGACCGACAGGTCGAGCAGCTTCTTCTCCTGGTCGCCGAAGCTGGCGCTGGCCTGCAGCTTGACCTTGGCGCGGCGCGTGCGCCGCCGGCTGGCGCCGCCGCACAGGCAGACGGCCAGCAGCACGGCCGAGGCCGAGAGGCAGATCGCGAGGGTGCCGCCGCCGGCCAGGCTCAGCCAGAGCAGCCAGTTGTCCGCCTGCGAGAGCGTGGGCGCCGTGAAGACGCGCGGGATGCTCACGGCCACGGTGTCCCGCGCCGTGCCGGCCACGTTGCGCGCGTGGCACGTGTACTCGCCCGCGTCGCTGTCGCTGGCGTTGTAGATGGTCAGGTTGCTCCAGCGTTCCACCAGCCGGCCGCGCGTCTCCAGCGAGGTCGAGTAGGTCACTATGCCACCTGCAACGCGCGCCGGACCGTCAGACTCGCGCCGCCGAGACGCCGAGAGGCGCCGGGCGCCGGGCGCGCGCTCACCTGGTGGGCCCACCTCGTCGTTGGCGCGCCGACTGCCGTTGAGCGGGCCGCCGTTGAGCTGCCACCAGACCTCGGGCTCGGGGTCGGCGCTCGCCAGGCAGGCCAGGCTGACGTTGCCGTTGATCTCCTCCTGGATGCTGCTCTGCGGCAGCGTGACCGTGGGCTCGCACGCGAACTCGCCGGGCTTGACCTCCTCCCAGCGGCGGCCCTTGAGCCGCTCGGGTCCGCGGCAGCGCTGCGGCAGCGAGTACAGCCGGTTGGAGCTGGCCGCGGTGATGAGCCGGCAGAAGTCGCGCAGGCGGCAGTCGCACTGCCAGGGGTTATTGTCGAGGCCCAGCGTCTTGAGCTTCTTGAGGCCGGCCACGCTGTCCGCGTCGAGGAACTCGAGCTGGTTGGCGTCGAGGCTGCGCCGCGGCACCGGGAGCACAAGCAGCGTCAGGCACGGCGTGCCACGTGCGCGCGTCGCGGACCGCGGCCCGCGGGGCGCGGCGCGCGCCGCTTACCTGAGGCTCTCGAGCGCCGGCAGCTGCTGGAAGGCCGCCGCGTGCACGCGCCGCAGCGCGCAGCGCTGCAGCTCGAGGATGCGCAGGTGCTGCAGCGGCGGGAACTGGCGCGGGCCCAGCGCGGCGATGGGGTTGCCCGAGAGCACGAGCAACCGCAGCCGCTCGTTGCCCGCGAAGGTCTGCGCGTCGAGGCTGGCCACGTGGTTGTCCGACAGGTCCACCTCCACCAGGATGCGCATGTCGCGGAACGCGTCCGCGTGGATCTGGTGGATGCCGGCGTTGCGCAGGAACACCTTCTGCAGGTTGACCAGGCCGGCGTGCTTGAAGATCTGCTGCTGCAGCGCGGGGATCTGGTTGCCCGAGAGGTCGAGCACCTGCATGTCGGGGTCGAGGGAGGCGGGCAGCGAGGTCAGGCCCGCGTCCGGGCAGAAGGCCGACTTCTTGCCGGAGGTCCACTTGCAGCGGCAGACGGCCGGGCACTCGGTCCAGTCGGGGAAGGCCGCCGCCCGCGAGCCCCCGGGCAGTGCCCAGCCCAGCAGCAGCAGCAGCAGCGCGCCGCCCGCGCGGCCCCCCATGGCGTGCTCTCGGGCTCGGGCGCGACCTCGACCGCGGCCTCGGGGATGCGCTTCCGCACTCGCTGGTCGCCTGCCACTATACTCGCTGCTGCCCTGCACGCGCGCGCGCTATCGATCCGCGCACAGGCGCCACTGTTCGGCACGGCGCGTCTATCCGCGGCCGCGGGGGTGCGAGCGCTGCCGAGGGCTGCCCGCCGAGCGCCCCCCCGCGGCCGCTGCGAGGGCGGCAGCACTTGACCGATCGCCGACCCGCTACCGGCGCCGCGCCGCGCCGCGGCGCCCCCGTCGCTCGCGCGCCGCTCCTCGCGGCTCGGCCCGCCTGGCGGCAGCTGGCTGGCTGATCGATCGGCCGCAGCGACGCCAGCCCCGATCGCGCGCAGCCTCGGCAACAGGCGGATAAGGAAGGACGCTCACAGACACTTTTGCTTTTTCAACGTCTTTTATTACAAGAATAGAGTATAAACTTCTTTTCATCCTTATAGCGTCGTCGCGTCGCCGCCGTTCTCTCTCTCTCTCTCTCTCTCTCTCTCTCTCTCTCTCGCTCTCTCTACATTCCTGCTTTCATCGAGCTTGACATCTTTCAATATATATATATATATATATATATATTTGTCTTTGTTGTCCGTAGGTGCGCCCTCGCTTCGTTCGTTCGTTCGTTGGTGCAATTTTACATGGTAGTGCGTGATGATCGGCGCGCGTATCCGAGTAGCTTCGTCCGTCTGCGTCCGTGTGATCGGGTGGCTGTGTGTTAATGGTGCAGTCTCTTACATATACAACAGTTCGCGTGGAGAATGTTTTATCATAATTTGTTTTCTTTATTATTATTATTAATTTCTTTTTTCTTCAAGGGGGGAGGATTTTTTCGGAGTCATTTTCTCTCTCTCTCTCTCTCGCTCTCTCTCACTCTCTCGGCGTGTCGCTATGTAACTATGAAAGGTACGTACGGGTTTTATTTTGGTTTACTTGGAGACATACGTTGGCAATTCACGTCTAATAAGTTACAACGAAGCGCTTTGTTTCACTGTCTGTTCTGTCTGCGTCAGTGTGCCGGTGCGTTATTCTCGCGTGCTCTCGTCTCACTCTCGCACGCGATCGCGTAAATACACGTAGTACATATGTAGGTATGTATATATATATATATATGTATATATGTATATATGTATATAATGAGTAAGCGAGCGGGCTGGCAGGCTGGCGGAAGAAGACGCGCGTGGGAGGGCAGGGGGAGATGGGGTTGGGGGGTCGGAGCGCGACGGCAAGTCAGTTGGGTGAGTAGTCGAGCAGCGCGACCGTCGTCGCTCGGTCCCCGGAGCTGGCTCGCCCGTCCAGTCGCCTCGCCGGCTCCCTTTCTCGTCCGACTGCCCCGCGATCCATCTATTTATACAGCGCCGGCGGCGGCGGCGGCGGCGTCGACGGCGGCTCCCGTCGGGTTCGGGCTGCGCCCCGGCCTCTAGGCGGTTGCGGCTGCGGCGGCGGCGGCGGCGGCGGTGGCTCTACTTCCAGCTGTTGGCTGTCGACAGACGGCGAGGCTTGCTTTATCAACGGGCGAGCGCGCTGCGCCGACCGCACTCACCTCTGTAGTAGATGTCCCGGTTCATGGTCGGGCAGTTCCTGGGCGCGCCCTTCTGCAACAGTCGAGGGCTTGGTTAGTGCCGAGCACGGAGGACTCGGGGAGGGCTCGGGGACTCGGGGGCGCGCGCGGCCGATCGATCCGCGAGCGGAGGAGCCCGAGCCGACGCGCGCTCACCTCCTGCGCGAAGTTGATGTTGGTCCTGACGGGGCGGTGGTGGAGCGGCTGCGGCGGTCTGAAGTTGTTTCCCAGCGGCGCCTTCGGGTGGCGCTTGTCGCCCTGCTTCAGCTCCCTCAGGCCCTTCAGCTGCGGCCGGACAATTGGCGTTAGGTCGCGACTCCGAGAGCCGGCAGCGGCGGCGCCACCACGGACTCACCTGCTGCTTCGTGATGTAGATGGGCTTGTTGAGGATGATCCAGGTGGTCGTCTCGTGGCAGGCGGGCATCGTGGTCGAGCCGTCGTAGGTCATGTAGTGCATCGTGTCCGGCAGAAGCTCGCGCACACCGAAGCGCTTGATTTCCATCGACTGACCTGCAACCCCAAGGCAACGGGCTAATAATCTGCGCCGACCGATCTCGCGGATCCGCGCCCCTCGATAACAGCAGTACCCACCTCCGTACGTGATCTTGTCCAGGTGCTCGGTGAACAGGCGCACCTCGGGGTTCGAGTTATCGCCCACCTGCGCATAGACACAGACAGACGCACGCGCGCATACACACACAAGCACACACACAGGCCTGTCAGTCGAGGGCTTTGCGCGCCTTAACACGAGTTATCGCGTCGGCAGATAAGCCGCTCGGATCGGCAACTGATTAGGCACGTACCTGCAGCAGCAGCGAGACCGCCACGATGCCCTGGGCTCGGTGCAGCGCGTCCGAGAAATTGTTGTACAGGTGCGAGTTGAAGCCGAAGATCTGGATCTGCGCAGACACACACACGCGCGCCAACGCGCCTTTCAGACTACCTTGCTGGCTGCGCCGCGCCGTCGCCTCGCCGATGGGGGAACGCGCGCCGAGTCGCCCCCCAGCCGCGGCGCCCGTCTCCGCGCGCCTCCGTCGATCGGCGCCGCGCGGACGCGGATCGGCGGCCCCGAGGGCGGCCCCGGGCTCGGTCCCGGGCTCGGTCCCGGGCTCGGTCCCGGGCTCGGTCCCGGGCTCGGTCCCGGGTCGGGAGCTCGGGGGGCGGGCCGAGAAGGACGCGCGTCGGGGGAGCGCTCGGAGAGTGCGCGGCCGCCGGTGGGCTATTAGGCAGGGGCGGGCGGGGGCCGATCGATGCTACCTCAGCGGGGAAGCTGTAGCCGTCGACGGTGTGCTCGCTGCCGACCGTGTCGATGAGGCCGTAGTGCAGGTGGATCTCGTGGAACTGGTAGCGGTAGCTCAGCGGGCCGCCGCTGATGTTGACCGGCTGCCGCGTGTCGTTGTCCACGGTGAAGACCACGCTGTGGCCGGTGTTGGCCAGCACGCCGCTCACCTTGTGCTTGTCGATGTGCAGCTGCTGCAGGTTGGGGTCGAACAGCAGCCGCGAGGGCTCCAGGTTGACCGGCGACTGCCGGCGGCCCTTGTTGCACAGCGACCACTCGGGGTTGATCAGGCCCCAGAACGCCGGCCCCGAGATCCCGTCGTACGTCCACCACTCCTCCCAGCTCACGGGATGCGACTCTGCAACGCACGCCAAAGCCGCTCTCAGTCGCACAGTCGCGCACGGCGCACGTGGCAGCGTCGAGCGCCGAGCCACGGCGTCCGGGTCGGCAGGGGCAGCGCGTACGCGCGTACGCGTCGCCGAGGAGGATCGTCGTTCGGCCGGCGTGGGCCGCTCGCGTCGGGCTTTCGGTCGTTCGTCAACAGGGTACTTGCGCGATCCTCGCGGCGGGCCGACGTCCTCTGCGGGGGTGCGTCCTCCTTGCTGATCGCGCGAGGAATCGAGGATCGCCGGCGAACGCGGCGCGCAGCCGTTTACCTTGGACGAGGACGAGGACGAGGAGGGCCCAGACGCCGAGGAACGCGGGCCTGCGCGACCTGGCCATGTCACCGCGGCTGCTGGCGCTCGCTGGCACGCCTCTGCTGCCTCAGCGGCGGCGACGGCGCTGCTGCTGCTGCTGCTGCTGCTGCTGCTGCTGCTGGTGATGGCCGCTCGCCGAGCGCATCCTCCCCCTGATGCTCCGGATCTGCAACGCAAATGGAAGGGTCGTGAGCGCGCAGCCAAGGTCAGATCCGCTACACGGCGGCGTGCGCGACCCACATCGCGGCCGCGGTCTTGCTCGGGAGGCGCGGCACGCGCGCACGCACTCGCGCGTACCACGGAGGCCGATGCGGGCGGCAACTGGGTCGGCCGATCAGCGACGCGGCCCGCGCCACTGGGAGGCGCGCGGCTGGCCGCGATCAAAGCAACGCCGCGGGCCGGCCGTGTGAATATCCACTCGAGAACGTCTCGCTCGTGCCGCCGCAGCCCGTCGAGGCCTACCAGACGGCCTCCCTCTCGCTTACGTTCGCCTCGCACAATGCGTTCTTCTCCGGCGCGCGGAGAAAAGAAAAGCCCGAAAGAGAGAGAGGGACAAGGAGAGTGCACGCGGAGCGCGATCGATCCGAGCTGGCTTTTTCTCTCCGAAATAAAGAGCAGCCCGAAGAGGAACGCGAGAGGGCGAGCAGGCTCGGCGTCAGCAGAGCGCGGGGGCAACGGTCGCGCGAAGGATGCACACAGTCCTGCGAGCGAGAGAGAGAGAGAGAGAGAGAAAGAGAGAGAGAGCGAGAGCGAGAGCGAGAGAGAGCGAGAGCGAGAGGGCGAGCGCACGAGCGCGCTCGCGGAAATCAATAAGGGGCAATAAACCGGCTGCAGTGGGCGAGAGCTCGGGTCTCGCGGGCCGCGCGTCACCGGCGTACGTACGTGCGGGCGCTCCGCCAGGAGTCCGCCGCTGCGTGGAGGCTCGATCCCGAGACTGCTGCGGGCGCTGCTGCGCTGCTGGCTGCTGGCGCGACTGCGGGGCGCGCGGGGCACGGACGAGTCGCTCGCTTCGGCCGGCCGCGTACGTGTGCCGCGCGAGCAGCGAACCTCCGCCAGCCAGCCTGCCCGCCTGCCTGCGTCTCGGCGGCGCCGCTCCTCTCTGCGCAGGCTCAACCTCCCTCGGCTCGCAGTCCTCCGCCGCGTCCTCCGCTCCGCCGCCGCCGCCGCCGACGCCGCCGCCGCCGCCGCCGCGTGTTTACGCGCTTTGCCTACCTTCGCCGCGCGCGTCCTTTGCCCGCGGCAGAGAACAACGAAAAAGCCGCCGAGAGAGAGAGAGCGAGAGTCCGAATTGCAAGAAGGCGCCCCTTCCCCTTCCTATCGCCCCATAGCCACCGCCGCAAGCTCGGTAATTGCCGGCCTCCCCAGCACTACCACCCCATTATCCCGGCCGCACGTATGAGTAGCGGCATTCCGCGGCGATAGCTGGCCACGGCGCAGTCGGGCTGCACGACTCCCACGAGGCAGCCCGATAAAAGCTTGATCAAAGTATTTTGCTTGCCGGAGCGCGAGCATCGATCTCGCAAGCTCGCGCGCGCGCGCTCTCTCTCTCTCTCTCTCTCTCTCTCTCTCTCTCTCTCTCTCTCTCTCTCTCTGCCGGGATTCCACTTCCTCTTCTTATCCCGTGGCGATCGATCCGCTCCGCACCTTCTCGCTTCTCACTTCTTCTTTCCGGCCGCGTAGCTTTTCAATTATCCGTCTGTTTGCCGTGGGAATTACAAGGCCGAGCGGAGCGCGATCGCTCGTAGAGGAGCCCGCGCGCCCGACGACGATTGGCCGTGTCGACCCGCCATCGATTTTACCGGCGCACGAGGCTGCCGCCACCACGGATGATCCTCCGCGCGAATCGCCTCCCTCGCGCGACGACCGCGACTCGCCGCCCTGCGAACGCTCTAGCGATTGCCCCGATGCATTTTCCAACGGGCTGTTCGCTGAGCGATCCGATCGCCTCCGCGCGACTAAAAGCCCCTCGCGCCCTCCCCCCCCCCCCCCCCCCCCCCTCAACACTCACCCTCGAATAATTCGATCCCGCGACGAATGGCCATCCGGCGCGAATCGGTCGCGGCCCGAGCGAGGAGCAGCAGCCGTGAAATTTAACGGGCCATTGAGAACGCCGGAGTTGGGAGGGAGCGGAGGAACATTGGCGCGCTTCGAGTTTTTAAATAAGCGCCGAGTTTGTAAGTCTAATTTTAAAAGTCGAGCGCCAAGTACATCTCGGCGTGCAAGTTTGGCCGGCCGCGACGAGGAGTTCGGTTCGTATCATGAGCTCTCTCACTCTCGCACCCTCCTCTCCCCGCCACTCACCTCTCCTCTTCGGGCTCACCTCTATCGATCCGCGCGCGCTTGCAGCTTTTCCTCATTCATGTCCACGAGAGAGAGAGAGAGCTGCTCGCTTTTATTCATCGGCCCGCTCTTCCTCTCTCTCTCTCTCTCTCTCTCTCTCCAGATCTAGCGCCGACTATTTCGGAGATCTCGATTGCGGCCAGCCAGCAGCGGCTATTACTGACGAGAGCAAGAGGCTACCGATCAATTAATCGAGCGGCGCGAGGGAGGGGAGAGGAGGCCGCTGCAACCGAAAAAGCAACTAGTCCACGAATCAGCCGCGAGGGAACGAACGAGAAGAGCAATCGAATAAAGTTTTGAAGGAGGCCGCTGCCGACGCCGCCACCGCCGCCACTCGCCGGCAATAATCGCGGCTCGAGTGCACCCACGCGACTCGACGACAGTTGTTGGCTCTGCCAAGAGCGCGATCGAGCTACTTACGTGGCTGTGTATAGCGCCAATCAATCGATCAATTAGGCAAGCCGTGCTGGGGACTTTAGACGGATATTGACTTGACTCATTTTTTCTTCTTCTGTTTTTCCATCGCCCTCTCTCTCTCTCTCTTTCTCTCTGGGCTAACACGCCGCTCGATGGCTCTTTTCGTCGGTTTGTTTTTTCTCCCGCGCCTGGCGCTTAATTGAATCGTCTGTATTTCCGCGGCCCCCCCCCCCCTTGCCACCCGCCACCATACCCGAACCACGCGCAGTCGAGCTGGCGTGATATGACTTTTTTTCATCGAGTGCCGCTCGGTCGCTCGCTCTCGCACTCCGCGGCTGAATAATTCATGTGATTGAGATTGATGCCCCATTTGTAACACTACGAATGTCATGGGCGCGCGGCACTGCAATGGATATGGAAGGCTGATATTTTATTATTCGCACGCGTGAATTAGTTATCGCTCGTTACGCCGTCGAGCTACGTGTCTTCCGGCCGCGCCGCCGGCATACACGTCCACTGTACACTCGGGCGCGCGGATGTTTCGAAGAATCGATGTGAAACAATCGAGCTCTCTCTCTCTCTCTCTCTCTCACTCCCCCCACATGCTTCGGACGTCACCGCGCGCCAATGTCAATCGTCGATCGGCTCGATGATATTCTTCTGCCCACGCGGTCGAATCTACGGTCAGCGCGCGAGTGCCTCGGCTGATTGGTCATTGTCCACCCGCGGGCTCGCGCTCGCGTCAGCGCTGCCGCCGCGAAATTATGCACGGCGCGCGCGCGTCAGCCGCGAGAGCGAGGCTGCTGCGCGTTCGCGCGCGAGCGCGACGAAACGATCAAACGGCGCGTCGAGTGTCGCGCGAACGAGATTGCGGAGTCGCCAACGAGCGGCAAGGGCGTCGGGCGGCGGGAGGGGGAAGGAGTGAAAAAAAAGGGAAAAAGGCAGGGTTCCCGGGTAATTGTTAAGTAAGAGTGCTCAACCATTAAAGGAGGCGCAGCAATAAAAACGAGCAATAAAGAAGATTGGTCGACAGACGCCGGGATCCCGACGAGACTCGAACGAGATAACGGAGCTGCTTAAGCTATTTACGAGGCGATTTTTCTCGCGGTCGGTCAGCGCCTAAGCTTCGGGTGCGCTGATCGCCGCCGATATGAATAATGCTCGGAATGAGCTGCGAGGTTCCCGCGGCCCGAGAGGCACGTGCGCGCGCGTACGCAGCCCACGGCTCGATATCTATCGCGCGTGTGTTTTGCGGGATTCCCGGATCAATTGTTTGCTTGTTTTTCTCTTCTCGTTCCTTTAGCTCCGGCGACGACGAAAAAACGAAGCATTTGTTGCAGCTGCGCAAAACCAATAATGATAAAAGTTATTCCCCCCCCCCCCCCCCCCGCCCCTTCCGCCGACCACGCGCCATTGTTTGTCTATTACGCCTCTTTTTTCTCGTCAAAAGCGAAATATTTGGGTGAGCAAATGGAAGAGGAATAAAGAGAGAAAAATGGAAAAACGAGCAACTGGGCTGCGCGGCAGTCGGGGCCAAAGTAGTTTATTGTAAGCGCCTCTTATCGGCAGGGGAGAGCGCAAAAGAGAAAGAGAGAGGGGGGGGGGACAAAAAAAGAAAACAGAAAAACAAATAGATAAATACGCAATTGTGGTCGACGGCACGATTGCTCTTTATTCATCAGCAGCACAGTGTCACATGCTTATGCGTATAGCGGGACAAAGTCTTTATCGGCGCAGTCCGCACTGTCCGCCGCCGTGAATCTCGCTTGAGACGCACCACGGCCGTCCTGGGCTTGGAGCTACGTGGCGGCGGAGCGTCGTTGGTCGTCGCCGAGCTTCTCGCCAGCTGCAGCTTGACCCGAGGCCAATCGGCGATGCCCCCATCTGCGAATTGAAACAGTCGCTGGTTAGAGTCGGCGCTTCTCGCGTTCGCCACGCTAATGGGATTTTGGAAAGAGAGCTAATTGCGAATGCAGCGAGCCAAGTTTGCGATTAGAGGGGGGAGGGGGGAGCGAGGTGCGCACTTGACGAGAATTGCGGGCATTCGAATGAATTGCAAATGCGGCGGAACTTTCGGCGGGCGACAGTTGCCGTTCGAGCGAGAGCCACTCGCGGAGTCGTCGTCGTCGTCGTCGTCGTCGAGTGTAATAAGGAAAAAAGGCAGCCGCGGGATGGCCATTGTTATTTCTCGGGGCGGAAAACTCGATGAGAGGGGAAAAGCCGACTCCTGCCGGCGAAAGTAGGTTGTAACGGAGCACGAAGCTCGGGCCGCGTGTAGTGTATGTGCTCGGTAGTATCGTAATAATGTACCTCGGGGAGAGCGAGCCGCACGGGAATCGAGCCGTCGAAACGCCCGAGAGTGCAAATCTTTATCCGTGGTCGGGCCGCGTCATCTTCGCCGCTCCGTGTAGGCGGCAGTGTCGCGCACGCCTCTCAATCTCCGAAAAGAGCGTCGCGCGCGTCCGGCCGAACGCGTCGGCTGGCGCTATAACGGGTGTCGGAGGGAGGGGGGGGGGGGGGGCAAATAAAGCTTGCGCGCCTTTATTAAGGAGCGTGAATTTTCATGAATTTCAACGAGGTATTCTCATGCAAAGCCCCGCTCGGCGGTGCCGGTGAATGTTTTTCCAATGGTCCTCATCAGGCTGTTTATCTAGAAAAATGCAAGGGTTTGCTTTTAGTTAACCCAGAAAGGGTAGCAAAGTGGGTCGGGCGTTCATCGCGATCCGCGAACAAAGGGGCCGCACTCGAGCCGTGTGTTTGCCCTTCGCGGAGATGGTCGCGTCGCGCAGCCGGAGCTCTGCAGCCCCGGGGACGTCGGGACGGCGCGAGCGCGCGGGGCGTCGGCGAGGCGCTGCTGGCCGCGAGTGATCGACGAGCGGCGAGGCGCGACGCGGCTCGCGCCTCGGTCTCCCGTAGAAACGCGGCCCGGGCGCATCAATCGGAGCCGCCAGTGGCGCGGGGCGCGTCGCGTGTCTACGACCGAGTCGCGAGTCGAGTGCCCGACCGCGAGGTCGGCCCCGCGAGCTCGTCGCGGCGATTAACGCCGATTTCGGAAACGGCGCCAGTCACGCCGCGGCGCCCCGAACCTATCCCCGCGGCATAAATCAAAACGCGCCGAGAGCGAGCTACAGCGTATAAGGCGATAATGCCGTATCGATTGGCCGCTCGCTTAAACTGCGCCTGTGCGTGTCTGCATTTGCATAGTCCGCGCGTTAGCCCGTCAAAGCTTCCATCGCTCTGCCGACGTATGACGAATTATTTTTCGATGCTCCGCTCTCCGCTCGGCGGGAGAGCCGTACGGCAGACTTGCGCTCTCTCGCTCTGCTTATCGCGCACCTACTCTTCGCAGCGACGTCTGTGCGCGCGCGCGCGCGCCCCTTCCGACTCGAGGAATTTCCGCCGCGCGCAGTAGTCTTCCGCGACGAGCTGCGTGAACATCAGGCGTGCACAGTCATCGGCTCTGTGACGCACGAGCCAAGTGCGTGAAAAAGACGTAAGCGAGAACGAGAGAGCGGGGGGGGGGGAGAGAGAGAGAGACAGCGAATTACTTGGCTGGCAGGGACAGTCAGTAGACGGCGCGGCAGCGATTGCCCACTTTGAGCATCTTGGGGGGGCAGCGCGTGGGCACCTTGATGATGGCACTCTCCTGCACGCTCTCCGCGTCGCTGTGGAACGGGATGAAGCGCTTCTTAGCCTCGGGCGCGCCGCGGCAGAGGCAGGCCGCCGCCAGCAGCAGCAGCAGCAGCAGCAGCAGCGGCCGCGCGAGCGCGACTAGACTCCCGGAGCGCATGTCCGGTCAGCGCATTTAGTAGGGGCTCCTGCACTTGCCGCGGCGGTCCAGCAGCTGGCCGCGCTTGCAGCCGGAGATGCGCTGGCGACGCGGCGTCTGGATGATGGAGCTCTCCACCCGCGCCTCCTTCGAGCCGACGGCGACCGAGCGCAGAGCCTCGCAACCGGCGATCCGAGCGCCACTGGCCAGCAGCAAGAGCAGCACGAGGATCCGCAGGAGGAGGAGCCCGCCGAGCATGTCGCTCGCGTCCGCGCGCACGACTGGTGCGCGTGGCCCGCTGGACCGCGCGGCCGTCGCCGGACTCGGCGCGCGGGCCCCCCCCCCCCGCTCGCGGGACCGTCGCGCCCCGCGGACCGGCCTCGGCGCGGGTCGCGGCCGCGCGGGCGCCGCCGAGCGCCCGCTGGCGCCCTCGGTGGGCGCGCGCCCGAAGCCGCGCCTCGCGCGGCGGGTAAGCCGGCTGCCTGCGCGCCCGCGGCCGACCGCGGCGATCGCGTGCGCCAAATGGCCCGGGAGCCGCCGCACGCGAGCGCCCGGCCGTAATCGCGGCCGCGAGCGCTTCGGCGAAGGCCGGCCGGCGCGCGCGCACGCACGCCGACGGGAGCGTCGCTGGGACGCGGAGCCCTCGTCGAAAACCGTCCCCCCCTGGCAAATCGCTTCGACAGCGCACGGCCGAGCGAAGAAAGCCCGGTAGGAGCCGCGAGAGAAACTCGATGAGCCGCGCCGGTCGACGAACCGGCCGCCGGCGGAAACACGAGCTCGCTCCACGGACGGCCGCTCGAAATATTAGATTTCTGCCGCGCGCGAGGCGGACAGCCTGCTAGGCGGCGGCGGCGGCGGCGGCGGCGGCGGCGGCGGATGATATCGCGCGAAATTCGCGCGCCCGTCGTGGCTAATCGAGCGAGGCAACGGTAGCGGTCAACTGGTGCGCGGTCGCCCAGCGGGGGCCTGGCGGGCCGCGTAATGGGGCCCCCGTGACTTGCGCTCGCTCGCGACCACCTGCCGCGCCGGCGGCCAGCCTATTTGCGCGCCTGCCGGAGAGCCACGACGGCGACGACGACGAGCGTCCCGATGGGGAGACGAGCGGCGTAATTGCGACTGGAATGCGAGCATCGATTGCCGACTTGGAGCACGCTCTCTTTCTTCTCTCTCTCGCTCTCTCCCTCTCTCTCTCTTTCACTCTTTCTCTGCACGCAGCTCACGTGCCCGCACTCGCGTCTCACGCCGCAGAGCTGACGCGCATCGCTCGCGATCCGTCGGAGAAAGGTCGCTCGCAGCCGCTCCCAAAGGGGCAGACGCTGCCGCCGAGGAGAGAACTGGCCTAATTGTAATTGGCGTCGTGGTCGCGCGGGGCGCGTCGCCTAGATGCCCGGTGCCGGCGACGAAAGTAAATCAGCGCTCGCGACGGGCCGAGTGGATCGCGCGCGGGGCCAGGGGAGAGGCTCGAGCGCGAAATGGACCCGCGCGCCGCAGAAACGGGGCAACCACTTAAAGAGCGGCGACGCGGACGATGTAGTCGAGCCGAGGGCGAGTCACCTGTTGGCCGCGCCGCGACACGACGGCATTAGTCCGATAATTAAGCAATATTTCGGTTGTATCGTGCAGGCGGCACAAGGCGCGAAGAAGAATGTGCGGAGCCGTCGAGGGGGGAGGAGGGGGTGGGGGGAAGGAGGTGGAGGAAAGCAAGAGTACACGCGCCGCTCGACTCGGCTCTCGGTTGGCTCGCCGGCGAAATTTATGGCCCTGTCGGGCGCGACGTCTCTTTCCGCGCGCGAGCGGCTCCGCAGCCGCGATAAGCCGCGTAGGCGACGCTGCGGCGCTGCCGCGAGCGCGCTAATTACGGGCCGGGCCGCAATTAATTCGCGGTGCCGGGAGTGCGTCGCTCGCGGAGAGCCGCGCGCCGCCGCCGCGTCCGCGCCGGGCAGGCGTCGCGAGGGACGCGCCGGGCCCTCGCTGGAATCCAGGAGGGGCAGGAAGCTCGTTTCGCCGGAGATTTACGATTACGCGGGTAGCCATCAATGTAGCCCTTCGCGCTCGCGCGGCCAGATCGACTGCGCGTCTCTCTCTCTCTCTCTCTCTCTCTCTCTCTCTCTCTCTCTCACGCGCGCACGTGCGATGTTGCGGTGTCGGGGCGAGGCGCGAAACTCGATCACCTCGGCTCGGCTCGCCTCGCCTCGTCTCGCCTGGCCTGGCCGCAACAGTGGCACGGTCGAGCCGGCGACGCACGGGCGTCGACAAAAAATAGCGCTGAAAGCGAAGCCGCGAGCGAACGGCCGAGGCGCTGTTCGCTCGCTCGGAAGCAGCGCTACCAAGAAGACGCGACCGCGGCGGCGGCGGCGGCGGCGGCGGCGGCGGCGGCGGAGGAGGAGGAGGCGTCCATCTACCAAACGCGACGTGCCCGGCGATCCGCGGGGACGAGGGCGAGGATCGAATTGTCCGTCGACATAATCGTTCGCGTCGAGTTCACTGGAGCGCGGCCCGCGCGCGATTATTAGTCTGACGCTCGTTTCGTGCCGGCTGCCCCTCCCCCTGCCCCCTCGGCCGCTTCTCTGCCCTTCGTCCGCCCGGCCAAATTTTCGTTTAACAGCAGAGCGACTCCGCGGAATGTGCGCGTGTCCGCGGCTCCGCGCGCCGACTGCGGCCGGTGAGAATAGCCGAGCGAGCGAGCGAGCGAGTTAATCAGCCGGCGCGGCGGAGGTGTCGCGCGGAGCTGGATTCATTAATTCGCAGGCGTTGGGCCTTATCTGATGGTTCGTGCCGGAGCGCGGTCCGTGGCGGAGGCGGCGGCGGGGCGCCGAGGGGGTGGGGAGATAGCCGGCTAAGTAGCCGCGGCGATAATTGAGTGGAAATAAATTTGTGCTCGCGTCGGGGCAGCTCGCTATAAACATGCTAATGGCGGAGCGCCGATGATAAGGGACGACCGGTCGCGCCGTGAGCGCGGCCAATTGCCGCGCGCGGCGGAGGAGGCGCGAGGCCAGGCAGGGAAGCAGCCGCGCAGGGCCCGGCGGGCGCAGGGAGGAGGGAGGCTGGTAGCCGGCGCAGCGCTATCGGCCCTGTCGCCGTACATCACCGCGAGCAGCGGCAGCGCGCCGCGAACACGGCTCCGCGCTCTAATTGAGCCGTGGCGCGCCGGTGACTTTAACGCGCGCCCGTTTATCTCGGGTAATTGTTCTATGCGCGGCCGCGGCCGCGCTCGTAAATCGGCCGAGGCGGAGAGACGCCCCCGGTTGCGAGCGCGCAGAAATTTGTACCGGCGATCTCGGCGGCGGCGGCGGCGGCGGCGAGCGCGCGCGCGGACAGGCGCGACACGGCAGAAGAGGGAAACCAGTTCCAGGCGACACGCCACTCGGCGCTCCTTTCCGAATATTGCCGGATCCGAGCGAGCGAGTTAATCGAGGCGACGAGCCTGGGAGCGTCCGCGCGAGCGGCTATCGCTCGCGCTCGCAGGCGGACGGCGGCGGCGGCGGGAGAGGTGCGAAAGGGATAATGACTTTTCTGCTGCTGCTGCTGCTGCTGCTGCTGCCTGCCGCGCCGCGCCGCGCCGGCACGCAAATCCTCGCTCTCTCTCCCTCAGCGATGTGTCAGCGATGCTTCGGTTCATTGCGTTTATTGTACATGTGTATATCTTACAGGCTTAGCGAGAGCACCACGCGTTACACCGATCTCGTAGTCTCGTCGGGCGGCTGGCGGCGGGGCGCCTCCGGGAGCGGCCGGCGGCGCGTCAGCGGTCGTGCTTGGTGAGCTCGAGCGGCTGCTGCTCGGCCCAGCGCGCCTGCGCCTCCCAGGCGGCGGCGGCGGCGGCGCGGCCCGGCGGCCCCGGCGAGTCGTCCTGCACGCGGATCTCCTCCTCGTCGTCGTCCGAGGAGCGCGCCCGCGGCGCCAGCAGCTGGCTGATGGCGCGGAAGGCCGAGGGCTTCTGCGGCGGCTGCACCGCGCGGAAGGCGCTCTTCTCGCCGCTGCCCAGCGACGAGGCGGCCAGCGCGGGCGCCGGGGCCGGCTGCGGCTGCGGCTGCGGCTGCGGCTGCGGCGGCGAGCGCTTCAGCAGGTTCATGCGCTGGTGCCGCCGCCACTTGGCGCGTCTGTTGGAAAACCAGACCTGGCAGTCAAGTCAGTTAGCGGCGATCGAGCAAGTGTGGCGCGGCGGCGCGCGGGGGCCGAGCCCCGGCACTGACCTGCACGCGCGCCTCCGACAGCGAGGTCTTGGAGGCCAGCCGCTCGCGCGTCGACACGCACGGGTAGTGCGAGCGCTCGAACTCCTTCTCCAGCTCCTCCAGCTGCTCGGGGCTGAAGGTTGTGCGGTTGCGCCGGAACTTGGGCTGCTCCGAGCCGTCCAGGCTGCCGTCCTCGGCCTCTCCTTCTGCCCCAACAGCGCCAATTAATTCTCAGCCCCGGCTAATTAATACCGACGTGTCCGCGCGATAACGCGCTCATTATACTTTCAGATGCGAGTCACCGCCGACGCAGCCTCCTTCTGCGCGATACGCCGCTCGGCTCAAAGCCGCTGATCAACGCCAATTAGTTTCTCTCGAACCGCCTCGGCGCGGAGCGACAGCCAACGGTCGCCCGCTCGGCGAGCGACTCTCTCCGGAGCGCTTGCCTCGCGACCGGCCGAGACCGCGCGGACAACGGGCGCCTCGGGCCAGAGCACTCTCTCGCTCGCTCGCTCTCTCGTTAAACGGACGTTCGGTCTCGAGAAGCATAACCGATCCCCTTATCCGCGACGAATACATCATCTCGAAAGAGACTATCCTCTCGTCGCCAATTCGCATTCGTCCGACGAGATTATCCTCTTCTGGAAGCAGCTCTCTTTTTCAACGTCCGCTTGCCTTCTCGGTTGACTTTGGCTTTCGATAAGATTCATTTCCAACGCATTTACGTTCGGTCGATATGTCAAGTGCCAAGCTCATCGACGCGAAAAGCAGCTTCTTCCGAGTACACGGCAAAAAATGGCTTCTCGTGTACCGAAAACATTTCTTTTCAATATCTCTAACATGTGCCGAAAATTCATTCGGCTATATTTACAAGCCTCGTACCAAGAACGATCGTGTCGCGAAACAGATTCCGCCTCGCTCCAAGATATTCTGGTATCGCAAGGAAGTCACCGCGGAGCTGTTCCGAGATGAGAACCCTTCTGGCCCGCGCCCGAGATTTCGTTTCGGTCTGCTCTGACCTGACGCAAACCGACTCTCGTTCGATCGATTGGGCGCACCGCGCGGAAAAACAGCCTCGCCGCCCGAGAGAAGCTCGGCAACGCGTGGCCACGAGGTTTGCCGCAGCGCACGCGACGACGCGCCGACGGAGCCGAACCGAGGCGAACGCACCTCGGCGATAGTTACCGTAGAGCTCACCTTGGTGCAGGTAGCCTCTGGCGATGGCGTCGACGGCGTGCAACGCGTGCTCGGGACTGGCGGCGGCGGCGGCGGCCGCGGCGGCGGCTGCGGCGGCCGCGGCAGCCGAGGGCAGCGGCGGCTGCAGCAGCAGCGCCGAGCCGGGCGCGCCGATGCCGGCCGCGGCGGCGGCGGCCGCCAGGCCGCCGGGGAAGAGCCAGGGGTGCGCGGGCCCGGGCGGGCCGGGCCAGCCCGGCGCCGCGGGCTGCGCGGCCTGCTGCTGCGGGTGCTGGTGCTGCTGGTGCTGCTGGTGCGGCGGCTGCGCGGCCGCGGGCCCGCCGGCGGCGTACAGCCCGTAGCCGGCGGCGCGCGCGAACTCGGCCGCCGCGCGCTCGGCCGCGCGGTTGCGCAGGATCCTGTTGATGCTGCTGACCGAGGGCGCCGTGGCGTTGCTGCAGACGCCTGCGCGCAGAGCGGCGGTCAGCGGCCGCGGGCCGGCGAGCGGCGGCCCGCGGCCCGCGGCCGGCGGCTACTTACCCTCGGAGATGAGCCGCTCGCGGATCTCCCAGGCGAAGATGGTGGGGTTCTCGCGCTTGTACTGCTCGATCTTGGAGACGACGGCGGGCGTGGCCACCTTGGGCTTGCTGCCGCCGATGAGGCCCGGTGGGCGCAGGGTGCCTGCAACGCCAGAGTCGGCGCGGTGAGCGCGGGGGCAGCGGGGGCAGCGGGGGCAGCGGGGAGCGGCCGCGCCAATTAGGCCGCAGCGAGGCGAGCGCGCCACAAAGGAGCGGCGGGCAGCCTGCAATTTGCGCGCTCCTCGAGAGCCGGCAGACGAGGCAGCCGCGCTCGGCGAAGGAGGCTGGGAGCCGCGCGCGGCCAGTGCGCGCATGCCATTATTAATATAAAAACGATGGCGTGTCGCGAGCGCGCGAGCGCGCGTACGCGGTAGCGCGGCCGGGGCATCGCGTGAGCGCTGCTCTCACGGCCGATCATCGCGCTGGCGGCTGCGTGCGCGCTCGCTAATGGGCGAGCGCGCGGGCTTTTGTCCGGGGTCCCGGCCATTTAATAAAGGCAACCGCGCAAATCGGTCAATTACGCGGCGCGCCGTCAGCGGGCAGCTCCCACAACGCCCCGGCGGTGACCTCGCGTGTGCGCGCCGCTCGCCCAGCCATCGATTCTCACGTCAGGCCCGCGTCCAGCCGCGCGGCCTCGTCGCCCGCCGCCCCGCCGCCCCGCTCGCGCTCATTATCGTTATTAACCTCTTTTTCGGCGACATTCCTCTAACGAGGGCTGCCCCCCCGGACGCGGCCGCACGCTATGCGGCCGCGCTCGCTGCATTCCGCGCGCGCGATGCAAATGATGATCGCGCGCCAATTACGCCGCGGCGCAGCGCTGCGCGTCCGAGCGCCGGCCTGCGTGTATCGTCGGCTCATTGCACGCGAAGTCGAATTCGGCGGCAGCCGCGGCGCGTCGACTCCGACCGAGCCTCGTCTTATCGCGCTCATTTGCATCGCCCGTCTCTCCTAGCTCAAACACCTTTATCGGCGAGCTCGCCGCTAAAGTCGGAGCGACGTATTTGCGACCGCGGCGGCGCCTCGAGTTTCGCGAGGCTCCCGGGCGCCGCGGGCCGCCATCGCGTTGGCACCCGCGCGCGAGCTGCGATTCGCGCGCCCTTGTGGCCAGCCGACTCGAACGTGACGTTCGCTACCGCGCTCCGCTTCGTTCTCCATTTTTCTTCTCAGCGATAAGAGCTTCGCGTGCGAACGTGTGCTCGCGTTTGCTCAAACTACGTCAGATATTTTTGTCGCAGCGGATCAGATTTTCCGGTTTGCGCGTTATTTTACGACTGTGCCTGTTAAAATAAAAGTTCGATCAGAGCAGCTTCGAAGGAAAGCAAGAGCGAATCGAAGAGCCAGCTCGATCTGGCGTACCTCGTATGCCAATGACAATTATGTAATTTTGTTAGCAGTCTCGATCAAGGCCATCAGAAAAAGTGTCCTTTTCTCGTTATAGATGCGCGTAACTTCACTCCGTTCGTGTTTTCCTCGAAGAATCCTCCCGTCGCGTCGGACAAATGCTCGAAGATCGTCTCGAATCGCCGCAAGGAAAAATTCGTACTCTGCCGTGCTAAAACGATCGAGACTGATTCGCCGCGCTGGCGAACGAAAAGCCTTCTGCGAGAAAAATATTTGCCAGGACATTATCCGAAAACTAGATTAAAAATGGTAATACAAAGCCAAGAAACGATCCCTTTTGCGATAAGGACGTAATGTTTTCGACAGCCCTCCAAAAGAAAAAACGAAAAACAAAATAGCCACGAACACTTTGTTCATTCCCGACATCGAATGCGACGCTATTCTCCGCGAGTCGAAATGTTCAAGGAAGCAAGCTTGAACATTGTGTTGGGCCAAGAGGATTCCATTGTTAACAAGACGATTGCTTTGAGTACTGTTAACACGACACAGATACCAAGGCATACCAAGCTTCAAATGCAAATGAACGATATGAATTGTTGACGAGACAACGATATGCTGGGCTGTCTAAAAATACGTTAGGAAGAGGTCTTTTTCTAACAGAAAGTCTGTCACATTGTATTGAATTCTTCAGCAACAAAGACGATTGCTTTTGTATGAAGAACCTACATATATCCTCCGGAATTTTTTCCGAGATAAAGTCTGTCCGTAACGGCGGCTCTAATTCCAGCACATTCGATCACTGATAGTCACGTCGGATGAAATAATTCGTGAACGAGCGTAATTTTGGGGAATCGAAGCGCGCGTCGCGCGGCAGAGCAGCTCCCATTGTTAGACCGAAGGAGGCAGTCCTCGGGTGCCGAGCGGCTGTTGAAACGCGCGGCCGCGCACGGGAGACCAAGTCGCAGACCCGCCGTGGTCGTCGCGGGCGGACAGCGCGGCAGGCTCGCGGGGAGGTCGAAGCGACCAGCAGTGGAAGCAATTGCAGCGGCGTCGAGCGCCGCGACGCTGGCACAAGCGCGGCCGAGTGGTGGGGGCGGTGCCTCCGCACTCCCACTTCGCCGCGGAGGCACAGCCATGCCCGTGTATATCAAATTAATGCACTGGAATTGCGCAAGCTGGCTCGTTGCAGCGCGGCGGCGCGCCTAATAATCGCGGCGCGCACGCCCCTCCGCGTCGCGTGCAGAACTGGCTTGCGCAAAAGCCAACGAGAGACGCGGCAACAAAGCGCGCGAGAGCGGCGAGTGGATGCGCGCGCAATGAGGCGCGCGCGAGTGAAGTTCAGCTGGCAGAGAAACCCCGATCGTGAGAGAGAGCGAGCGATCTGGCTGATCCAATAAAGCGGCTTAATCCGCGAGCGCGCCACGCCAAAGGAAAAGCGCCCGGCGGCGCGGCGCGGAAAGCTCGCGCGCGAGCAGCCCGGAATGCGGGCTTCTTTCAATTGGATTAGCTCGCGCCGGCCGTCTGCGCCGGCACGTATAGAGCCTCGCGCGCGGGCTCCGGCGCGTTAGCGCGCCGCTGACAAGGGGTTCGTCGCCTCGCGACAAACCGGCCGACCGGGTTCGCGGCCACGCGGCCACGCGGCGCGCGACCTTCGCGCCCGATCGGCGCCCGCGCTTTCCTATCGCTAATTGGCTCGCGCGATCGATAACCCGCGGCGCGTGCGATCGTGGCCAGCGTTCGCGGCTCCGCGCGCGGCAAAGTTTTTAATATGCTAATTGATTTGGGACGGCCGAAATTGACTTATCAACGCGGGCGCGCCGCCGGCTGTTTGCTCTCGCCGCGCGAGCGCCCAGAGAACGCTTCGCTCGCCGACCAATTAGCTGCGATTATCACGCCGCGTTTTTCGCCTGCTCGCGAGCGCCCGGCCAAGTGCGCAGTAGCATTATACGCCCACAGCTGGGATTACAAATTCACGCTCTCTCTCTCTCTCTCTCTCTCTCTCTCTCTCTCATTTAATTTCTGACTTGGCTCCGATGACTTTTAGCGCTAATCGACCGATGCCGATGCTCGCTTTTGCTACGCTCTTCCTGGCTTCGCCGACTTAATCTCCAGTTGTGGAAAATTAAGGCCGCTTCGTCAAAAAATCAGATCCCGTGGCGCTACTTCCTCCGGCATACAATCATTCCAACGAGGCCCATTCATTTTTTATTTCCTCGGAAACGAGCAAATCGCCCATACATAAAATATCTGATTTCATTATATTTAACAAGCCGATTAAAGAATTTGTACTTTAAAACGGGAACGACTTAATTAACCTGTTTTTGTAATCTTCCATCAAATAAATCATTTATTAATCAGTACTAAACAGAATCATTCTCATTCTGGATTTGAATTGATCGACTTCAAATCTAGACATACGTAGATTATTGACAAAGTCGCCGACTTTCAGCGTCGTCTAGGCTCCCCTGTGCTCCTCGAGGAATTGATATCCGAATGACAACTTCGGTTTATGAAAGTTAATATTGAATTTAGTTTTTCAAAATCTAATTTCTCCACTTGAAAATAAAGTATAACGCGAAATGCAAATAGTCACAATTATCGACGATACTTGTGTGTTAACAGTTTGCGAATGTACTGACTATCAGCGATTGTTTTGAAAAATTGCACACGTTTGCTCCCTTTGTACAACGTTTCTTTTTCCTCTGCGCTTTCGGAATAAAAATCAATCGCTAACTTTCCTCTCTTATTTACAATCTGGCAGCAGGAGCGGACCTAGATAAATGTCGCTTTGAAAAACAATGCTCAGCTTTTATGAAATAAACTTTTATAAGTAACGAAAGTAATTAAATTGACCTTGTGCGTCATATCTGGAGTTGAGAAGTGATGTAAAATTTGAAAAGAAGAGCATGAAAAGGAATATCGCTTTCGCTTGCGGAATCAGAAAAAAGTTTACAAATTTACCGAAAGAGTACGACTGGCCGGGAGCTAAGATACAAAAGCAAAAGTGAGAATCAAAAGTTTACTACCGAATTCGCTTTATTAAGGAAACGTCGAAGGCCCGCTGTGGAATGCACTTTGAGAAATTATTTACGATCGATATTCAAGTGATCCCGAACGGTCCCGAACGGGAAATAAAAAAATCTCTTGTTAGTCGCCCAAATGCCGGCGTTGCATGAGAATCGAGTAGCAATTTTGAGCACCAACGATAAGAAATTCCTAAATACGTCGTCTCGCATGTAGTGTACAGGTGATTTGTTTTGTAAAACTGTAACGATTATAATTCGATGATATAGATTGAATTAGCATCGTGCGGTTTTGTCTTCCACGACGGTGGCACTGAATTATTCAACAGTTTGCTCAGAACGAGAATAATCAACGACCAACAGTGGGACTCGAAATTAAACGAGGTAGGGTTGAGGTCGAACGTTACGAAAGCATCATTTTGTACAGGTGCGAGGAGAAGCGCGCTGTATTGTTTCATCTAGCCGGATCTTTGCCCGACGCGTGAGAAGGATTTTGCTTTCTCTCCCTCTCTCTCTCTCTCTCTCTCTCTCTCTCTCTCTCTCGAGAGAGAGAGAGGGAGTCTTCAGGTGATCGAGATCGTATACGCCCGTAAAGGCGCGAGGTTAAAAGTGTCAACGCGCGATCGTTGGCTGCGACGAGGCTCTCCGCCGGCCGAGTCTATACGCGCCCGACCGCGCGACGGCAAAGTTTGTTGGAAACTTGTCCAGTCGCTTTGTAGAACGCGGAGCGAGTTGCGACAAGCTGGGACGAAGGCGCTGAACCGTAAGGCGGCCGACCCATCGAGCCGCCGCGGAAAGGCGGAAAAGGCAGCGGAGGCGGGAGGCGCGCCACCAAGGACAGCGTCGGGCGGGCCGGGCGGATAATTGGACCGGAGAGCGCGACGGCGGCGCCGGGCGCAGCGTCCGCTCGGGCGCGATTATGCTAATTAATGAGCTGTTAGCCGAAGAGAAATAGCGAGCATCGGCCGACCGCCGAATAAGTAATAGCGCGAGATGCTATCGGCGAAAGCTCGAGGCACGGGGGACGCGCTCGGGCAATTGGCGCGGCCGATCGGCGGCAGATGAAGACATTACGCCCGGGCCGCGCAAAAAAACAGTCAGCGAGCGGAGCAGCAGGGAAAGGCAGCGTCGGCAACGGGATTTTTACGAGCGGCTCGTAAAGTTAACGAGGAGCGAGCGCGCGCTGCGGACCGGGCTCGCCGATTTCTTCTCTCGCCTCTTTTCGCCCGAGCCGGCGTTCTCGGCGCTCGGCGGCGGCGGCGGCGGAGGCCCGAGCGATGCGCGCGGAGCGACGTGCACGCGCGTGCGAGCGAGCGGCGGCGGCGGCGCGAGGAACAATGCCGGACGCTCGGCTGCCGCGCGCCCGTTGCCGGCTGATTAGCCGCTCGTTAAACGAGAAAGCGGCTCGTTGCGCTTCCGGGAACGAGCTGTCTACGGGCGTAACGAGCTTGCGCGCGACCTGCAATTTCGCCGGCAGCGCGCTTTTTGCGCCCGTAATCGTCATCAATTAAAATCACGCCTCCGAGCCGCGCAGCGGCGAAAACAATTTGTTGCCGCCCGCCGAACGGCCTCTTCTAGCGCTTTAACGGCCCTGCGCGCCTTTGTCGGGGAGGGGGGGGGGGGCCGGCTTCCGCTGGCTTTTTGTCCCCGCGGCCGGTTTTACAGCCGAGCGCAGCCCTCGCCGCGCGATTTTTGCCCCGGCGCGCAAAAACCGCCGGCCGCTATCGCCGCGAATCGGCGCTCGATCTGCGCGCTACGCGTCTCTCGGCATCGATTTATTAACTGCGCGCCACGATCATTCAGCCCGACGTTTATTATTTCTCGAGCGGTCCCGGCAGCGCGCTCGCTTCCGATAAGCGGACGACGGAGAAGCGACGGCGGCGGCGGAGGCGCGGACCAGTCGTGACTTTCCTCGGAGAGACGGGCGAGAGGTGGGCGCAGCCGGCCGAGCTGGCGGGTACTCACCGAGGAGCTTGGTGACGACGGCGCCGTGCTGGTTGAGCGACATCACGTGGTTGGCCAAGTCGCTGTAGTGCCTGAGGGCGCCCAGTCCGTGCGACAGCTCGAGCACCCGCTGCCTGGACGAGCCGCCCGAGGAGGCGGAGGCGGCGGCGGCGGCGGCGGCCGCTGCCGCGGCGGCGTTGATGCCTGCATGCGCAACAACAGAACGGACGGCGGTGAGCGAGGGCTGATCGCGGGCCCGATCGGGCCGATCGCGTGATCGAGGGCGCACGAATTAGCCGCGAGCCGGCGCGGCGGACTTGCTGCGTCAGCGGCTAAATGATTAAGGAGCGAGTAATAAAAAAGAAAAGCTAAACGATTTGGCGCGCTCGGTCGCTCGCTCGCTCGCCCGTCCGTCCGTCCGTCCGCTCCCTCGCTCGGCTTTAATTAGCCCCGGACACGCTCGGCCCCGATTATAAATGATTTTCCGCTGAAATTTGGGTAGCCGGTCCCGGCCCCGCGCCCGGCGAGAGACAATGCCGAACACGCAGTCATGATTGCTCGATTAAGGCAGCCTTTTTCTTCGGCCGTCGTCCGATCGACGCATGCGCCCGCTCGTCGGCAGCCGCACACATGTGCCGGCGCGCATAACGGGCCGCTAATTGAAACGCGGCGGCAGAAAGAGCCGCGCAATAATTATAATCCGGCGGGCGGAATCTCGGCGCGTGATTCGCGATCCCGGCGCGGCGGTGGCGAGCGGCGCGATGCTATCGCGCGCCTCGTCGAGCATCGCGGCGACGGCGCGCGTATCGGCTCCCGCGGGCGACGAAAAGTGCGCGACGATCGGTATCGCCAATTAATTACAGCCGGCTGGCGCGCCAACACGTGGCAGCGCATGAAATATTCATGTGCACCGCGAGCCGAGCGGCGGCTTACGCAACGCGCCGCCCGGCCGATCGCCGATCGCCGAGTGCAATCGCGCATCCAGCGTGCGAGCGAGCGACCGAGAGAGAGAGAGAGAGAGAGAGAGAGAGAGAGAGAGAGACTGACCGTCGATGAGCGAGGACGGCAGCTGGGACAGCTGCGGCTGCTGCTGCTGCTGCTGGCTGGCGGCGGCCGGCGGACGGTGCTCCCAGGGCCGCGCGACGCCCGGCTGCGGAGCCTGCTCGGGCTTGCGCGCGCGGACCTCCTCGCGGGCCTCGCCGCGGGCCTGCTGCTGCTCGGCCTCGTGCCGGCTCGCCTGGCTGTTGTTGTTGGAGTCGTCGTCGCGCGCCGGCGCGGGCGCGGCCGGGCTGAGGCTGGCGCGCGGGCGGCGCTCGGGCGGCTGGCCGGCGTCCTTGGCCGCGCCGGGGGCCGGTGCGAGGCCGCCGCCGATCATCATGCTACACTGCGCGCACTCGCGCTGCCGGCGGCGTTGCTGCGGGTCCTCGGGGCTCGCTGTGCCGCCGCGGGCGGCGATGGCATGGCGGGCCGAGCGGGCCGGGCGCGGGCGGACTGCGGCGGGCGCGCGGCGAGCGAGAACGCGTGCGGCTCGGCAGCCTGCGTGCCCGAGACTCTGGCCGCTAATCGATGGCTGGCTGCGCTCGGCTCGCGCTTGCCCCGCGCGAGCGCACATTAGCAGTTGGTCGCCGCCGCAGCGCCGCCGCCGCCGCCGCCGCCGCCGCCGCCGGGAGGGGGGCGCGCGAAAGGGCAGCCGCGCCGAGCATGCGGCGCGCCGCCCAGCCGCCAATTGCCGCCCGCCGACCGCCCGCCGCCCCTCCCGCCGCCCGCGCCGCCAGCTTCCGACCGCGACCTTTCCCCGGCGCGCGCTCCTCGGGCCGCCTCGCGCCGCGGCCGGCCGGAAGCCGCGTCGTCGTCGTCGTCACCGCGGCTGCAGCCGCTCGGGCTTACATAATCCATTAGGAATTCGGCGGGACGGTTATCGGTCCGCCTGCCGCGAGCGGGGCCCCTGTCTCGCCACAAAAACAGCGCGCCGCGCGCCGGGAATTCGAATGAGTTGACTCAAGTGCGGATGCCCCGGCCAGCTGCACGGGCGCGCGCTACCGTGCAGGCGGCCGCCGCGCCTACGCGCGGCCGCAGATAAGATTGTTCGGCGCGCCGCGGACGGGTGGGAGGAGGCGCTGCCAGGCGCGAGCAGCGCCGCGACGAGGCGCGATCGTCGGAAACGCGTCGAGTTGGCGCGCGGCCCGGGAGCTTCCGCGGGTCGCGGCCGCGCGCACGGGTGAACGACCACGCCGCCCGGGCGAACCGGCCGAACGTCGCGCGGGCTGCCCCCGTTCGAGTCGGACGCGCGCCCGCTCCGGCCATTGGTCTATCGATTCCGCCGGCCGCGGCGAGCCGCGGACCGGCCAAAATGGCGCTTTCCCGCGGCTCCTGCCCGCTTTTCCCTCTCCCTCTATCGCCGGCGCCGCTGCGCGTCGCTCGCGGAGCGCGCCTAGTCCACCCTGCCGATTTGCGCCTGCAGCGCGCTTTGCAGCCCTCCCCCACCCGACCGCGCGCGAGGCTCGGCCCCGTTCGCGCGGATCAATTTTTTCCCTTTGCCCCCTGAGCTTCGCCGCGGTTATTGAGCGCCTTTGCTCACCGCGCTCCTACGCTAATACTCCGCGCTGCGGATTTCTCGGCTCTGCTCTATAGAGCGCGGATGCCGCAATATTCTCGGGGAATTCGCTTCGCGGCCGCTTACCGCCTGCTATAGGCTATTGCCCGTACGAACGTTTCACGGGGATAATGCATTTGCTTGCTTCCAGTCGAGTCGATCGCAATCGTGGATAACTTTAACTAAATCGTCGATGAATCTTGATAATAGTTCACTTTAAGCGAACTACGATCGACTCGACTGTCGTTCACCACTTGCAAGGAACTTGCTTGGATTTATGACAACATTTCAGCCAGTTGAAGATTTTTCGATCGATGTCGACGGGAACGGCGTGGTATGTTAAATCTGAATCACTGATATTGTCGCTATTCTAAACAATGACGAGGAATAATAACTCAATAACCTGCTATATAACAATACTTTCCATGTTGGAGAGTAAGCCAAGTGTTTACCACTTGACGAGGTGAAAAAGGATTCGTCAGTTGATCAATGAGAATCGTTGTGACTCACAACCACAACAGTCCATATAACATATTCCTCGCTAGATAGACGGTGAAACTTATTGCTTGTTTCCGTGAAAACTCGTACGAAATTCCTTTTTTTATATTCACTTGTCAATTTAAGAATGATACGCGCGTCGGTGCTCGCTATACCAAAAGGTAACTGAATATAACTAAATTTGCTCTGATAAAGTATAGGCTATACGCGTAATGATAAATAATCAAACCCGCATTAGGCTTTCATACAAGTCTCATCGGAATGCTCGTGCACTTGGCATGTGGGAATGTCGATATTCCGAAAATAAAGAGAAATTTCAATCAGACACTGCACTAAATCCATTTGATTTAATGGTTTCAACTTGTGATAGAATTTTTACCTGGAAGTTGAAAATGTCTTGAGTAATTAAAGAATAACTTTTAACGTTCACTTGATAGACCGGGATCAAAAAACGAACAATTTGCTAATGACAAAAAATTGAAATCCAAAGAAGAAAGTCTGCAGCCTTACTTGATTTGCGTCACACGCACTAATTTAATTTAATATCGATTAATATCCCACACATAGACAAGACAAATGGAATATTGAAGCAACTTTCGATTAGCTATTTCAAGTTTTCTTCTTCGTGAATCTGAAATATTACGATTTGCTCGAAACTTCCCTTTACAAATAAGTAAGAAGAATCGAACAATGTTGTAATGCCATTGGACATTAATTGAAGCAATCGACATTAATTTGCAATGGACGAAGAATAATAATGAATACATTATAAAGAGGTTCATTTCATCTTACCGCACGCGTATTTTATCCACAATCCCATGTTGCTACGATAGACTTCTATTTTATATTTAAACTGTAGGCTCAGGTACGATGCGTGTAAAAATCTCACTCGCCACTCTCGCCGTTCCAAAAGTGTTAGGGGAGGTAAATCTATATGCTAATGACTTTAGGGAACCAAGACTAATGTGTACAGGTACTAGTAGTACCTCTGCAGCGTTCCACGTAAACATAGTTCTTCAAGTAATAGTAACAATAACAATAACATTTATTATCCTCATAGATCTGGCTAATAAAATATCTATAACAGGACAATAATCAAGTTCATCGATGAAACAGCAACAGCTGACTTTTTAGCAGTGGTTTTTCACTATATTTATAGTGAGAATCAATTGCTAGAACATGAAAACCCGTCGGTATATAAAACAGAAAAAATCATTGAGAAACCAGTATGACTCATTGTTCAGCGAGACTTTTCTGTTTATAACAGTTGGAGACGCTAAACCAGTTAAAAGTTACTTGAAAATTAGTTGAATTGTCACTCATTCCTTAGTGAAATTTCAGTCTTTCCGCGGCGAGTTTTCACCGTTTTAACAGTGGGGTTTCAATGTTCATTTAATGAAAAAATAATTGAACGATTCAATTAGACTTTATCCACTCGATCACTTATTCTCACTGACCATGCATAAAACAGCGAATATTATTTTACAGTTAATGTAAAAATGCACACAAACAATTTAGCGAGCAGCGATATAAAACTCGAATAATAAGTTTATAAGTTTGAAATATTGAAAAAAGCGTCTGGATTCGCCACCATTTCGGGACGTTTTCTAATTGAGACTGTAATCTCAATTTTACGTTTTGACGGTACTATGGGATATCACGAAATTCGTAAAACTCAGGCTCACGTCCTGCTTTCTTGTGACATCTGTTTTTCCGCTTGTGGAAGTGTTCGAATCACCTGGAAAATCCGTCATCGATGTTAATGTCACATTTCACGTTTGCTTTATTATTTTGAGATTGAATAAAAAATGAAAAGCGCAAACGAAACTGAATAGCTTGAATCTAAGCTCGAATTAAGATTTTACGTTGGAAAATACGCCAACAGCTATATTCTGGTTGGACTTATGTTGGAAATTTCGAGTTTGGGAAAACTTTGAAGCTACCGAAAAATTGAAATAGAAACGGTCTCGAAGTAAAGCACTTTTATTCTGAAATTGACGATATTTTACGTAGAAAAACGCGTAAATCTTTAATACTCTTAATAATTTATACAGCGAGGAAAAACTTGTCGTTTTTTGAGTAAGGAAGAACCCAACGAATCAATTGAAAAAGTATATAATACCACAAGTTGATTCGTTCACTTATCAATTAAATGAATTCTTTTAAAAAGGTTAATTAATAACGCTGAACAAACATTATTGGATAGCACAGAATAAATAAATGGGCATGACACTATATTTTAATAATTGAAAGCACAACGGTGTGGAGAAGTGCGTATGCATAAATTATGGGCAACGTTAATAAAGCAGTGAATTGATGCATACACTACCGGCCAGATTTTCATCATACACCGTTAGGAAAGGAATGAAGATGGAGGAGTTTTAAATCATTGATAAAGAACCATTACGGTCAATCAAATATAGTACTTTGATATATTCTCTATAGTTTGTTGCCAAGTGCAATCCCTTTTTCTGAATAATACATGCAACAGCTGGTCTTTCATCATCGGCTTAGTTTTACATTATTCGCAAGTCGGGGATCTTTAATAAATAACTCGGCTGAATTATTTATCGGTGTTCGCAGTTGGAATGTAAAAATTGGCAGGCAGTGCACGCATTAACGTAGCGCCGATCGCGCCGCAGCTCTCGAACGCGTCGCTCCAGGAGGCCCTGTTCCACGCGCGTTTCGCAGTCGAACGTTCGAAAAAGTGCTGCACGGCGAAAAGGTGGAGCAGGGCGTATTAAGACGAGAGCGTAGAACTCGAGTTTCAAGAACAAGAGATCGAAATTCAATAGCCGAAAAACGAAATTTATCCACAGATTTTTAAGTTAATACGATACTTGGCTGAGGCTAAAATTCTAGAAAGGATCGGTGGCGATATGCATCGACTCTCGGTGTGAAAGCCGAACGCGCGCGAGCGAAAAACAAGATTGCAAATGGGGCGGATGAACGCCGAGGCTGGCCGGCGATCGGCCGCGTAATCGCACAGCGGAGCGGCGCCGAGGATCGGCCGCGGCGGATCGAAGAGATCCGATCGGAAGCGCGGCGCGAGGGCCGCGACGTCGGCCGACGGACGGCCGTCGGAGCGCGGCTCGACGTCGCGGCGCGAGGGCCGTGACTCGCGCGGCGCGCGCGGCCGCGAGCGGCGAGGCGCGGGTGGGGGCGGGCGGGCGGGCCGGCAGGCATCGATCATCGGAGGCTCTCGCGGCCGCGGCGGCCGTCCGCCCGAGCGGAAGCTCGCGGGCGGCGCGCGCGCGCGAAAGCTCGGACGCCCGGCTGGGCGTGGGCAGCGCGGCGCTCGCCCCCATTGGCCGGCGCTCGGGGCGGGGCTGCCCGCGCTCGCGCACCACGCCCACGGGGGGCCGCGGCGCGGATCTCGCCGCCGAGTCCTGATCCGGCGACGATCGATCCGATCGGGGCCAGCGTCCCCGCGTCTCGCCCCGGGCTCG